ACAACCAGGTCATTCATTTTTACCGCTGGCTTCGCTCTCCTTCTTCACTGCTCTACGACCCCGCGTTGCACCGGACTCTGCACAACATGATGAAGAAGCTTTTCCTCCAGTAAGTGAGAACTGGAGTTTGTCAGGCCCTGTGGAGGAGAAGGACACAGGCATGGCATTAGTGAGCAGGACACTGTTGGCACCCACAGCCTCCAGAGAGAGGCCTCTGGGGGCTGCCACCTGCTCCTCTGCCTTGCTGCTCCCTCTCTAACTAACGGGGAGCTGAACAGGAGCGGTTCTTCCTGCACACCAAACCCTCTGCTCCTCTGCCCTGTCTGCAGGTTAGTGGCTGAGTTCAAGCGGCTTGGCTCTTCCGTGGTGTACGCCAACTTCAACCGCATCATCCTATGCACCAAGAAGCGGCGTATTGAGGATGCAATCAGCTACATGGAGTACATCATCAATAGGTGGGGTGCACTTGGCTGCTCGGGGGTGTGTTTAGCAAGCCAGGCCAGGGGATAAGGCTCCTGGATCACTGAGCTAAGACATGGCTCAGGGCATGGGCAGAGAATGATGATTTTTGCCTTTCGCTGGGCCTCAGCACGGAATTTTTTGCAAAACTCATACTCTGTCTGGCTCCCAGCATCCCAGCTGTGGTGTCCAGGCATCTAGAGCAGGCACCTTTTTGCAAGCACAACAAGCCAAGGCTCAGGCACGGCTTCCTTTGGTGTCCCTGCTGGTGACTACACTGACACCTTTTGTGCAGAGCCCATATTTTTGAAGCAGGGCTGGAAGAGTGAGGTGACTCCTCTCTGCTTGCCAGCACCACCTCCTCCCTGGCGTGTCCCCTGGAGAAGGCTCTTAACCAGGGAAGATGCTGCTAATGTTGAGGGTGACTGCATTCTCTCCCTCCAGCATCCACTCAAAGGAGATCTTCCACTCCCTTACTATTTCTTTCTCCCGCTGCTGGGAGTTCCTGCTCTGGATGGATCCAGCAAATTATGGAGGCATCAAGGGAAAAGTGCATTCTCGCATCCACTACGGGGAGGTAAGAAATATGAAGTGCCCAATTCCCCCAGGAGTCAGGTGCTAGGGGTTGAACTGAGTGGGGAGGGGTTGGCTGGGTACAAGGAACTGCTGTAATGCCACTCGTGCTCTGTTCCAGAAGGATACCAGCAAGAGGCAAGTGCTGGAGGAGGAAGACAGCGAGGAAGAGGAGGAGGTGGGGGAAGAAGAGGAGGAAGGGGAATCCAACGTGGAGGAGCTGCTGGAGAACAGCTGGAATATCGTGCAGTTCCTGCCCCAGGCTGCCTCCTGCCAGAGCTACTTCCTAATGATTGTGTCAGGTGAGTGCTCCCAGCTCCTTGCCTGGTTCCACTCCTGGAGATAAGCCCACGTTCCTCACTGCTTCGTGATGCCTGCAGGGCTGCTGAAAAAGGCCTGATGGCTGATTCCAAGAGCGCCTTATGGCTGAGCCTGTGCTGTGCCATGAGAGGGAGCCTCCTCTGTTGTGGGTGTTAGTTTGGGGGTGTTCCAGTTTGGCTGTGAGCTGTCCCAGGAAGGGGACAAGGTTATTTGTGTCTCTTTGGTGCCTGGGAGAGTCTGCAGCAGGCTGGCTGCTGGTGCAGCTGCCCTGGCATGGGCTGTACCAGGAGCCCTGTTCGTGTCTCTGCAGCCTACATCGTGGCTGTGTACCACAGCATGAAGGAGGAGCTGCAGCGCAACGCCCCTGGGAGCACTCCCGTCAAGAGGAGAGGCACCAGCCAAGTGTCCCAAGAGGCACCGTGTGAGACAGGGGCCATGCCTGGTGAGTGCCCAGCACAGTCCTAGGCAGAAAGCCACCTGCCCCACATGCCACTGTGCTCAAGTGCTTTCTGCTCGTCTCTCTAGGCATGATCACGTTCTCACAGGATTACGTGGCCAATGAGCTCACCCAGAGCTTCTTCACCATCACCCAGAAGATCAAGAAGAAGATGGCCGGTTCTCGTAACGCCACCGAGCCTTCGGACTTGTTCCCAGTGCTGCCTGGCTCCTACTTGCCGCTCAACAACCCGGCTCTAGAGTTCATCAAATATGTTTGCAAGGTCAGTGAGTCTGGCTGGGACTCTTTTCTGAAGGGTTATGATTGGGGGCTCAAATTTTAGTCCACGTGTGTGGCTCCAATTTGCCACAGTTCTGCTTCAGGTGTGTGCTGCAGATCTACAGCCAATTTGTTTTTCCCTGCCAGCACTCTTGCATCCACATGAGCCATGAGCCTTCATTTTGAGGGCTGGTCTCTGCTGGTAGGTTCACCTGGCTCTTTGCCTTGTAGGTGCTGTCTCTGGATGCCAACATTACCAACCAGGTGAACAAACTGCGCAGGGACCTGCTGCGCCTCATCGAGGTGGGCGAGTTCTCGGATGAAGCCCAGTTTCGGGACCCTTGCCGCTCCTACGTGCTCCCTGAAGTCATCTGCAGGAACTGCAACTTCTGCAGGGACCTAGACCTGTGCAAGGACCCCGCTCTCTCCCAGGTTCAGCCTCGTTCCTGTGGACATCCCAGCATGGCTGTGCTCTCTGCCTGTCAGTCATATTACTGCCTTCCTCTCTTAAGCCCTTTGCTTTGCAGCATTGCTTGGCCCTGTCCTGGTGATCATATTCATAGAATCATTAAGGCTGGGAAAGCCCTCCAAGCTCATCTGGTTCAACCATCCCCCTACCACCACTATCACTCACTAAACCATGTCCCTAAGCACCACGTCCAACCTCTCCTTGAACACCCCTAGGGACGGTGACTCCACCATCTCCCTGGGCAACCCATCCCAATGCCTGACTGCTCTTTCCGAGAAGAAACGTCTCCTCATTTCCAAGCTTCACCAGTTTCGCAGCCCTTCTCTGGATACATTCCAGGACCTTGATGTTCTCCATGTAGTGAGGGGCCCAAAGCTGAACCCAGCACTCGAGGTGCGGCCTTACCAGCACAGGGGGACCATCACTTCCCTGGCCCTGCTGGCTGCACTACTCCTGACACAAGGCAGGATGCCGTTGGCCTCTTGGCCACCTGAGCACATTCCCCTAAAAGCCATTTTCTGTTCATCTTCTAGCTACCTGTGACAAGTCCAAGTGTCCCAGTGCTTTGCCTCATGCTCCATCCCCTCCAGGAGGAAAGCTTACCCTGGAGAGCTGCTTACACCCCACCCTGTTGCTTGGGCCTTTCCAAGGCCGCTTTGTTTGGCCATCTCCTCATGTCCCCTGCCTTCCTCTTTGCCTGTAGGATGGATCAGTGCTGCCCAGCTGGGTCTGCTCCAACTGTGAGGCGCAGTATGACTCCGACTCTATTGAAATGGCGTTGGTGGAAGCCCTGCAGAAGAAGCTGATGGCCTTCATGCTGCAGGACCTGGTGAGCCCTTGGACACCCCACTGCAGGATCTTGTCTCAGGGGCAGGCCCTGCCACCCTGTGGTGCTGCAGGAGGGGAGCAGATGAGCCTTGCAGCTGGGAGGAGGGTTTGGCTCCCATGCTGTGCCACAGCAGCAGCAGTCCCCTGCCCTCATGCCACGTGTGTGCCCCTGATGGTGGGCTGATGGGCTTGGTCTTGTCTCCTGTCTCCTGTCCCACCTAAAACTGCTTTGACTCTAGGTGTGCAACAAGTGTCGTGGTGTGAAGGACACACACATGCCTGTGTACTGCAGCTGTGCTGGAGAGTTTGCCCTCACCATCTCCTCCCAGGTATGCCCCTAGACCTGTGCCTGGGCCTTCCTGCGTGGTTCTCCGCCCCCTGGGGCCACCTCGCTTCTCTCCTGCCTTTCCTCTACCTGCTTGGCTGCTGGGTGGGCAGTGTTGGGCAGCCCCCTTCCCTCCCTGCTTCCTTTTCCTGCAGGTCTTCATGGAGCACATCACCATCTTCCAGAACATCGCTCGGCACTACAGCATGGCCTATCTCCTGGAAACCATCGAGTGGCTGCTGCGTACAAACCCCCAGCTCCAGCAGTGAAAGCAGGGCTCGTCCCGTCTCTGCTGTTGGATAGGGTTCAGCTGTGCACTATGCCAGCCCCGGGGAGCTGCGTGCCCCTCCTGCTGTGCTGGAGGGCAAAAGCAGCAGGCACAGAGAGGGGCCAGGCTGTGCTGCACCAGCCCAGCACACGGGGCAGGAGCTGTGCTCCATGGGGCCCATTTGCCCATGCTCTAGGTGCTGTAGGCAAGGCTGTACCTCTTTTTAATGTGGAATTTGTATAAATAAATAGTTTTATTTGTCTGGTTCCTGTGTGGTGGGAGCTGGGGATGTCTCCTTGCAAGGATCTGTCCCCCTTTGAACCCTGCCTGCCCCAGCCTGGTAGCACATCCCCGGCTGCAAGGGGAGAGCTGTGCCCCCCTCTCTCTTCCTTTTGGTGCTAGAAGCAGAGAAGATGAGCTGGCCTCGAGGGGCAGCACTCTCACCCCCCCCTAATGTGATTGCTGCCCTGTGCAATCAAGTTACTGTCTGGCTCAGCCTCTGCTTCTGGTAACTGAGTCCCGGATGGCTGCAGCCAAGGCCAGGCAGTGCCTGGGCTCAGCCTCTGTGCTGCTGCTGTCCCATGGGGGGCCTCGTCCTGCTTCTGACAAGGGCAAGGTGGAATTGCAGGTGCCCCCTTGCAGCAGCACTGCTGGGGGTGTGCACAAGGCCAGCTCCCCCTCAGAGCAGGGCACCCAGCCAAGCAAAGCAACCTTGAGTCCCTCAGCCCTGGGGCTCTGCCCACTGCAGCCCTTCCTTCCTCCCCCCACCGACCCTCCTGAGCCCAGCTGAGCTGCTGGGGGAGGATGTGCTGTAATATGAGAGCAGAAAAACATCAGAATTATGCTCAGAAATGCCCCAGCTGGTTACCGCCAGGCGCCTGCTGCAGATTGTCTTTGGGCTCAGGCCAGCAGCACTTGGGGTTTGTGCTCCAGGGCCTGGGGGGGGGGGGGGAGGACGACCCTGTCCCTGCCTCTCCCCGCACCAAACTGTGACACCAACGTCTCCCCAGGGCCCACCGCCGCATGGAGCCCCAGGCACGGATGCTGAGCAGCGGTGTTTTATTGGGCTGCTACGCCAGGGCAAGGCTGCCCCCCTCCCTGGTGCAGCAGCAGCAGCTTTGTGGGGCTCAGAGCACACGCGGGCCTTGCCAAGAGGGAAACGGGGGCTAGGATGGGTCTGAGAGTGCCCGCAGAAAGGGGCTGGGAAGGGCAGCAGCTGGAGCCCCCCTGGACACCCCAGATTAAGCTGTGCTTAGCCCTGGGAGCCCCCCCAGGCAGGATTTGAGCAGCCCCCGGTGTGACTCTGAGCTGCAGCAGCACTGCTGGGTCCTGCTGGTGGTCACAACCATCACATGCCGGCGGGCTCGTGGCTCACAGGGGCTGTAGGGCACGTGCCACCCATCCATGGGTGCAGCTCCACATGGGCAAGAGGGTTGCTGAGAGCTGACGGGGGGGGCTGGATGGCCTCGAGCTGAGCACAAGTTATCCTACCTGCAGTGGGACCAGAGGAGGGGCGGGTGGTTGGGGCTGCAGCATGGGCTGCTCTGCCGATGGGGTACCCCAGGGATGGGACCCCTGCAGAGGAAAATCCTCAGCTGTACCCACAGCCAGGTGCTACCTGCTCGAATTTCCTGCTGCTGTACCGCTGCTCCTTGTCCATGCAGCACAGCAGGATCCAGTCACAGATGAAGGAGCCCTGCAAGGCAGGCGGGGAGGTCAGGGCTGCAACGGGTGGCTAGGAGGAACCCCCCCAGCACCCATACTCACCAGTCCCACCGAGGTGAGCGCCGTGGCTAGGGTGATGATGGTGGGGATCAGGCTGAACTTTCCTGCCTGACAGAGAGGGATGGGGTCAGCTGTCCGGGCCAGTGCCCCCGTAGCAGGACTGGGCTGAGCTGATTCCACCCTCCCCAGCCCTAATGCCTGCGTGGTGCCACCAGGCTTGCACTTGCAGGACGTTACATGCACACAGGCACTGCAGCTGCCCCTTCCACCAAGCCAAGACAGAGCCCAGGGCTTCCATTTAGGGCATCTGGGACCCCCGTCCTCCTGCAGCAGCAGGCAGAGCTGCTTTGCTAGTACAGCCACAGCAGCACAAAGCAGAGGTGGCACACATGCATGCCCCCACTCCCAAAGTGGGGGACACACAGACACCCACCCCCGAACTGTCTCACCTGGCCATGCACAATCACATCCACACGGATCCCATAGGCCTTGATCAACACCCGCGAGCGAGTCCCATTCCAGCTGTAGTACTTGGCAAACCTGCTTGGGAGACGACGGACACACCAGTGAGGGCAAGGCAGGGCCAGAGAAGGCTGCAGGGCCACCGTGGGGACAGGGCCATCACCTGTAGTTGTAGCCTGGGGAAGCTGAAACCCCTTTGGGGTCGAGGCGGCGGAAGGAGTAGTGGGGGTTACACTCGGCGTCGGGCAGGTCCAGGTTGCAGTTCCAGGTAATGATCACCCCGATCACCCCACCCTGCAGCAGGGAGCAGCAGACCTTGCATCAAGGAGCGAGCGGTGACACACAGAGCACCCAGGCAGGTCCCCAGGAAATGAGTGCCCTGTGCCCTGCAGGCAAGACCCCGTGAGAGCCTGGGCCCTGCAGCCACCCAGCACACAACACCTTCTCAGCCAGCTCCGTGAAGTCCTCGCCCGCCTGCTCCACGAGGAAGCCCAGCTTGAAGATGGGGCAGTAAAGGGCAGAGGTGGTGTTGAACATGCAGCTCTTCAGGTAGCCGCTCTCAGCTGCCTGGATGTTGCCCCTGGGGGAGACCAAGCCAGAGACCTGTGTGTGAGAGGGGACACACTGGGTCCGAACGGGATCCCATCACTCAATGAGCTGGGAACGGGAATCCCCTGTGAAGAAGCAGCATCTCTCCAGCTAAGGACACCAGGACCACCCGCCTGCATCTCCATCCCTTAGACCCACCCTGCGCTGACCCCAAATTTCTGCAGTCCTCGCGTTGCATCTCCCCCTCCCTGCTGCACAGTTCCCAGGAGAAGTGTCCCCGCTGCCCATTTTCAGGAAGGGAGCAGTGATGGGAGCTGGCCTTGCCCTGCCTGTGCTCCCCATGTGTGTATGTGTACGGTGTGAGGGTGTCCACCCCGTCCCCATCATGCTACCAGCAAGGCAGGCACAGCAGGGCCAGCTGAGGCCAGCAGCAGGGCACCCAGGCTGCGTCCCCCACACCCACAGATACTCACTTGGAGAAGCCAAAGCGGGGGAAGTGGATGTTGTTCTTGATGAGGACGGTGAATTGTGATGCCATCTCAGCCAGGGACTCGCTGCGAGGAAGAGGAGTGAGCACAGCTGCCCACAGGCATCCCCACCCTGCCCCAAACCCCTGGAGCAGCACCGAGGAGGCCACACCGGGAGCATCCCCTTGCATCCCGCAGGACGTGGGAGATGCCAGCACCCCAGAGCCTGCTCTGACTTTCTGGCAGCCTCATTCCCCACCAGGGTCCAACCCCAGCACCAGTACCTGATGCTGCCTCCATCCACCGGGCACCAAGCCAGGACCTCGCAGCTCTTCCCGGTGCCACCAGCCTGGGGCACGCAGCGCCCCGTCCTCTGCCCTGTGGAAACGGGTGCCTGGCACTGCAAATCCCAGCAGGATTTGTCCTGCCAGCAGCAGGGTGGCTGGGCAGCTCTTCCCACACATCCCTCCTGACTCACCATGGCCAGACGTGTCCGTGTCCCTGGGGACGCAGTCCTGGTCGGAGCTGCACGTAGCGTTGGCGACCGCTCGGCCCTGCAGCAGGACGGGGAGTTTTGTTGGGAGCTGTGCTCACTGGTGCTCCCCTTCCCCTGACAAGTGCTACTCAGTCTCTTTTTGCCTCCCCCTGTGGTGTCACAGCCTCTGTGCTGCCCCCAGGCCAGGGAAAGCCACAGGATTCCTGTTGGGAAGGGCAGCGGCAGAGGAGAGCTGTGGGGACCCAGCACTACAGCCACCTGCATGTCCTGACCAGCTCTGTCCTGGGGTCCCCATGGGCAGCTCCTGCTGCTCTCCCCTGGCCCCATGACTGCTACTCCCCAGTCCCCTGCCCCTGCCCTCACCTCAGGACAGGTCCCCATGGCCTGGGCAGGGCTGACATCCACCCGCGTGAGGATGCTGAAGGTGCTCCCACCCTGCAAAGCAGCCAGAAGGTGGGATACCGGTCACAGGACAGCACAGCCGTGAACACGTGGAGAGGTACAAGTGTATTTACACACACACACACGTGTGCACACAGGGAACACACTGGGTAGAAAACAAAAGACAAAGGGAAGAGGATGGGGATAAGAGGGCCAGAACGGGGGGTCAGAGCCTCACCTCAGGAGGGGACACATACTCCCCAACATCCCAGACCTTCCTTGGTGACTGTGTCACACCCTTGACCTTGGTGATGACGGAGCTCTCTGGACCCGTTTCCCTCTCCTGGTAGCCCTTCTGAATGATGAACACATACCTGCAGGGAAAGAAGGATGGGAAAAGGAGCTTCCAACGGTGCCCTCCTCCTTGCCTCCAGGACCCCGAGAGCACGCTGAGAGCTGTGGGTCCGAGGAGTGCAGTGGGTGTGCTCAGCACCCACACACCTCACTGCGCAGCACAGGGCACGAGGGGCTCAGAGCCTGCCTGCACCACCCCTTGGACAACCAACCCATGGGGGGATCCCAGCCAGGAGCTTGGCCCCAAGAGCAAGGCAGAGGGCTCGCAGGGAAGGGAAAGCAGAGGAAAGAGCAGGGGAAAGGGGAAAGGGCACAGGCATCAGCCTATGAAGCAGGCTTCACTCACCCGGTGAAGTAGAGCAGGACCAGGAGCTGCAGCGCCCGGTACGCGGTGCCAAGGTGCCCGTTCCGCACCACCACCACCTGCGGGCTGGAGTAGCTGCTCACCGCCCGCAGGCAGCCCTGCACGCCCATGGATGCTGAGATCGGCTCGGAACGGCTCAGCACTGCTTGGCACGGCACGGCTCGGCTCGGCACGGCAGCGACCCCTGCGGGCCCGGATAAGTCTGCTCGGGGGGGCTCGGCAGTAGGGACCCCCCCCCGAAGCGGTTGTCGCTCCCCGCAGGATGCTTCGTGCTGGTGAAGGCAGCAGCAGAGCGTCAGGTCGCGGTCGGGAAGGGGCTGGAAGCGGGTGCCCGTTTTGCAGTTTTGGGAGAGGCAGAGGTCGGGGCACACCCACCAGGGGACACCCGAACTGCTGGACCCCTTTCCTCCCTTGCCCTGAAGCTATCTCAGGACCTTCCGAGAATGGCAGAAAGAGCAGACCTGGCAGATGTGGGTTAAAACAAAACAAAACAAAAAAGAAAAGAAAAAAAAAAAAAAAAGAAAAAAAAAAAACTTTCCCAGGCTGTGCATGAGACCAGTGGGTGCTCCAAAGCACTGGGAGAGGGCAATGACAACGTTACCTTCTTGTACAACCCCACCTCCTGTTTCGTATGGACACAGCTGCTGGCTCTGGACAGTGAGATTTGAGGCGGTCTCCCATGCTGAGAATGGATTTTCCTGCTCTCTGAAGGCCATCAAGTCTTCAGCTCTTCCACCAATATCAGTGGGAGGAGAGCCCCATCTACCCTATTATGTTCTGCTGCTGTGGCAGGACCAAGACACCGGCTGTGTCCCTGGTCCCTCTGGCTCCCTGTCCTGTGCCAAGGTTGCAGCAGACACTCAGGGACTTAGATTTATTGTGTAATCTGGGGGGGCTTCTACCTTGTACGCAGCACTGCTTGCTTGGAAAGGCTCTTGGAGGTGCTATGACTATCTGAGATATAAACAAGTCATCATCCGACCTGCATTTATTCTTTCTTCAGGATCCTTTCTTCCTTCAGTAGCAGTTAGGATGGATTTGCTAATTAACACAGTGCTTTCCTAGGCCACGTTCACTATCATGACACCTTAGTGCTGCTGCAGGGTCACCACCCTGATGAAGGCCATGGGACACCACCTTCAGATGGGGACAAAGAAGCTCCCAAGCCCAATCCCCTTTGTTCAACCCCTTGTGTCAACACAGTCACCTCGTCCCTGGGCCCCAGGGCTCACGACAAGACTTACTGCTCTGTGTCGCTGCCCTTATGTTACCTTTGACACCCTTTAACACCCTTGAACTCTGCCAGCCTGATCCTGCCACTGGTAAATACCTGCAATGTCTTTTCTTTTGTCTCTGTGGTGGGGCTGAGCCACCAGCCTGGCGTTGGCTGATGGCAGAGGATTGCCAGGTGCAGCCTGCCCTCTCTTCTTGTTGAATCCTGTTCCTAGATTGCCTGACCGCCCTTCTCCCTGTCTGCACGAGCACTGTGGGTCAAGCATCCTGCGGGGTTGGGTGCCAGAGAGGGGTGAGACCAGGCTGAGGGGGTCACCACCGATCTCCAGACCTAATTAGCAGTCAAGGAGAATTCAGCAAGGGAACTGCAGCAGCCACCTCCATCAGACAGAGGCAGGAAAAACCCTGGGCCTGGGTACAGCACGCTAACCTCTTGCAGGCTAGGTAGGAGAAATCTCAAGGCTGACTGAATTTGCCTTCTCCCATAGCCAAAACCGTGGGAACTGGCTTTATCAGTAGCTGTGCAGGGTTCAAGGAGGAAACCTCGAGCTTTTAGGCTTCTTCTGCACTCCTACCCTGCTGCTGAGCTGTTGAACAATGCAGACGGGACATAGACGGCTGTGGTCCAGGGTGGCCAGGCCACGGCCCTGGCACCAAAAGGAGCCACGGTGCTGCTGTGATCTGCACGGAGCTGTCTGCACGGCCCGGACTCTGCCCAAGCTGGGAGCGATGCAGACATGCGCGCTGCGACCTGCCAGCCTTCCCCTGCCGATTAATGATTCACCTGGTGCGATACAGCACTTCCTGCTGGAAGCTCCCGAAAATCCACATCAGCAACCGTTGTGTAAGTCAGAGACAACATACATAACATGAAGCAAACCCTAAGCACGTGGGAATTTTTTTTTTATCTCTCCAGCTGTCTTTGCACCTTCCAGAGGGATGAAAATACCGGCGTGTACTTTATCTTTCACATGGCAATTAAGGAGTATCTGTTTTCCAGAGATGCAGAAACACCCCAGCCTCACAGCCTTTTCTGCTCTCAGGCTTGTCATCCCCAAATAATTTCTGCTGAGTTTTGACCCATGCTGACAAGCCAGACCCTGTTTCTGAGCCACAGCTTCTCACGCTGTTGTTCACCCCAAGCCCTGCTGACTCAACCTCACCCCACCTTCACCTGGAAGTGGGGTGATACATGTCAGGAAGGCACCGGCTCCTCCTTGCAAGTCTGATTCCTGCTAAGTATTCCCATAAATTAAAGGAAGGTACTCACTAGGGTGGTAAAACCAGGCACCTCCCAGGCACTGAGATTTGCCTAGGGGTTAAGGGAAAGCAGAAGATAAAGGGAACTTTCTCCCAGCATCAGTATCTGACCTCTTACAGGGAACCAAAGGGTCTTGGGGAGGTTTTTAGGGAGTTTTCCTCTTCCTTTTCCCCACTCCTTGGGGCTTTCTCTATTTCCTCTCAGGCACAGCAGTTTATCAGGGACCATGGCTGGGAGCTGCTCGAGAAGCTCAGCACCGAGCCTTGCTGGGGTGGAGCTCACCCCATCCCTGTCCCAAGAAAGGTTACTGAGAACAGGCTGCGGTGTGGGAAGGGAGTTACAGGGCGGCACCAGAACCTCGGGGAAAGCCTGGAGGAGGTCTGTGCTCAGCGTGGCCCTGTGCCAGGGGCTGAGGGTCTGCGGGACAGACAGAAGGTGTCACTGTCCCCAGGTGCCCCTGAGCTGCAGGACCTGCAGATGACTGGGGAGCCTAAATCCAAAGCCACACCATCCCCCAGCCAAGAACTGCACTGAAAATAGCTGATGGACCCAGCCCAGCTTCTGCACGGAGAGTTTGGAAAGTTTTGGAGAGGAGCTAATTTCCCCTTTTTAATTCTTTCTCCCGTAAAACTATATTAGAAAGGTTATGTGTCCAGGAGGAATGTCCCTTTCCTTCAGAGTCTGCTCTTCACATGCTCTGGGCTGCCAAGGGCTCATTCCTGCCCTTCCACATGTGGGATTTCAAGGGCACCCTGAGGAGCTGGCGGGGCAGGAGAGAGGAGGTGGCTGAGCATGCAAACGGGCAGAAGAAACAGAGAGAGCAAGCCCCGGAGCACAGGGGGCACAAGACGGGGACGCAAAAGATCTGCTCCAAGCAGAACAGCCCCAGCTCCAGAGTGAGGAGAACAAATCATGACCACGGCTGCCTCTCCTGCAGGGACAGGCAGAGCATGGCAGGCAGCATGCACAGCACGCACACTCTCAGGCCAGCTCTGCTGGCTCGCCAGGGCAAAGGGCAAGGCTGGACGTAGGGGCAGCCAGGGGATGCACTGGCTCCAGGACACAGCTGAGGCCCCGGGTCTGGTGGCTGTGGGCACCCGGCCACCTGTGCAGCCCGGGCATCCAGCACATCATCCCACGGGAGGCATCTCCCTGATGCCCACGGTGCCCTTGGAGAAGGACTGAGCCCCACTGCAACCTGAGGGTGGGGAAGATGAGGTCCCGCTCCCCCGGCATGCCCTCACACTCTGCTCCCATTACAACCACCTCAGGGGTCTCCACTGGCCTGGCTCCAGCGCGGTGATGCCTTTCTCATAACGGGGAGCCCCAAAACAGAACCTGGCATGCTAGCAGGGGGGACAAATCACTCCCTCACCCTGTCCCTGCACTCCATCCCAGGACTGGCCACTGACAGCAGGGCTGTCAGCACAGGCAGGGCGAGCACTCGGGTGTCTCGGCTCCGTGCCAGCTTTGGCTGCAGCCTTGGGCCACGTCAGCAGAGCTGGGTGCGGGTGGTGCTGCCAGACGAGGCGGGTGGCCAGGGCTCAGTCCGCACCCCAGCCCCAGCCCCAGCCTCAGCCCAGCACCAGCGGGGTCTCAATCGCCTGCTCAGGCAGCTCGGTTACTCCGCATGGGGCCAACCCCGCAGCCCCACTGGCTGGGGGCAGGGGGTGAAGGCCAGAGCACTGTGCGTCCTTCTTATCCCCCGTTATCTTCCAGACAAACCCAAACTGAGGCACGGCTCGGCGGAGTCCCTGACGGGCTCGTACGCCGTGGCCAAGGCTGCTGCTCCATGCTGCCAGTGTGGGGCTCTCCTGCCAGGCACCACGGGGCTGCGAGCACAGCCTGGGTGTGGGGCAGAGTGGGTTTATGGGGTGCAGGGGGTCGGGCATGGCGTGGCACAGCAGAGCTGCAGCAGGAGGGCTCTGCGGGGCCAGGTGGGCTGGGGGACGATGCTAGGGGAGGCTGAGTCTTTCACCAGAGCCCCTTTCTGTGCCAGTTTCTCCTAAGAAAAACACAATGTGTTTTCCTTGGGGAGCTGTGGTACCCCCACAGGACCACGGAGGTGATTCTGCCAGGTGACATGGCAGCTGGGAGACCTTTGCGACACCTCAGGCGATGTCAAGGGCGGCGCGAGGCAGCCATGTCACAGCTGCAGAGCGGACTCTGCACTCGCCTGTGCCATTGGCCTCTGTGCACACTGTTAGGGAAATCCTGATGCGATAAGCCACAGCTCTGCTGCCAAGCCCTTTCACAGAATCACAGAATTGTCGAGGTTGGAAGAGACCTCCCAGATCACCCCATCCAACCTCTGACCTCACACTAACCAGTCCTGCACTAAACCATATCACTGAGCTCTACATCTAAGTGTCTTTTAAAGACCTCCAGGGATGGTGACTCCACCACTTCCCTGGGCAGCCCATCCCAATACCTCACAACCCTTTCAGTAAAGAAGTTCTTCCTAATATCCAACCTAAACCTCCTCTGGTACAACTCTAGCCCATTCCCCCTCATTCTGTCACCAGGCACATGGGAGAACAGACCAACCCCCACCTCACTACAGCCTCCTCCAGCAGGCAGTGGCTGAGCCGCAGCCAGCGAGGTGTCCTCACGGCCAAGGCCATCACCCGGGCAGAGCACGGCCAGCACCCGGGGGGCTGCGTCCCGGCTGGGCTCCCCCCGGCAGGCAGGGGAGGGGGGGGAATCACTGGGGTGAGCACAAGGATGCTGCAAGGCCTGGAACAACCCACACGGCTGGACAGGCTGCCGGCACCGGGATAACGATAACACGGACAGCAGGCTGGGGAGGGGGGGGGACACCCCGTCGGTGCGCACAGACTCCTGCGGGGAGGGGACGGGAACGGGACCAAGTGCCCGGGGCTGGCCCGAGGGGCAGGGGCAGGGGCAGGGGCAGGGGAAGGGACAGGGGAAGGGGCACCGGCGGCTCCCCCGGCCTCTCCCCCGGGGCGGGACGGGGCGGTGCGGGCCAACCTCCTCCCCACCGCCGCCCGTGGGCTTTAAAGCGGGCGGCGCGGGGCGCGCGCGCTCGGCCCGCGGGATGTGGGCGCGCACGGCGCTGGCGTGCGCGGCGGTGCTGGCGAGTGCGCGCGCCTGGCCCGGCGGCGCAGTGTGCGCGCAGCGGGTGGCGGCGGCGCCGGGCACGGGTGCGGGTGGCGCTCGCTACGTCGCCTTCCTCAGCCTCGGACCGGGGCCCCCCGCGCTGGTGGAGAGCTCCTGGGCCGGGCGCGGGCGCCTCCTCGCTTGCTGGGCGCGCCGCGACCCCCGCCTGGTGCGCGCTTTCCGCGCCGCCTGCGCTCGCCGCCCCCCCGGCGCCCCCGGGGCCGCGCTGCGCAGGGAGCTGGGCGCGCTCTGGAGGCGCCGAGCCGCCTGCACCGACCCCGAGCCGCGGGGCGAGCGCCGCCGCCGCCGCCGGAGGGGTTGGACGGTGCCCGGCACGTTGTGGTGCGGAGCCGGGGACTCGGCCGGGAACGCCACCGAGCTGGGTACGGGAGTGGGGACGGCCCCGTCGGGGTTGGGGTCGGGGTCGGGATCGGGCGGTGGCCGCCGGGCGCTGAGCGGTGCCGCCGCCCGCAGGTGTCTTCCGCGGCCCCGACCGGTGCTGCCGCGAGCACGACCAGTGCGAGGCGCAGATCACGGCGCTGCAGTTCAACTACGGCATCCGCAACTACCGCCTGCACACCGTGTCCCACTGCGACTGCGACGCCAGGTGCGCCGGGGCCTCTCCGGGGTAGTGCCGGGACCCCGTCGGGGTTGTCGGGGTTGTCGGGGCCGCTCCGCTCACCCCCTGCCCGCCCGCAGGTTCCGGCGGTGCCTGCTGGCCCTCAACGACACCATCTCCAACATCATTGGCGTCACCTTCTTCAACCTGCTGGAGGTGCCGTGCTTCGTGCTGGAGGACAGCGAGGAGTGCGTGCAGTGGCACTGGTGGGGCGGGTGAGTGTCCCCGCGTGTCCCCGCTCCCCTCTCTCTCCGCAGTCCCTGGGGCTGTGCCGGTGGGGGCCTGACGCTGCCCGGTGTCCCCCCCCTCACCTTTCTCTAAGGTGTGAACGCTACGGCGTGGTGCCCCTGGCCAGGATGGTGCAGCAGAAGCAGTACGGCCACGGGCTGCCCGTGGACGGCAGTGACAGCGACCGGGGAAGGAAACCGTCGGGAGCGCGTCGGAAGCGCCCGCGGCAGGGGCTGGGACGCGGTCCTGGGCTCCGCCGTGCGCGGAGGCCTGTGACAACCCAGCAGGTGCAGGACACGGGTGCCTCGTCCCCTGCGTCTGCCAGGGATGAGGCTGAGCCCACTGCTGGGCACGCAGCATCTTGGGGTGAGCTGGAGCCAGGCCTGCCGACAGTGGTGGCCACATCAGGACAGGAGCTCGCTGGAGGACAGCAGGGGCCGGGGGCCTCGCCGCAGCCCACCCTTAAGGCTCGCCATGAAGACAGCAGCATCGCATCCAGCCTGGCTACAGAGCCCTGTGAGGCTGTCCCTGCACGTCCTGGGGATGGACACAGGCAGCAGAGTGAGTGGGGACTCGGGGCAGCGCGTGTAGGAGCGGGGCTTTCCTGGGGACTGAGCGGGTTTGGTTTGGTCACTCTGGATGTGCTCGCTCTCCTCAGGCCCGGGGAAGATGTGCAGGTGCTACAAGCGGCTGGATAAGTGTGAGCACCAGATTGCACCCCATGAGATGAAGTACCAGCTGCATAATGCAGACAACCGGACGCTCTTCCACTGCAACTGCACCCGCAGGTCTGTATACAAGCTCATGTGTGTGCCAAGCCCTGGCCCCTTGAGCAAGCACTATCTGGGACTGGGACGTGCCCCAGGAGGATGGCAGGGCTTCCATCTGCCATCACGGGGCACAAAGAGATAGTTTGGGGTCAAAAGAGGTGGGACCCAGTGCGATGCCCACTCCAGCCAGCAGCTGCTGACTGCCACCTATCTGTGCCCACAGACTGGCACGGTCCCTGCGCAGGGCGAAGGGTTTCCATGAGGTGCAGGCAGCAGTCTTGGCTGACCACGTTGCTGCAGCTTGCTTTGTGTTGGAGCCACTCACCAACTGCAGCCTGGGCAAGGAGCCACAGCACAAGTAAGTGCAGAGGGGCAAGGGAAAATGTGGTGTGCTTGGGGATTCCTAACCTGCTGGGAAGGTGGGATGGATGCCCCGGGGCTGGGTGCTGTCATGCAGGTTTGGCTGTTTGGTGCGAGGTGGTCGTCACAAGCATTTGTCCCATTTTTCTGTGCCAGGGGCAGGAGTGGGGTGGAAGGCAGAGGCTGTCAAGTGCTACAGCCTCCAGTGCTGCTTTGTCACTCCTTGTCCTACTCCTCCAGCAGCTGCACCTCAGCCACCCGGGCTGTGCTAGTAGCACCTGCACGGCATCTCAGCAACATCCTGAAGCACTGGGGTGCTCCTCGCATAACCTCCAAGAAGGTCAAGCATCGAGACTGGAAGACACGGGGCAGCGGCAGCACCCTCTACAAGCAGTGCCGGCACCTGGCTTTGGAGCAGAAGCTGTGTGCACAGCATCGTGCAGCCCCCCCGTGACGCCTGAGCAGCATGGGCACGCCTTGCGTGGGAAGGAAGACTTGCTGTGCAGCGGGCACTGAGTGGAGCTGCTTAATGTCTGGTCCTTGAGAGAAAGGATGGCACCAAGCATGGCTGCTGGCATGACTACGTGGAATTGGGGCGGGGGGGGGCACAGCTGGAAGGAGGGCAAGCAGAGGGGCTAGGAAGGCTCAGCTACCCCTCTCCTGAGGAGCCGTGGCACCAGCTGTGAGCATCAAAGCGAGGGGAAAGGAAGGGGAGCCCTTGGGTAAGGGGGAAGCCACCATCACCCTTCCCTTTTGTGCCAGGGGGCAGGGAGAATGCTCTGGGCGTATGAGCCTCAGGCAGGGGCTGGGCGGGGGGGAAAGGAGAGGGGCCTGAGGGATCTGGGGTGAGCCTGGCCCCCTCCTCAAACTGCTGGGGCAGGGCGGGCTGGGCTCTGGAGGTGAAGGGCAACAGCCAGGCACAGAGCTGGGGAGGGTCAGTCCCTGTGTGCGGCACGAGACAAATAAAGGGTGGTCTCTGCATGGTGTGTGGTGCTGGGCCAGGGCCGTGCCTGCCGCGGCGGCCCCTGTTTTCTGGGGCTGTTCCTCCGCTGCAGTAAGCACAGAGCATCTGGGGCAGGCAGGATGGTTTTATTGTGTTGCTCACGCTACGTCCAAGCCTGAGGCACAGTGGTAGTGGCAGGAAAGAAGCACGCTCCGCTCTCTGGGGTACCCACAGCAGCACTGCGCCCTGGGGCTAGGCCTCGCTCAAAAAGGAGTTCAAAAACCGCCTCCAGCGCTTGTCCCTGCCCCTCCTCAGGCCTGCCCTCCTGCCTGACAGCCCAACACTCGCACCTTTGAACCTCGCAGGGGCTTCCCTTGGCCAATACTCCCCTGCCAACCCCATCCTGGACCAGCCTTCCCCTCCCCTCTGCCCCCCTCGCAGCCCCGGGAGGGCAGCAGCTCCAGGCCGCGGGGAGCAGGGGCAGGCAGGCAGCAGGAGGGCAGAGGCCTGTCACCGCAATAAATAAGGGAGAGGGACATCTCAGCAGGGAAGTGGCAAAGGAAAGCACACAGCAAGCGCGCTACGGGGGAAGGGGTTGCTGCATTAGTGGCCCGTGGCACATCTATGGCTGCTGTCTCGCTCCCAGGGGCTGCTCCCTTCCTTCGCAGAGGTGCCATAAGGAGCTCCTGGGGGGCTTGTAGGGCTTACCCTCCGGCAGGGAGGGCCCTGCTCTGAGCTCTCCCTCTGTTTGCCCAAAGCCTGGTCGATCATCTCCAGGCGCAGTGCAGGCAGCAGGCCCAGGTTCCTGGGGTCGGCCCTGGCCAGGGCGTTGTCGGCAGAGATGCAGCGGGAGGCGCGCTGCTCCCGCACAGTCTGGTAAAAGGAGCCCAAGCTGCCCTCCTGGCTGTCAGCCACCTGCCCCGCTTCCTTGGCTTTGGCTCCGCGGTGCCCTGGCTCCTCCTGGGGCAGGTGGATGGTGGGGATGTCCCCAGGGAGGCCTCGACGGCTCTGGGGTGAGGGGCTGCGACTGGTGCCCCTGTCCCGGCTTGATGGCCGCAGGATGAGGCCCTGGAATTTGGCCAGGCTAGGGCTTCGGCTCCGGTGCCGTTTCATCTTGCCTGGGCTGGGGCTGCGGGATTTGGGGGCCAGCAGGACAAGGGTGCTGTCATCCTCCTCTTCCGAGCTGCTGCCCGAGCTGTCTGTGGGGCTGCTGCCCTCCTCTGACCTGGGCATGGAGATCTGCAGCCTTGCGTCAGGGCTGCTGGCTGTGGCACGCCGCAGCAGCATGCCCTGTTCAGCCAAGCACCACCCTCACCCCTCATCCCTACTCACCTGGAAGGGCTCCGTCACCCCTGCAATGCTGCTGGAGGTGTTGCTGTAGTACCCGAGGATGTACTCGCCTTTCCCCTTGGGCAGTGCCTCCTCTGAGAACAGCACCTGAAGGCCAAGGAAAGCTGATGGGCACCGGGGCTGGGCACGGGGGTGTCCCCCACCACCTCTAGGCCCAGCTGAGAGCCCTGATGCCTACACAGTGGGGCAAAAGGGCCTTCCGTGCAATAGGGGAAGCCACTGATGTGGGGGCCGGTGCCTTGCCGTAGGGCACACACACACCCAGCATCTTGCAGGGCTGGCCTTGGCTCCTGGAGACGCTCACCTGTGCACACAGCTGCTTCTCGATGAAGCGCTCTCCATCATCGCTCCTGGCCCAGACGTAGGACACGTAGTCTTTAGGATGCCGAAACCCAACCTGCATGTCCACGGGAGAACAGAGGTGAGCTGGGGGACATCTGCCCAACTCAGCACCCTCAGCCCTTGCCTGGCATTTGCTCCCCTTGCACAAGGACACCGACAGCTGCCTTGCACGTGCACACACTTAGCCCCAGTAACAGCTTTGAGCCATGAGAAACCCACAGAGCAGGAAGAGGAGGATGAAACCTCTGGATCCATGTCTCCTGCAGCAGGGTCAAAGCCTGCTGGTATCCACAGAACAGGAGAGCAGAGAGGACAGGCTAAGGCCATGCTGGAGGGGACCCTCTGGTGCTGTGAAGTGCCCCCCACCCTCTCCAGCCACAAGCCCCTACCCGGTAGAGGCCTATCCAGTCCCAGGAGCTCCGGTGGAAGCCAGCAGCCACCTTGTACTTGACAACTGCTTGCTCAGGCCTATTCCACTCATCAGCCACGTAAATCTCCACCGGAGGCTTGTCTGCCTTGGAAGCAAACTGACAAACATGCGCATGGTGGGTAAGGGCCATATGCCAGAGAGCTGCCCCTGCTGCCCAGGGCACCCATCTGGCACCGGACCCTCCAACACACACCAAGAGCAGCAACCACCCCCGTCCCCAGCCACAGGACTGAAGCTGCCTTGCAAAAATAAGGCGAGAAATCCACACCCCACCCCGTGCCGCACGCAAGAACTGGGCATCCAGGGCCTCGCGTGCCCAGTGGCCCTGGCAGGCGCTCACCTGCACTGCAAAGATAGCAGCTACCGGCTTGTGGTCGCTGACCGTGTATTCCATGTGGCTGCAGTAGCAGAGCTGGCTCACCGACAGGATGCCCCGGCTGGGCTGGCATCCACCTGCACCGAGCCCGATGCTGGGAGATTTGATCTTCCAGAGGATGCGGTCAGTCCAGGCTGGTTTTCGCTTCTTGGCACTGCAGGGCACAGAGGGGGGCATCTCTTGCCTGGCAGGGGGGCAGCGGGCTCCACCCCAAACTGCCTCCCCCTGGCACTACAGCACGTGGGGGCAGGGGACGCAGCTCATCGTGGCGCACAGCTCTGTGCAGCTGCAGGGACAGACCTGCACTGGCACCAGCACAAGAGCTGTGTCCCCAGCCTGATGTCCCCAGCCCAGCCCATGCCTGCCCCGGCATGGCCTCCCCTACCCCTCACCCCTCAGCCATGCCTCCTGCTCCCAGCCCCGCTGTCCTACCTGCTGTCATATTTGTTGGTGCCCACATCGAACTTGAAGGTGGGTGGGAAGTTGAGGGGTCCCTCCTGGAAGCCGGTCAGGACAGGCCAAGTGCTTTTGGCAATGTTCAGCTGAGGGGAAGAGAGCAAGCGGGGAGCACACCAGGACCCCCAGCCAGACCTACACGCGGCTCCAAAAACCCAGCCCAAACCCTATAACCCGATAACCCCCACACCCTACAGGATAACAGCACGCAGCCACCCCCAAACACCCTGCTGAGCATCACGCAGGGTTCATCCGTGCCGTGCAGCAAGTCTGCGGGCTCAACACCCCCATTTCTTCGCAATGCTCCAGTAAAGAAAACACTGATGTGTGTGCAGCTCCAGTGACAAATATCCTGAGACTACGATGCCCACCGTTCCCCACACAGCAAGGAGAAATAGGGCCCTTTGTGCCCTGTGTCCGCAGGAGGACGCGCAGTCCCGCAGCCACACGGGCAGCTCTGGTGAGGGCCAAGGAGCACTCGCAGCCCAGCAGCACACCCAGCCCTCTCACCTGGTCCTTCTCCCAGAGCTGGTTCAGCATGTTGCTGTCGATGGCGTACTTGACGAAGCGGATATCGAGGCTCTCTATGCGAAAGTTGAGGTCCCCAAACCAGAAGACGAGGCTGTGGGGTGGGAGGGCAGTGGGCTACCAGGGCCAGGGCCACCAGAAGCAGACAGCAAAGCCACTGCGCCAAGGGACAATTTTCCAGCTCTCCGCATGCAAGACCCAATCTCCACGCCTTGCTAGCAATACCGCCTTGGCTCGGGCTCCAAGAAAAGCAGCGGGGTACGCACTCATGGTCCAAGATGCCGCTGGCTGCACGTCCCTCAAACTGCTGCATGTGCAGGATGGTGGCGAAGTCCTCCTTGCGCTGCTCCGCCTTCTCCAGGTGCGCTGGCAGGTGGCAGTTGAGGAAGCAGACCATGTGGCCGAAGATGGAGAGACGGACGCTCACCCCACCCTTGTTGCCCTGCACCAAAAAGCTGCCATGAGCCCTCAGCGAGGCACCACCGCCACCAGCCTCACCGCTACTCACCCAGTAGCCGCCCAGCCCCGTGCGGGTGCAGTCCGTCTGGATGTCCTGCAGGAAGGGGAGATGGTAGTACTTGGCAAACACGAGTAGGATCACGCCTTGCATCCGCACTGTGCTGACCTGGAACGGGAATTGCAGCAGGATGGTGGCTGCAGCCCGGAGGCAGGCACAGCCTCCTCTACCTGCAGACCAGGGGCAGCCACGATATATACGTGAGCCCCTGGAAGGGGGGCAACAGCACATTTTGGTTCAGAGATCCACGCACACCCTCCTAAATACTGAGTGAGAAGCCCAGAGATACTAGGTCTTACGTACTCCGTGCAAGTGCCCTGGGATCTGCTCCTGAAAAATACAGGAGTGTTTTACAGCTAATGAAACTCGAGGAGTTAAAAGCAGCGGTCAGGTCCTATATCAAGAGTGAAACCATGGGAAAATTCTACTTCAGGATGAGCCGAGCCTGAGCAGGAATCAGAAAGGAATGAGCCTGCCCTAGGATTTGCAGGCTGCTGCCAGAATTGTTCCCATTCACCTCCTTGCCCCAGTGCAACGCAGCAGGCAGCAAGATGTGTCCCCAGCATGCCACAGGGGACGTCAAAGGCAGCCAGAAAGCGAGGAGGTGGTGGCAAAAGCTGGGCAGCATGCTGGTGGGGTGCCCCGCTCATCCTCACCTTCCACTGCACTGCTCACAGGGCTGCAGTGCACCCCTCTGGCCACTTCTCCCACTGCAAATCCTCTCTGTGCATGGCTCTGCCCTGTGCATGGCTCAACCTGCCTCCCCCAGGCCCCCTTGGGGGTTTTTCCTTACCAGCACAAAGTGGAAGGGGCTCAGGACATCCATGAATAGCTCGCTCCACTGATCTGTGAACAGGGCATCCTTCAGGCGCTTGTTTATCTTGCAGTTCACCTCCTGCAGCCTGGGAAGGAAGATGGGGACCTCTGCAGAGCCTGCCCGACCCCAGGCAGGTCGCTCAGCCGCACCAGGAAGGTGCCTGCATCCCATCCAGGGAATGCTCCTTGGGAGATGTGCCTAAGGACAGCACTGGGGAGTGGGGTCAGGGTCGAAGGACACTTCAGGGGAGTGATTTGGAGCACAACCTGGCTAAATCCCTGCTCCAGCAACACTGGTCTGCGTGGTACACAAATGGCATAGGGCCCTTAGCCCTTTAATCAGGAGCAGTTTAACTTTCGCAAGGCTAGGCAGCAGTCTAAAGCCTATCTTTAGGTGCAAGAAGAGCTTGCGGGGCCCGCCAGCTGCACCTGATGTCTACAGAGAAGTCACATCACACAATTCCTTCAGCACAGAGCATTCAGACACAGCCGAGCCTCCCAGCTCAGAGCAGCAGCGACAGAAGGTTAACAGCGCTCCTACCCACTCAGCAATTAGCGAGCAGAAGGAAAAGAGAGCGTCCCCAGAGAGCAGCAGGACTGGGAAACGCCTTGCCCAAAAATATTAAGTGCCCCAGGCATGAAGAGACGGGTTGGAGGAAGGGGGGTAGCCAGGCACAGACACCCTAGAGGCGAAGGGGCTCCCCGGTACAGCGCACCCTGCCCTGGCCACGACATTTCCAGCAAGCCCCTCGCACCACACGTGCCCCCCCTGCCCACATCCACGCAGGCAGGAGCAGCTGTGAAGCTGCTGGAGGCAGAGCTCTTCCACCTCACACAGCACAGGGAGCTTACCAAGGCAGAGGCTGTAAAAAAAAAAAGCAGCACATCCCCGGCCTTGGCAAGGATCTGCTGTGCTCCAGAGCGATCCCCAAGGGTCTGGTTTTCCCTTTGGCTATGGCAGAGCTCGCGCTGCTGGCCACAGCCAATAAAGCCTCACCACACCGCCGTGGAGCTGCCTTGCCAGCAGTTCAGCGTTGCCAGAGGCACAGAGCCAATCCAGCTGTGAGAAAGCAGCAGAGCTGTGCCCTCGAGGCCTGCATACCCACGGACAAAAGCCGAAACGAGGAAAATGCTCCCAGTGGACTCCGGCAGGCAGTTAAATGCCTCTACAAACCTGACCAAGGGACTGCCAGGGTTTGGCAGCATGAGCGGCACCTCCCAAGGCCAGGCTCTGCACAGCCTGGCTGGCTATGGGCTGCTCAAGGGTTCAAGGCTATCCAGGACTTGAGGGTTTCAGCTCTTCTTTGTACTCCCATTTTATTAGAAGCCAATCTTCGTCACCCTTCATGATACCACACGCTTGCGATGTCCGTCCCTCCCTGCTCCCTAAGCTCCAGGGCAGGCTGGAGCTGCAGCTCTTCCATCCTGAGCCCCCGGGGTATGGGGAATTCCCCAAACAGGACCCAGGCTGGAAGCAGGGGCCCTGCACTTGGCTCACTCACCCGATGGCGATCATGTCTACATCATTTGTCTCGCCCGTGTTGAGATGCAGGAGCGATGTCACATCGTTCGGGGGCATGGCTGTGCCCACGTTCCAGGTGACCACAGTGATGCTTGGGAGGAACGAGAAAGAACAGGCTTAACATTTGGGCTCAAAAGCCCATTTCCCACACCGTTCAGCCCCCGGCTCCCCCCAAGGAACCTGCCTGGAGCAGAAGCAGTTGCAGCAGAGGCTCAGCCGGGGCACGCACACCGTGTCCTTTAACCCCCGTTTGAGGTAGACAAATTACAGCCTCCAAATTTCTCTGGGGTCTGCCCAGCGTGGCAGCCCTGCTGTAACCCAAGCCCCGGTGTAATTCCAGCAGCCAGCACAAACACAGCCCTCATTTTCATCTCAGTGCTGACTGCCACAGCCAGGCTGGCACAGCAGGGAGCCTGCGAGACAGGATACCCCCAGGAAACTGCTTCCCCTCCTCTTCCCGTGCACCTGCTTGCCTCTTGGGTTCCCGGGGAAAGGGGCCTGGATCTCCACCCAGCGGGTCCTGCCCCAGAGCACAGCCAGCCTGAACGGCCCGGGCATCGCTTGCGACAGGAGTGCTGCAAGCCCAGCAGCTGTGTCCTTCACGAGTGCAAAGCCACCATCAGTCACAGCACATTAACACCATTACGCAGCACACAGCAGCAGCCCGCAGGCTTCTCGGCAGCACTAGGACAAGCCTCAGTCACAAGAGGCACATTTCAACAGCGAGGCAGGGAAGCGCTGCACCATTTTGAGAGCTCAGGAATCGTGGCGGGGGGGCAAGCAGCACCTGCTCCAGAGCATGTTCCTCTAATTCCACCTAGGAACGCCACCCCACCTCCTCCCCAAAGCTGCTGCCTGCACAAGCAGCAGGCACTGGGTATGTCTCCCACCTTCAGCATGCGCACAGGACCCTACGTGCCCACAGACCCTGAACCAAAACCTTTTCCAGCTGAACACCATCCACAGCAGGAAGACTGAGGCGACTCCAACCCACAGAGAGGCCTCGGTTGCCACTTTACAATGGGGACATTCCTCCCTATCCCTGCCCCGAGACGCGGGGCTCCCCCTCTCCCCCACGCACCGCGGGCAGCAGCACAGCACCGGGCGCTCACCGGAACGAGCCGTCCGCTGTCGCCCTTCCCACACAGTCCAGGAGAGCATCGGAGGAGTTGCTGGCACTCGGCAGGCCAAGAGATGGCCCAGACCTCCCGAACAGGGTGAACTCATCCGGTTCTGCCTTGGCAAGGGTCCCGGGCTTGGACAGGCCGACGTGTCCTGTGGCGATGAACTCGCTGGAGACGGCCTTGGGCAGACCGAGGGCTCTGGGGGATGAGCCTGCCCAGGCCGAGATGTGGTCGCTGGACTCCGCTTTGGGCAGTGCCTCTCTCCGCTCCGCAGACAGCGCCTTCCCGGGGGCAGCTCGGTCCACGGGGCTGAGTTCTGGGAAGGATGACCAGCTCGGCGACTGGCTCGGCTTCACCGGCGACAACGCAGCGGCACGGGCCAGGGGGATGCCCGAGCCTGGGGACAGCGGCCGGCGCTCCACCGGGGACAGCAAGGTCGGCAGCGGGAACATCTGCGGGACCCCAGCCCCATCCGCCGGGGCCCTACCGACGTCCAGCGATAGGGGCTGGGCTGCCCGGCCGGGGACCCTCTCCTCGGGCCGCCCGCAGCCGTGCTGAGCCCCCTCGGGCTGCGAGCGCGGCGATCCGCAGGAGAGAGCCTCCAAGGCGGCATCGGGCCGGGAGCATCTCCGCGCACCGGAGCCGCGGCCGCCGGGGCCCGAGGCCGGCGGGGCCGTGCTGTCGGGGACGAGCAGCGCAGGGGAAGCGGCGGCGGCGGAGGGCGCGGGGCTCCGCGGGGAGACGGGCCGAGGACCGAGGGCGGCCGAGCCCAGCTCCGCGCTGCCCCGCCGGGCCGGCTCCATCTGCGGCAGAGCCACGGCGCCCTCCGGCACCGGCACCGGCCGCCGCCGGGCTCCGCGCCCCCTCCCCGCCACCCCCCCGGCCGCCGCCGCCGCCGCCGCCGCTGCTCTCACCTGGCGGCGCTCCCCGCGATGTCAGCGCCGCCCCCGCCCCGCGTCCCGGTCCCCCCCCCCTCCCTCCCCTCCCCAATTCCCCCGGGGACCGGGAGCGGCGCCCCCTCCCCCGGTGCGCGCAGCCCGTGTGGCCGGGTGCGCTACGTGCGGCTGCGCGTGCACGCGGCGCCGTGCGGGAGGTGCGGGGGGGGCGCGCACACGGCTGCACACACGCGCGTTGTGTGTGTGTGTGTGTGTGTGTGTGTGTGTGTGTGTGTGTGCACAGCCTGCCCTGCGTCTGCTGTGTGCGCGGTGTTTGTGTGCGCGTTATCAGTGTGTGCGCAGGGTTACGCAGAAGCGCAGCATCACAGAATATTAGGGATTGGAAGCGACCTTGAGACATCATCTAGTCCAATCATCCTCCTGGCGGGGCTGGAACACCAAGGTCAGGTCACACAGGAACACGTCCAGGTGGGTTTTGAAAGTCAGCAGAGAAGGAGGCTCCACAACCCCCCTGGGCAGCCTGTCCCTGTGTTCTGTCACCCTCACCATAAAGAAGTTTCGTCTCATATTTAAGCAGAACCTCCAATGTTCCAGCTTGCACCCATTGCTCCTTGTCCTATCATTGTGTGTCACCGAGAAGAGCCTGGCTCCGTCCTCCTGACACTCACCCTTTACACATTTATAAACGTTGATAAGGTCACCCCTCAGCCGCCTCCTCTCCAAGCTCCCTCAGCCTCTCCTTGTAAGGGAGATGCTCCACTCCCTTAATCACCCTCGTGGCTCTGTGCTGGACTCTCTCAAGCAGTTCCTGTCCTTGAACCGAGGGGCCCACAGCTGGATGCAACACTCCAGATGTTGTCACCAGGAGGAGGAGAACCTCTCTCGACCTGCTAACCACATCCCTTCTGCTACACCCCGGGATGCCATCGGCCTTCTTGCTCACAAGGGCACGGTGCTGGCTCATGGCCATCCTGCTGCCCACCAGGACCCCCAGCTCCCTCTCCCCTTCACTGCTCTCCAGCAGGGCCATCCCCAACTCACGCTGGTGTCTGGGGTTGTTCTCACCCAGATGCAGCACTCTGCACTTGCCCTCGTTATATTTCCGTAATTTCTCCCCGCCCAGCTCTCCAGCCTGTTGAGTTCCTGCTGGACGGCAGCTCGACTCCTCCCAGCTTTGTGTCAGCAGCAAGCTTGGTGGCAGCACACTCCATGCCCTCACCCGCGTCACCGACAAATACATTAAACAGCACTGGTCCCAGTACCCACCCCTGGGGGACCCCGCTGGGTGCAGGACCCCCACTGGGCTCCATCCCATGCCCCCAGCTCTGCCTTGTTGCCCTCCCCGCAGTGCACGTGTGCGCGCAGAGCGCATCAACGGGGTGTTCCTGGGCGTGCTCACAATTGGTGTGCGCGCACACGTGCTTGTGCACGCGCATCCGAGGCGCGCGCGCGCGGACGCGGGCTGCGCGCGCCTATTGCGCGCGGGCCGCGCGCCCAAGCGCTGCGAGCCGCGGAATGGGGGCGCGCGGGGGCGCGGCGCTCGAGGCGCGCCCCCGCGCCGCTGCTGTGCGCACGCGCGGCGGGGGCGCGCGCGCGCGATCCGCGACGTGGCGATGCTGCGGGCGGTGGCGCTGCTGGCGCTGCTGGCGGCGGCGGCGGGGGCCGAGCTGCGGGACCTGGCCCGGGGCAAGGTGGAGGTGGGTGCCGCGGGGTCGGTGCCGGTGATGGTGGTGATGGTGCCGGTGATGGTGACGGGCTGTGCTGTGCTTTTTCTCCCCGCAGACGTGCGGCGGGTGACGGCTGAACCGGCTGCGGGAGGTAGGTGGTGCCGGGGGGGGAGGCGAGGTCCCGCGGTAGGCGCGGTCCCGCTCTGACCCCGGGTCCGTTCTGCCCCCAGGTGAAAGCCTTCGTCACCCAGGACATCCCCCTCTAGTACCCGATGGGGGCTGCCGGGGGCTGCGAGGCACGGGGGGGGCTGTGTTGGGGAGGGGGGGGCGGAATGGGGTGGGGATGGGACAGGGATGGGATGGGGATGGGGACGGGGATGGGAACAGGATGGGGACAGGGACAGGATGGGGATGGGACAGGGACAGGATGGGGACGGGAATGGGAACGGGATGGGGATGGGACAGGGACAGGATGGGGATGGGATGGGGTTGGACTGGGGATGGGTAAGGATAGGGATGGAATCGGGATGGGATGGGGACAGGACAGGGACAAGATGGAGACGGATGGGATGGAATGGGGAAACAGCAGGATGGGACGGGAGGGGAGGGGATGGGATGGGACGGGACGGGATGTGGACGGGGTGTGGATAAGATGTGGAAGGGCAGGGGATGGAATGGGCTGGGACAGGACGGGATGTGGGGCTGCAGCAGGACGGGATACAGGGCAGAACAGGACATGGGATGGGATGGGAACAGGACAGAGCACGGGATGGGGTGATGGGACAGGATGGGGGCTGCGTAGTCCTGCTTGGTGCTGCCCGCTCCTTAACACGCTTGCAAGCCATAACCTGGAGATGAAGCACCTGCCTGGCGCCGACCCCGAGCTTGTACTCCTCAACCACAGATACGAGGAGCTGGAGGTGAGTGCAGCCACCAGAGCCCCTGTGTGCCGGTGCAGGGCACCTGGGCTGGGTCTGAAGAGGCTGCAATCCCTGTCTCTGTGCAGAGAATCCCCCTGAGTGACATGACCCGGGAGGAGATCAACCAGCTGGTGCAGAAGCTGGGCTTCTACCGCAAGGAGACACCCGATGCCCCTGTTCCTGAGGAGTTTCGGTTTGCCCCTGCTAAGCCTCTGCCCACCCTGCAGCCCCCCAAAGCTCCTGCAGCTGACAGCGAGACCCCACCTGAACGCGACGACAAAGAACATCCAGACCTCTAGTGAGCGGTGCAAAGAGAAGTGGCAGAAGGTGCTGCAGCCTCAGTGGGTGAGGATGAGGGTGTTAGAGCAGCTGCCTCTGCCTGTGCAGCTGGGAACAGGTCCATGGGGTGACAAGGGTTTGACCACGATGCAGGGAGATCTTTCCAGCTCCCCCCACTGTTGCTCAGTGTTCATAGCCTCTTCCCCGGGGATGCCCTGAGCAGTTCTAGACTTGAGCAGAGGCTGCCAGTGCACCGAGGACATCCGAGTGAGCCATAGCTGCCTGTTATTGCCTTCCCCCACCCCAGCCATTCTGACACGGCCAACCTGAAGGAGCAGTAATCTCATTGTTCCTTTACCATGCCCCGAGGTTTAGTCACCTCCTGGTGCTGGGCAGCGATATCCTACCTGCACAGGACAGGATGAAACCCTCAGCAGAAAGCCCCAGGTGCTGAGAGTCGATGTGCTGAGTCCTGGAGGTGGGAAAGCTGCCCCCTAGGAGGGTTCGGCTTCACACCACCAGCAGGGTTGCCTCATATTGAGCACACAGTAAAACTTTTGCTTACAATCTGCTGCACCTTGTCATCTTTCCAGGGTGGGCTCAGTGGGGCGTGCGTCAATGCCTGGAGCAGCTGGCAGAGGTGGAGGGGGGCCGCAGGGTCACCCTGGGTGCACGGTCACCTCTGGTTGGTGAGCCCTCAACTGGGGTGGGACACGAATGGTTCCTCTCAGCTCTGTATTGTCCCTGTGCAGCAGGAGCTGTGCTTGCGCAGAGGGGGCTCCATGCAGGTGGGGCTGCAAACACCCCCGGGCAAAGGGAGGCAGCCTTGCACACTGCAGGCAGGTTGCTCCAGGGGCTCCGCGCGGCCACGTTGCTTGGAGGGGATGATGGGGAGAAGGACTGGAGGCAGAGGCATTGCCCTATAGAATAAACCTTTATTGTCTGGCTGGTGTTGGTACACGTGTCAACGCAGGTGTAGACGGTGATGAAGGGGTGAGTGGCACTGAGCACAACGTGCCCAGAGCTGGGGAGGAGCACGGGGGCTGCCTAGACCCTGGCCCTGGCCCCTCACGCCCTCCCTGCTCCCCTCCAGCTCCCCAGCACGTGGGTGCTGCAGGTCCCTGCCGTGGAAGTGCCCTGGGCACGTGAGTGCAGTGGGAAGCAGGGTGTCAGCATGGGGCCATCCCGGAGAGGTGGCACCAAGCAGGGACTGTGGTGGGCAGAGAGGCTGGCTTCCTTGCAGGGGGGGCCAGGAAAACCGCTCTCGGGCTGCCTGGAGACCAAGGCGCTCTGCCTCATGGAGGTACCAAAACCAGCAGTGCCCACCAGGGCCCCGGTTCTTGGAGGGGGGTCCGCGGGCTGAGCTGCGCTTACGTGGACCCACGCTGGCTCAGGGCCCGAGGGCACCACCATGCCCCAGCCTCCCTGGGAAACAGGGGCACTGCCCACCTACAAACAATTCCTTTGAAAATGAATAACTTAATACGCTAGAGCATGGCGGGGGGGGTAGGGAGGAGGAGAACCAAGCTGGCTGCAGGGAGGGTGGCATCCTGGGCAGCACCCGCCTGGCACTGTCCTGCCCTGCCCACGCCTTCAGCCGGGCAGAGGCCGACCGAGGAGCTCCAGCGAGGCCGAAGCAGGGGGTGACCCAAGTGATGGATCCCCCCCCCTCTTTTCCCCAGGACCAGCCCCGCAGCCTCTCCAGGCCCTCCCGCCAGCCTCTGGAGCGGAGCAGCAGCTCCTCCGCACACCAGCGTCCCTGCGGGGAGGGGGCAGTGAGGTGTCGGGCAGCTGCAGGCCAGGGCAGGCTCTAGCACTCTTTCTGCCGCATGCGCAACTCGTGGCGACGCAGGTGGTTGTAGAGGGACTGCACATAGGTGAAGACGCACTTGGGGTCTGGCTTCTTCCCCATGATCATCATGTCTTCCACCTCCACCAGGGGCACGCAGTCTGCCAGCATCCTGTGGAGACGCAGGCCTCAGCACGGCTGGGCGGGTTGCCCCTTCCTGCAGGGGACTGGGATGGGGTCCGCCAGCGCTGGGTCCCTCTGTCCTTGGACTCACCCTGCCCTCCGTGCCCTTATCCTACCCCTCCTGCTGCCTCCGAGGCCGGGCAGCCTGCAGGCACCGCTCACCCCTGCTGTCCCCATGCTCCCCTGCCACCCGCATACACCCTGCCCCAGCTCCTGCCCTGCTCTCCGTGCCCGCAGTCACCCCCCCAGCCCCTTTGGGCACGCCTGGCTGCGGAGGAGCTGCTGGAGTGTCCCTGTCCCCCACTGCCCTTTGCTCCTGTCCCATAGCCAAGGCCACATCTGCTGCACCAAGGGCTGTGCTGGGCCCTTCTCCAGCTGCTCCCAGCTCACGCTGCCCCTCTGCCGTGAGCAGCACCCCAGCCAGCCCCCAGCACCCTGCCCCTGCCATCCCACAGCCCTCCCAGTGCCCGGTGCCACCCCAAACCCTGAGCTGGGGCTCCCGTCCTGCCAGGCTCCCGGCAGATCCTCAGCCTCGGGGGCTGCTGGCACCGCTGGGTCAGGTACGGAGGGGAAAGCAGGGCCAGCTCCCACCCCATCCCACCCCCTGGTTGTTGAGAGTTTAGGGGTGGCAGGGGGGTGCCCAGGAGCAGAGCAGAGCTCCTGCTGCCTGCCCAGCTCCCAGCACCCCTCCCAGCAGTCCCAGCTGGGCAGCAGTGCAGGCTGTGATGGGACCCAAAATAACAGCCCCATGCTGAGGCCAGGGCTTGGGGAGGAGGAGGCTGAAGCTCAGCCTAGGGCTGAGCATGGAACACAGCCTCACTTGGGACCTCCGTGCAGTGATCAGGGCTGGAGATAAAATGCTTCCAGGGTCCCGCAGTGCCTACACAGGCCTGGCTTCGTGGCTGAGTGGTGGTGCAGGCTGAGCCAAGAAGGGGGCTCATTGGGGCTGCTCCAACCCTACTGGGAGGATCAGACAGCTTGGCTGACACCCTTCAGCAAAACCCTTCCCCCAGTCCTCTCCCCCCTGTGCCAAGCTGTAGAGTCCCACCTGGATTTGCTGCATGCTTCAGTACCCCCAGCACAGGACCTGGAGGGGGGGACTCGGGTCTGGCACGGGCACAGCACAGAGCAGAACCACTGCTGGTGCCAGCCCTTGGGCAGGGAGGTAGGGGTGAAAGGAGCAGCGGGCTCGAGGAGAGAAACCCTTAGCTCCTGGGCTCCTCACGAGCGCTGCAGCCATGCTGGGGGGGTTTCAGGCCAGCCCAGCAGCTGTGTTGGGGCCCTGCTTCTCTGCCTTGCTCCTTTGGTTAGCACTGCAGAGCTGGAACTCAAAAGGCCAGGGAAGCAGCGGGCCCTGAGCCCAGGACCTGGCTAGCACCAACCCCTCCACGTGATCCAGCAGCAGCCCAGGGGGGGCCACGCTCAGGGCCTTGGAAAAAAAGCACCCGCCTGGTCACAGGAGGCCCCTGTTATACCGCCAGCCCAACCGTGGGCCCAGTCCCAAGGGTGATGGAAAAGCTAAGGCAGCACGGGGAGACAGTCTCTGTCCTTATAAAGGCATTGTTTGGGCCTCGGTGTGCTCGTGCAGTGCGCAGCCGGGGGAGAGGAGGCTCCAGCGCCAGCTGGGATGCCCCTGAGAACAGGCACAAACAGTGCAAGAAGAGGCAGGACCGGAGCCTTGAGTCACACTTTCCAGGCTCCCCTCTCTTTCCCATATAAGAGCAGGCAGCACCTTGGCAAGGGGGAAGGGAGGGAGAGAACATCCTCTGCCACGCCTGACCCCCACATCAGCCTCCACCCGCCCAGGGCAGGCAGCCCTGATTTTTGGGGGCGAGGAGGGCAGCAGCAAACGCAAGCGGTGGGGCTGGGGGGGGGAGGTTAGGGGGCGATGGGTGCTCACCCCTCACCTGGGCACAACTGCTATGGGTAAAATGCTCAGCACCCGGGCTGGGGTGGGTGAGCAGGAGGCCAGGGAAGAGCCCCAGCAGCACCGCTCCCACCAAGACCCCTGTGGCTGGAGATGCATCGCCCCCCACCCCAGCTGCCACGCTCCCATCCATGGCCACCATCTCCCCCCCGACCCCCCAGCGCTATTCTGAAAGCAGAGAGGAGGGCTATCTGCCCTCCACCCCGCTCCTGGCAAGAGGGCCACGGCTCTGCCCCAAAAAATGCCACCAGAACTCGACCCTTGCCCACCAGCATCCCCCATCCTCTCCCCCAGCCGCAGCTCCCCGGGCCCTCCTGCCGAGCACATGGCCAAGCTGCAGGACGCGGGCAGGTGGGTGCGGGGGGGTGGTTAATTTGACAGCAAGGTTCTCACCATCGCTCCCGGGGGGTGAAAATGGGCTACGACTTTTTGGTTTTTACCAGCCCCTTCTGGACCAGGCAGCGATAGAATTCCTGAATGTATGTGTACACACACTTCCAATCCGGCTCGCGCATCCGGACCATGTCCTCCACGTCCAGCAACTGCGGACAGTCTGCGTGCTTCCTGGGGGCAGGGAGAGAGAGGGACAAGCCAGTGACCGCAGCCCAGTCGGGGAGGGGGAGAAAGAGAGAAAACAAGAGACATATCAATGCAGTTCCCGTTCCTCGGGCAGACGTTGCTCTGCTCTCGCATGCTCTGGGGGTGCACGATGCAGGGCGGGACAGGTCCAGGCACCGCCACGCTCCAAGGCCATTCAGGTGAGATTTGGGGGCCAGGTCTCACAAGCAGGGGGACGGGAGGGTAGGGGCAGGTGAGCAGTGTGGACAGGCGTGAGGTCCAGAGGGAACGACAGAACAAGACAGAGGAGGGAGGGAGTGAGGTGTTCTGGCGCGCCTGGTGCTCGGGGAGCAGGTTCCAGAGCGGAGCAGTGTTCTATATAGCTCGTATATAGACTGGTCGGGAGGGCCAGGCAAGCCCAGCCCTCCTGCCCAGCTCCGCTTGGAACTGTACGGTACAGCCCTGGTGCAGGAAGCTCAGGAGAAGATGCTCACAAGAGCTGGAGGAGGAGGAAGGATGAGAGGCCACCTGGCTTCCAGGCCGGAGAGATCGATGGCTCTCTCAGTCCACGTACCGGTCCCCAATTAAGGCAAAAAGTCTATTAATAGGAGCGCCAAGACCCAGATAGACGGCCCCCTGTTCCTGCTTGCTCCACCAAACAGCACCACGGGAGCTCCCGGGAGCTCCCAGCTCATGCTGCCGCACTGAGCACCCGCCAGGGCAGGCGGGGACAGGACCCCCTCTGAAACCTGCCTGATCCTGCCCTGAGGCAGCCGCCAGCAGGGTGCTGGAGGGGAAGAGGAGTGGATGGGAGGAGAGACAGAAGGAAGGAGAGAGGGCCTGGCTTCCAGCCCTCCAGCTGGACGCGCTCCCGTCTCTCAGCACCCAGGAAAACCAGAAGCAAAAGGGGGAGGGAAGAGACTTGAGAAGCTGCGATGGTGTTTGAGCCCCTACAACTGTGAAGGAGGCGCCTGGCACGTACAAACCCAGCTCCCCGGTCCCAGCTCCCCAAGTGCTGTAATCCCTCACCCAGCACCCTGGAACAGGACGTACTATGCACAGCAGGGCAAGCTCAGAGCTGCTGCCATGCCTCGCAGAGCCTGCCCTGGCTTTGGGTCCTCTGCCCCACACCCAGGAAGCCCAGACCGCGTGCCCACCAGCTCCGCACCAGGCTGGGCTGTACCAGCCTCTCTGCACACCCAGGCACCGCTCTTCCCAGTGTCCCAACCTCATTGCATGGCACAGGAGAGCAATGCTGATGGGTGCTGAGCCCTGGGCACAGCCAGCTCCTCTAGAGCCGTTGCTCTTGCCCTGCCTGCATCCTCCTTGCCCAGTCAGCAAGGAGAGCTGTCCTGAGCGCGGGACACAGCACCACGAGTTACGTACTCTGCAGAGGAGAAGGCCACCTCGAAGTTGTGACGGCGATTCTGGGGTGTGAGCTGGCTGTAGTCAAAAGCCTCCGGAAAGAAGTTGTGGACCAAAGCACAGAAGGCCATGCCGTCGCTCCAGCTGGATGAGAAGTTCTGGATGTCCACGTGCTGCGGGGAGGGAGAGTTACCAAGGGGCACAGTGACTGGCCCAGCCTGGCCCTGGATGGGGAGAAGGTAGCACTGACCTCATAGCCCCGGGTCTTGGCTCTGCACCAGTCCAGCAACATCTGCTTGATGCTGCTGGCATTGGGAACACCGAAGCTGGAGGAGCGCTGCACGGCTGTGCGCGCCGCCGCAGGGTTCGGAGAGCTGTAGGAGAAAACACAGAGGGTAACACGCGCGTGATGTTTACCACTCCAGCTGTCCCGTGCCTGGCCTGTCCTCACCTTCCACCCTCCTTCTGCAGCTTCTCAATCATGGCCTTGCGAGCCTGTGAGGCAGATGTCTTGGGCAGGCTCTGAGCTTTCATCAGCTCCTTCTTCTTCTCAGCCTGGCGCCGCTCCAGTGCCGCCAGACTGCTCTGCCTTGAGGCAGTCTCATCTTCCCGGTCAAAGATGCTGGAAGCAACAGAGAAAGAGTCAGTGCAGAAGGTGATGCATGCAGGGAAGTGCACGCAGTGTCCTCAGACCCTTGTCATCACTGGCAGCTCAAAGACCACCCCACTGGTTCTGCCCCAGGAACGTGGAGGTGGCAGAACTCTGTGCTGTGAGTTTTCCCACCCAGGCTCCTGCCCACAAAGAGAACCCCCAGGCTGCTGCTGTGAGGACCACTGGAAAAAGTGAATGTGCTGGCTTTGGGGGTGTCCCCATATGGGGACAACACAAGCTGGACCAAGAGTGTGCAACCAGACAGCTGACACATACTGCTTTATCTGTCCTGCTGCTGGGCCGGTGAGGGCCCTGCAGAGGCACCAGCACTCACCTGCCTGTCTTCTTGGACGAGGAGCTGTAGGATGATTTGGTTTGAACAAATGTGCTGCTGCCATCTGCAAAGACAGAGAAAGAAGCCTCAGGCAGGAGCAGAAAGAAACAGAACTGGGCGGGCTGAGGGGCTCTCCACCGCATGCTCTGCGGTAGGAACGCCCCCGTGGTTATGCCGTGGAAAAAGGGCAGCAAAAGCTCTTACTGTCTGTTCTCTTCACATAACTCGACTCCATGGTTGTTGTACGGGAAGTCTTGGTGCCGTCATCTGCAAGGGGGAAGGCAAAGTGGGATCAGCTGGGTCGGGGTGACAGCAGCACCCACAGAAACTGACTGCTGCAAAGCACCCCTGTGTCCACAGAGCATGAAAGGGAGAAGTCCTGGACAGCCAGCGGGAGGAAGGGGCACAGCTACGTCCAGGACAGACAAGAAGGGCCAGACAGATGGCATGTGCCCTCCAGGCAGCAGAGACCAGGCAGAGTGGAGAGGCCAGGTGAAGGAGCGGGGAGGCAGGACGGCTGGAGCAGCTCTCAGCTTCAGTTTGCCAGCACGTCCAGGGATGCTGACAGCAAGAGGTGTAGGTGACAGGAGTGTCCTGAGGTGCAGAGAGCAGACAAGGCCTATGCCAACACTGATTAGGAGTACAGATCAGGGAGGAAGGCACTAAAACTGAACCCTTAAAGCTCAGGTCCCAGGCAGGCTCTGGGAGAGCCAGGAGACTCCCACATCCTCCTGAATCAGGAGGCTAACAGAGGGAAGGCAGCAAAACCTGGCCCTAAACCAAGGTTCTGCTCTCTCCAGGGTGCAGCTGACCCCATGCACCCACAGCGTCACCTCCCTGCACAGGGAGAGCAACAGAAGGTGCCTGGGTCTCTGTGCTGGACCCTGCCCAGGGCTCTGCAAGGCCCCGTGCATGCCACAAGCTGGGCTGATGATGGAAATGCCGGGGATCCTTGTAGATGGTAAGCTCAGGCCAGATCCAGGGCAAGTGGAGAGAGTGGCAGAGAGAGAAACAGCGGTGAGCCTTGGCAGCAGAGCACCAGGAAAGTTCTCGGCACAGCTTCCCAAATGGCCAACACGCCTGCAGAGCCAAGCAAGCAAGGCTCCTGCTCTGCCAGACCTGCCCTTACTAGACTGGATGAGGCGTTCTGTTTTGGTGACAGTGCTGCGGGCTGAGCCATCGGCCGACTGGGAGCTCTGTGTGGTAGTGGTCTCGGTGGTGTGGCCGGCCCTGCCCGCTGTAGCCTGGCTCTTCATCTCCTGCAGCCTCTGGTCCCGCTCCTTCTCCCGCTGGTCTGCAAATCACACGTGAGATGGCACCAGCAGCAAGAGGCGAGGGCCAAGGGGTGACGGACATGGGCCCAGCCATCCCAGGGTCTTGCCAGCTGCAGCCAGCCCAGGACCATCCCGTCAAGGCCAGGGGTGCAGCAGAAGACAAAACACCCTCAATCTTTACTACCAAGATGCCCCTGCTCAAGCAGCCTCCTCCTGGCTCCACCTGCAACACCTCTGTGGCTAACAGCAGCCCCACACACCCCAGCCCTCCCTGCAGCCCCGTGTCTACCACAGGTCGCCATCCAGCAGGCCCAGCAGCTGCCAGATACCTCGCTTGCGCTGACGCAGCTCCCGCATGGCGTTACGGATCAGTCGTCGCTCCTCGAAGTCCGTCGTCTGATCCAGCTGCAGGGGGGAAAGGGGAGGTTAGCATTTCCCTTCTGCTCTTCTCTCCAGCCCGGTTCTGAGACCCCTCGCACCCCAGGCCGAATCCTGTTCTCAGGAGCCCGCACCACCCTCAGGAGCGAACCACGGTGAAGGAAGTACCATCTTATCCAGAACGTCCTCATCCTCGATCCTGTTCAGCTCCTCAACGTTTAGCTTGGTCCTTTTTTCCACCTCCTTCACTTGGACCTTCTCCATGCCGTTGGGCAGCTCTGGCTCCAGCCTTGATGCCTGGTGCTGTTCCACCACCCTTGGTGCCTGGGGCTGCTCCACCACCCTTGACGCCTGGGGCTGCTCCACCACCCTTGGTGCCTGGGGCTGCTCCACCGCCTCTGGTTCCATCTGCAAGGACAGTGCCACACGCCTGAGCCTCACCAGCCCTGCTGCCCGCTCGGGGCTGCTCGGGGCCCAAATTCCCCAGGAGCCTTTTTGCTTGCACAGTACCACAGGCGGCAGGAACCGTGGAGGAGATGTGTGTGGTGTAAGAATTCACAGTTGGTGGGATTCTGTGCATGACAGCAGTGACCAAGGCAGGCAGGGGAGCGTCACGACCCCCAGCTCAGCACACCACAGCCCACCGTGCCTTGGGAGACTCCAGGCTTTCTCTTATCTGTTTCTACTCTGGCTGCTGAAATGTCCCCGGACATTTCCCACCGCAGCCTGGGGGTGTCCGCGACCCACCACAGCCACCAGGGCCTCCAGCAAGGCAAGGGGGAACCCAGAAGGACCAGGCTGGGCCACACCACGCCTGGTGCCTCGCAGCCGGCAAGGTGCTGGCAAGGCCAGTGCGCACCATTAGCAGCAAGGAGATTTCCAGGGAATTAAGGGACTTAGTGTAAAGAAGAGCTTGTGGAGCAGATCAAGAGCCTCCCTGTCATCCCTGCTCAGGAACTAGGCCAGCTCAGCCCCCACGGGAGCACAGCCGGGATGCCAAGTCCCTTTCAGCGCGACCCCCAAGCAATGTGCCGCAGGCAGCTGTCCAGGCCCAGAATAGGGCCTGGAGGCGGTGGGCAGGAGGTGTCAGCGGGGGCCTGAGGCAGCCCCACCGCACACCTGGCCCCGTCCCATGGCCCTGCCAGGCGTGGGGCAGGCAGGCGCACGCTTGCTGGCACCCGGCTCCCCGCTCAACCCAGGCCGGGGCCCAGCAACGCCTGCGCCCTATAGCGAAGCCCAAAGTGTGGCAGGAGCAGCGCAGAGCCCAAGGGCCAGCGCAGGGCGAGAGGACGCCTGCAACTCGAGCCCGCAACACGAGCCCGCACGGGGGCTGCGACAGCTGCCCCGCAGCAGGCAGCACGCCCTGCGGCTGGCACGCCAGCAATGCAAAGCAGGCAGGCACCATTGGCTCAGGCTCGGGGCCCTGCCTGGTGCTAGCCTCCCACAGCAGTGAGCCATAATCGCAGCTAATCCCGGTGACGCTGCCTGCCCGTTCCGGACACCCACTCTCGCAGGCCCTCCTGCTGCCATCCCTCGCCCCCAAGGGCTTCTGCTCAGCCCCCCGGCTCCGCACCCGCTTGGCCTGGGGGCTCCAGCTTCAGCTCAGCGCCCTCGGCCCCACAGTCCACGGAGATCCAGGTCAGGACAGTGCCACCCTCCTCCCCCAAAACGCCTCCCCCCCTTCAGGCTGGGAGCCGCCTGGAGCCCGGACCAGCCCTGCTCACACTCACAAAGCTGTTGCTCCGGGAGAGGTGCACGGTTGATTGCTGGCGTGTGCTGGAGAATGTGGGTGGATGGGCCACGGGGCTGCCGGGCTCCTCGGTGCCCTCAAAGTGAGCGCAAGGGTCCTGTGCTTCCAGAAAGAGGGTGCTGAGGTCCTTCTCCGGGGGCTCCTGCGGCCCTAGCCACAAGGCCAGCACGTCCAGCCGGCGGCCCAGGCGCGCCAGCTCTGCCCGTAGCACCAAGTGCTCTTCCTCCAGGTCATGCAGGGCTCGGGCCAGGGGCTGCACTTGCCGCAGCGCCTGCTCCAGCTGCCCCTCCACTGCCCGCCCGAAAGCCTGCAGCTCCCACCGCAGCTCCTCCAGCTCGGCAGCCCCAGCCTGAGCCAGGCCCTCCAGGCTGGCCCCCGGCATGGTGCCGGTGGGCTCCAGGGCTGCGGGTGCTGCGGCGAGAGCCCCTCTCAGCTGTCCTCCTGCTTTTTATATGAGCTTCGGGGGCACCACCCCCCCCCGGCTGGAGACCAGCCCGGCTCCACACGCCGGCTCGGCTATTCTTGTCGCAGCGGCCGGGGGTCCCGTGCAGGGGTGCTTAGGCAGGCGCTGACACTTGGAAGGATTTCCAGGCCCTAGGGGGACCAGGTGGCCCAGTAACAGGGACAGGGAGGGGGGGTGGAATGACACCGTGGGGCAGGGTGGGTGCCAGGCAGCTGCTGCAGGAAACCGGGTCCTGCCTCTGCCAGCCCACGGCACCCTTCCTGTCTGTAGGTGCCGTCATGGCCAAGTGGCACTGGGGCTCTGTGGGATGAGCCCTGGGCTGTAAAGGGAGGCAGGACAAAGGCAGCAGCCCCGTATGATCCACCCCAGCCGTGCTGCATGCAGACAGCCCCTCCTGCACGCAGCCCTGGTAGCTCAAGAGACCGGGAGGGACACCTTTTGCCTTCCTTTGTCCCTTCTGCCACTGCTGAGGACGCCGTCCCACGTCACCCACGAAACACAAACCTCTTCAGCTCCAGGCCAGTGAGGGTGCGGGGCCCTGTGCCACCAGCTGTGACCGTGGGACCCCACGGGGGGGACCCATCTCCCCTCAGAGCACACAGCTGGATGGCACGCCAGGTCCCCACGCACCAAGCACCCCCAGCACCCCCAGCGTGCCAGCAAGAGGTGCACACCACAGCAGCCACTGTCCCCCAGCTCCACGCACGCTACGGGTCCCCTCAGACTGACCCCTACCTGGCAGGGCTGGGGGCAGCACAGCCTCTTCCTCCTCCACCTCCCTGCCCGCTCTCAGCACACCTGGAAGCTGCGTCTGCCACCGGGCAGCTGAAGTGTCCTGAGCCCCCCCCTCCCGGCACGGCAGCACTGCTAATACCTTAATGAGAGCTGACGGGCCGTTGGGGAGAAGCCTGCGCGAGCGCGTTAGCACAGGGCAGTCATCCTCTGCGGGCAGTAAGCTGCCCCCGGGCAGCAGGAGCTGCATCCTGGTGCAGGCAACATCTGCAGCCAGCCCCCCACCAGGCTGCAGGCACTGCCTGCTTCATGCTGGCAGAGGCAAAGGCTGGGCTGAGCCCACCACGAGCAAGCAACGCTCCGGCCTCCGGCGCTGCCATACCCTCAGAAGCAGGCAGGCAGGGCTGGCATTCAGCCTCGGAGGGCCATGAGTTAGAGGCAGCGCTGCTCTTGACAACCCAGCTTCTGCCAATGCCACTGCGTGCACGCATGCTTCGCATTGCCCTAGATGGCCAAGAGCAGATAAAAGCACTTGAAGAGCTGTACACACCGGACTGCCTCTTGGGCACCTCCGACCCATCGCCCTGCGCAAGCCCTGCTGCCCCAGCACCCCGGGCTGCCTTCAGATCTCCCCCCAGAGCTGAGCCCCAGGGGGCAGAGGTGGTGGTTCCAGTTGTACCCAAGAATCCCTGTGTGCCAGGTAGGCACAGCTTGAGAGCACAGAGAGAGGAATCGGTGAGACCCCAGCCCACTGCCCCACGGCAGATCGAGGGGCAGAGCCCCTAGGAGGTGTTTGCCACAACAGGCTCTGCTGTTTTATGGCCAAGCTCCGTTCCCAGGATGGAAAACACAGGGGTGGGTGGCTGAGCTACCACCACCCTAGGAGGTTTCTGAGATCAGAGGGAGAGACACACAAAAACCTTCTACCTACCCCCACCCCAAGCACCTGTATATGCTGTGGCACAGACTGGAGCGCACAGGGCTCATCAGTCCAGGGACACAGATCTACACGCAGACCCCAGAAGCTCCCCCACCTGTAGGAAAATCAGCTGGAGCTTCCAGCTCATCCCACCACAGACAGCTGCCTGCCCCGACCCACAGAACAGCACGGCTGCTCCCCACCCCACACCCAGGACCCTGCACGCCGTGCCCGAGGGTAGGCACAGCCCTGTGGCCCCCAGCCCCTTCGGACACCACCTGGGTACACTCACCTTGACGACATTGCTGCTGATGCAGATGCTGCTGCTGCCGCTGGGGATGGTGGTGATGCGGATGGGGGTGCTCCTAAGCCCCAGGGTAAGCTCTGTAAAGGAAGCCACGGGTACTCGGGGCTTGCTCCAGCCTGGCAGGCTCAGCCCTGCACTTATGGCTGGGGAGAGGCTCCGGCCCCTGCCAGGCTGTCTGCCTGCTGTGTGCATCCTGCCTCGGCAGCAGGGCGCTGAGCTCTGGTGCACGGAAAGGGCTCTGGGGACAGCTGATAAATGTGGGAGCTCTTGCAGGAGGGGGGAGCCAGGCCCCCCTTTACCATCCCAGCACGCCCTAACCCCCCTAAGAAGGACAATTTCCACAGCTCTCCATCTGTGGCCAAGACTCCCGGGCGTGAGGGACAGCCCCGGGAGAACACGCGGAAGCATCCTGAGCCAGCAATGTCCTCGTGCAGGCTGGCAGGGCTGGACTGGGCATCGTGCAGCGACGGGAATGGGATGATGCATGGCTACTTAGGCCAGTGGGAGATGGCAAGTCTATGGGGACGTGGCACGGATATATATGGGGCAGAGGACTGGGCAGGATGCAAGGATAGGGCGGTGTTTTGGGGCCAGATGGGTCAGGGCAGCCCGTAGGGACAAGAAGAAAGAAGATTGTGGGAACAGGGCAAGGACCATGGGAGTGGAAGGGAGTGTGGCAGAACAGCAGGGCCAGGGATGGACCTCGGGGACAGATGGCCTACGAGCACAGGGACGTGCTGAGCAGGCTGGGCGTTCCCTGCCAGGGTCTAATCTTTTGGCAGAGCCCACGCTCAGCCTTCTGGCCACCAGCACCCAAATCCCACCAGTGCTCACCTGCCTGCTGCTGCCCACCTATCCTACTGGTCTACCCCGACAGCAGCTGCCCACGAGCCCAGTTGCCACCCTCCTGCTTACTGGTTTCCACCCGCTCCCCGGTGCCCACCAGCCCCTGGCACCTCCTCGATTGCTCACATCGTCCCTCGGGGCATCAACCCTCCCGGCACATCCTGCAGCCCCTACGGCCGCTCCCCGCTGTCCCCCCCCCCTCCTTGGCACCCACCACCCCCAGCGGGTCCCCAAGTGCCCCCAACACATCCCCAGCCGGTGCCCACCTGCCCGCTGGCTGCCGGGGGCGGCCACGACGCGGGGCGTGAGGGACTGCGTGAGGGGCTGCACGCGCCCATCCTTGATCTCGATGGTGAAGTAGGTCTTCATGCCGTCGTGGGCAGCGGCGGCGGCGGCGGTGGCAGAACCGGAGCCGGTGCCGGAGCCGACGGGGCGAGGGCCTGCGGGCAGGCTGGGCCGGGCTCTGCTCTGCGCCTCCGCCGCCGCCGCCGCCGCCCCGCGAGTTTTGAGCGATCCCCGACGACGGGGCCGAGCGCGGTCCCCGCTGTAATTGGGCGGGCCCGGCCCGCCCCCCCCCGCCGCCCGCCCCCTCGGGGCCACCCGATGGGGTCGGGGCTGCCGGGGCGAAGCGCTGGGCGCGCTCCCGCACCGAGGAGGAGCGCTGGATGGGGCCGTCGGGGCTGGGCTCTGCGAGGGACAGCGCAGCCGGGTCAGCCCCGGGGGGGGCTGGCCGAGCATCCCGTCGAGTGTCCCACCCGTGCACGCAGCCCCTTAGGGTGCCCCGCCACATGCACGCTGACCCCAAGACGCCCACGCCACCGCTGCCACCACCTCGAGGGGTCCCCACCTCGCGTTCTGCCCCCCCGGAGGAAACGTGCAGGCAGGCAGAGACTTTGCCACGCGGCATCGTGCCACCACGAAGCTCCTCGCTTGCCTGGGCTCTGCTGCCGGGACACCTTCCCCCCCCTCTCCCTGGGGAAGCACGGAGAGAAAAGAGCCACCACGGGGACCTTACCCACGCGGCCGGCCGGTGCTTGCTCCCAGCGGTGAGTGTTCAGGCGAGACGGGGTCCTCGCTGCGTCCCGGGTGGGCGCTGAGGTTGGAGAGGAGCCAGGCAGACCCAGATGTGCAAGGAAGAAGAGGAAGGGAGCAGAGGGTGAGCACAGTGCAGGGCTGTGTTCTCAGCTGCCCCTGATGGATACAGCACCCCCGTCACCCCATGTTGCCCAAAGTGCAGCACCAAAACCCACTGGCACCTGCAGTGCAGACTTATAGCATGAAAGGGAAAGGGAAAGACCAAAGCGTCCACACCCAGGTGGGCACCAAGAACCTGGGGACTGTGCTGAGGAGCTGGGATCATCCCTGCCCCTGTGGGACCCTGTCCGAGCCAGGCCAGCCCAGCATTGGCTTCATGGGGAGGAGGGTGGCATACTCGCCAGGCCAACCACCACCAGGGACTTGACCTTCAGGGTGCCTGGGGCTGCAAGCTCATTTTCACTCTTTATTTCCTCCTGGCACAGCAGAAGGGAAGGATTTTCCCAGCAGCAGGACAGGGCATCTGTTGTTGCCCGACGCGATCTCTCAAGGCTGCCAAGAGGACTCAGCCAGGCAAGGAGGTCCCGGAGCGGTGCTCAGCTCCCGGACAGGCCAGCGAGCACAGCCCCGGGTGGGGGGGGGGGGGGGTGCTGGGGCCAGACGGGTGCTCAGCTCCCAGCCTTATTGGGACAAAGAATGCAAAAGGCCGGGGTTTACTGCAGGCGCAGATTCCCTTTCATGGCCCTGCAGCAGCCCGGCCAGTAGCTGGGGGACTTGTAAACACCGCGCCTGGCACCCCACCGCCAGGACCGAGGCCTGGGCCAGCCCCACAGCAGCTGGAAGAGGGTCAGGCCCACAGCCAGGTGGCACGGAGTCACCAGCCACCGTGTCCCTTTGACCTGGCCGGTTCCAGCTGCTGCATTCCTCTCCCCGAGTCGCGTTCCCAGGGTTCATGACCCGTGGACTCGGTGGCGGCTCTGGGGAGGCTCAGCCCCCAAGCAGGGCAGCGCATCCATCCTCCCAGGCGGCCTCCCCAGCACGGGGCCAGAGGCTGCTTGCAAGGGCAGGGCTGGGGCAGCGAGGCCTGGCACTGTGCGGGGTGCTGGCACCCGCTGCTGCTGGGGGAAGCTCCTGCCTGAGCTGCTCCGCGTCGCCCTGTCGAGGGCTGCCCTTACCCGCTCGCTTCTCCTCCAATTTCACAGCCTTCCCCGACGCCTGGCCTCGCACGCAGATGACAAACTGCAGGAGGGGAAAAGGGCAGTGCAGTGAGCTGGGGAGCTACCCGACACGCAGCCCCCCTGGGCTCCCAAACCCCCTGGCAAGTCACAGCCCCCAAGGGCAAGCACTGGGACCAGCACTGTGACAGCTGCCTCCATGTGTGGCACCTCCAGCCCCTGCTAAGAGGACCTGGGGGGGATGGTCTCAGTGTTTTCTAGCTTATGCCAGCATTCCTCTACCTGGTTGCCCTGGCTGACGGCACCGGGCCGGTGCTGGGGATGCTGCTCTGCCTGGCGGCTTTGCCCCGTCCTGCGTGGGGTCTCCAGCTGCTCAGCGTGGGGCTCCTGCGTGGCAGAGGGGCTGCTGGGGCTCTTGTCTTTCCAGGAGGCCTGGTACTGCACTTCGCACTCGGCCACGCGCTGGGTGCATGGCTGGACCCGCTCCAGCTCCGTGGGGTGGTCTTCAGGCTTTAGGGCTGGAGCAGGCTCCGGGGCTGGAGCAGGCTCCGGTGCTGGGTGCAGGTCTAGGATCACCAGGGCTCCCGAGGCTGTGCCTGCGGGGGAGAAAAATGGGCTCCATGCAGGGGAACCTCAAGCTGCCTGTGCAGCATCGCCACTCCCAAAAACCCAAGCAGGCAAATAGCTTTTCTGACCCAGCCTGGGCTTTTAAGGGGATTTCCCCCATCTCCCCCTCATACCTCTCCATCCTCCTACTCCCCCCAACACCCCAGTTTCCCCCACGCTCCCAGGCACTGCTCCATACCCCAGGTAGTAGATAGGGTAAATGGCATTTACACGGACTCACCCTGGGCACTGGGTTTCTGGGGCCCTCTCAGCTGCTGGCTGTTCAGCTCCTGCGTCTCCGTTTGGCCATGCTCCTGCTCCACAGATGCGTCTTGCTCGTGGGCCTGGGGAGAGTCGGGGTAAGAGCCCAGCCATGCCTGCAGCTGTCCCCACCCCAGAAGGCTCATTGGGGACAAGCGTCCCTACACCTTGCTGCTTCCACTGCCTTCCCCAGACTACATTTGGCTGCTGGCAACCTGCTGCAGCACTGTCTGGGGTCAGAGAGCAGGCAGGCAGCACTGGGCAGGCTGGAGGGATGCTGTGTGCACTGGAATGTGATCAGAGCCCTCCTTCCTACCATCCCCGGGGCTCCCAGCACCCCTGAGACAAGCAGCAGGACACAGAGCTCCTCTTGGGTCCCCCTGTGCCTCCTGCTGCCTGTTCATGGCACAGCAGCAGGTCAGCCTCGTCCAGCATGGATCGCAGGAGGTGGGAGGAGAGGACAGTTCCTGCCCCGTGCCCCTGTCCTTATTTCTCATCTCCAGGTATCCAGAGAGCCCCACGGCAGTAGAGCAGAAGGAATCCGGGGTGACACGGGCACAGATCCTGGTGTAAGTCCAGGATGGGAGGAGGCAGAAAGGGGACCATGCTCCAAAGTTTCACAGGAGAAACCAGTCCTCAACCCTGTACCCCACTGTGGACTCTGTCTAAAGGAAATGCCTCAGATTTTGGAGAAATTGGCCAGATAAAGTGGGACGGCCCCACTGGCTGCTCGGGAAATGCCCCTGCACAGACAGGGGCATCACTGCCAGGCAGGAAATTTGGGGTTGCACCCACTCTTCCTGGCCCTCTGCCTGCACCACCAGCTCAACCTTTCCCCACTTGAAGAGTCATCACCGGTGGGCTCCAGCCTAGCTCCAGACCAAGCCTGGGCCCCTTGAAGGTGAGCAGGGACAGCCAGCGTGGGGAAAGGGTGGCCAGCTGCAGCAGCAACTGCTGGACAGGCCCAGCTGGACCTGGTCCAGGGCAACATCTGACGCTGGTCACAGCTTGCACTGGTGTCCTGGGTGCTCCTGTGACCAGGCACAGCCACATCCCCAGCGTCCCCAGGCCCCCCCAGAGCCCTGCTTCACCCCCAGTGGCACCTGCTCCAGTCCCCTAAGGTAAGTTAGCCACATATGCATGGGGGTTTTTCCCCGCAGAAGGCTAGCACTGGAGCCCAAGAAAAGGGTGAGGAGATGTCCAGCAGTTCCCCTACTAGCAGCACCCTGCACACTCACCACAGGACGTTCGAGCTCCTCAGCAGGCAGCTGGTCAGCATCTCCACCGTGGCTGCTCTCCTCTGTCCCATCCAGCACCGGCTGCTCAGCATCACCCCCCTGGCTGTCCTCCACGCTCCTGCCTACAGCCAGGGCCTCGGTGCTGCCCTGACAGCCGTCGTCCACGCTCCTCACTGCAGCTGGAAGCTCGGAGTCTCCTCTCTGGCTGCTCTCCCCATTCCCAGACAGAGCTGGCGCTTCAGCATCATCCCTCTGGCTGCCTTCTGCAGGCACGGCTGGGGGCTCGGTGCCGTGCCTCCGGTTGCTCTGCACGTTACCAGCCAGGGTTGCAGCTGGATGAAAGCAAAGAAGGCGTTTAGGAAGGAGCTGGCCGCATCCCAGCACCTCTCGGGTAGGGGTAGCAGCCTGCCCTGGCGGAGACACGGGGAGAACACCTCACCTTCGATTTCCTCAGCCCGCAGCTTGCGGATGGCAGCCCGGATGAGCTTGCGCTCCTCGTATTCGCTGGCCGCTCGCAGCTGCAGAGGCGAAGACCCAGGAGTGAGGCACAGGGAGGACCTTCCCACCGCAGGCTCTCCAGGGTGGGGAGCAGGGAAGCCTTGATGACCCCCGGCTCCCCCACACCACCCTGACCTCGAGGTAAGGGGCTAGGCAGGGCCGGGCCAGACCCCAGCAGCAGCTACTCACCAGCTTTGTCAGCTCTTCCACATCGGTGATTGATTCAAGCTCCCGGGACAGGGAAGCCAGAGCCTTCTGCTGTTCTTCCTCCAGCTGCTGGGACCTGCACGGGGGCCGGGGCATCAGAGCAGCCAGCGGGCAGCCACGGTGGGTGCTTGGGGAGCAAAGCACCACGCAGCCAACAACACCCCACGGGCAACGGGGTCCCCGCGCACGCAGCCACCCGGTGCCAGGCTGCTCCCAGCCCCACACCCATCAGCGTAGGGGAAGGAGCAGGGTGCAGATGAGCGTGGTCCCCCCAGGCTGTACTCACCGCAGCCAGTTCTCCTTGTTGTCCTGCCGGTGGCTGCCGCGCTCGGGTCGGAAGCGTTTGGACGCCAGTGCCTCCTCGTCCCTCTCCAGCTCCTGTCGCTGCAGCTCCCTGATGGCCGAGCGGATGCGGCGCCGCTCAGCCAGGTCCAGCGTGGCCTCCAGCTGGGAGGACAGGGCAGGGCTTGGTGCTGTGCTCCCCCCCGGGTGCCCACGCGCCGTACAATGGGGCCGTCTGTCCTGCTCGGCCCACGCGCGCGGCACACACTGCCTGGCACTGTTGGCCCTACACAGGGCAGAGCAGGGCACCCCCCTCCCCCCTCAAGGGACAGCAAGAGCTTGGCTTTGGCATGGGATGGGACACACGAGGCTGAAAAAGCAGGAAGGGAGCTGGGCACCATGGCTGGGACCATGCACAGCAAGGAGATGGGGCGCATGGCACCCGTCAGTGGCCTGTGGGTCAGTCCTCTGCCCTCCCATGCCAGCAGCATGGGGCAAGCCCTCCTGCTCCCCACAGCAGCACAGACGCTGCCCAGACCCCTCTCACATAGCCACCCATCTCACTGGGAGATGCTGGTGCAGTGGATCCTAGCATCCCCCCCGGAAAGGGTCCCCCCAGCGCATCCAGCACCAGGCGGGCTCATCACTCCCCTCCGGCAGCACCGAGGGATGGCAGGTGGCTCCTGGAGCCCAGGCCAAGAGCAGGATCTACCCCAAAACAAAGTCCATGTCCACGCACGGGGTGCCAGACCCGTGGGGAAAGGTCAGGCACGGCAGACACAGCCTCGCTGCCTTCCCGCTGCGGGACATCAGGAGCAGTGCTGGCTCCCAGCGAGGGAAGCGAGGGGGTGATTTCCCATGGAGCTTGTTAAAAATAAACCCTGTGACCCACAGCAGCTGCTGTCAGCATCAAGCCCCAGCATGCTGTGAGTCACAGCATCCACAGCACAGAACGAGAGCATCGGTCCCCTTCCTTGCAGTCCCACAGGACGCCACCAGACCACCAAGCCAAGCACGGAGGCTTTGGGTCACAGCTGAGCGAGAAGACCAGCTTTTGTCCCCGAGCTGAGCCCATCCGCTCTCGAGCCAGGTTTGTAAGCAGCACAGCAAGCTTGGAGCAAGCCGGGGGAGAGCCTCAAGCCACTGCGGGTCTGCTGCACACCCTGCAGCTCCCAGCACGGGCTCTCCTAGCAGAGCCATCGCTCTCCAGCTTCTCCTCCCCGCACTGGGCTGGGGGGAATATTTCCATCCAGGCTGAGGACCCTGGAGCAGAGCTGCCTTGCACTGCCCCAGCGGCAGCTGGAAACGGGGTACCTGGACAGCTCAGTGACGATGCTGGGAAGCCCCCAGATGGCTGCACCTCCAGGCTGCTAACCCTCAGGGCCACCCTGCAAAGCCAGGCAGCACGGGACACGCGGTGTTAAGAGATGAGGCTCCCCTCTGCCTCCTCACCTCATAGGCAGCAGCTCAAAGCACGAGTTCTCCCTCCCATTTCCCTCCTGGCACCCCCTGCTGGGCCACCAGGCTGATATCAGCAGGCTGCAGCCAGCTGTCACATCCTGCACAGCGCCAGCATCCTCCTCCTGGGCTTGCAGCCCCGCACCGTGACCCCTACCCCACAGACTGGGGGCTCTCAGCTGGAGGTTGCGCCTCTGCGGGCACAAGAGCAGGGAAATAGATGGGAAGAGCCAGAGCTGCTGCGCTCCCGGGACACGGGGAGTGTCAGGGCAGGACACCCAGGGAGGAAATCGGCCCCTCCATCCGCAGGGCCTCCCACTTCCTATCAGAGCTCTGAAACTGTGCTGCTGCCAGCACCCTTGGGAAGCTGCTGCGAGGACAAAGCCACCAGCAGTGGGGCCTTTCCCCATGTGGATAACGGGCAGGGCACCCTAGAGACAGGAAAGATTTAGTGGGGACTCCCCCAAGCAACTTCTTGGCACTTTTTTGCACGGAAAAAAGCACCTGGAAAAGCTGGAGACCCTTTGGCCAGCTCGCTCTGTGCACGTTCCCCAGCAGCAACCCTACCCCAAGCCTGAATGGAGGAGAGCTGTGTCCCTTACAAAGGAGCAGGTTTTTTTCTGCTGGCCCCACGTGCAGTGGAGAATTCGGGTCCTGGAACAGAGTGAAGCGAGCTGTGCACCACGTGGAGCCGTAACAGCATCGGGCCAGGCAGCAGGGCCAGCCCCAGCCCATCCTACAGCCGCACAGCCCTTGCCATGGCAGGCCCCAAAGCACAGACAGCTTCCCTGCTGCCTGCACTGGGGTGGGAGAAGCCTCTGCCCCTGCAGATGAGATGCCCTCAAGGCAGCAGGAGGGATCCTGGGGTCACCCTGTGCTGCCCAGCCAGGCAGGAACCCAGCTCGAGGTGCACAAGGTGATGCCAAGGGTCCGGGGAAAGAGATGGGGACCGCACAGATCTGACCCAAACAAGGAGCCAGGTGGAGCAACGAGCCAAAAAAACAGGGACCTGCAGGCTCTCTGAGGTATTTTCACAGACCTGAGGCAGGGGGTTGGAGGAGGATGGGGAGGAACAGTGGCAAGCGAGGCTGTCTGCAGCTGCGCAAAGGCCGTAAGGACAGAAAAACTCTTTCCACCCCATGCTGAGAGGTGGAGGCCCGCACCATTCGCTAAATAAACTGCTGGCTGCACGCTGCTCGGCCCTGGCACCCAGCACAGGAGGCTCAGAGCCTCACAGCCGTGGTGCAAAGGCAGCTCCGTGGCTCCTACAGGACCACAGCGTGGTTCACATCGCAGCGCAGAGGACACCCTGCTGACCCCCAAGCATGCCCGACAGCCCCCCTGTGGTTCTTTCAGTGTTACCCCAGCTTCATCCTCCTCAGAGCAGCCTTGGCTTCTCTTGGGGGCAAACCCACAGCAAGGTAGGGGTGAAAGGCAAAGAGAAATCGGGCAGCAGCACTTCCAGAGGTGTCCTGCCTCCAGCACCCCAGCTGCCGCTTAGTAAGATGAAATCAAGAGGGAACTCACTGCTGGACAGAAGGGAGGGAAGGAGAACAACCGGGAAGGCTCTGCCCTGCCCAGGAGGCTCTGGATGGGATCTGACCTGCAGCTGGGTCCCGGTGGGTTCAGCACGCCTTTCCTCTGCAGGAGAGATGGCAGCGGAGCAGGAGAAGGAGCCTCATCCCAAGCCCACGTCAGCACAGAGCCAGGGCAAGGCAAACAAACGGCTCCGGAGGCTTTCGTGGCCAGCAGCGAGGGGAAAAGTGCCGGAAACCACAGCTGGAGCCAGGGGTGGGAAGGGGCCACGGGGCCCGGCCCAGGCTGCAAGAGCAAGCCCGGAGCTCGGGACATGCCAGGGCCCCACGGGCCCTGCCCAGCCAGCAGCAAATTAACGGTTGTGAGCAAACGCCCTCCTCGTCACACACACACACAAAGTGGCTTTGTGAGCAGGGCGCTGGCAAAGCCACCCCTGGGCTGCCTTCCTGATGATGCCCAAGCCTGGCGGTGCTCAGAGCCTCGCCTCAGCCCCGGCCTGCCAGCAGAGGGCTGCAATTAGCCCCGTAATCAGCCCCGCAATTAGCCCTGCATCCACCCACCTCCGCGAAGAGGTTGAGCTCAGAGGGGGCACTGAGCGGGCTGGAGCTCGGCCACGGGGATGCTCAGCTCTGGGGACAGGAGCCAGGCGCATCCTCAGAGGTGCCACTCGCCCATCAAGTGCCACTCGCCCCTAAAGTGTCCCCTACGGCCCCGCTGTTGTCACTTTTGGGAGGATGTGGAGAGCACGACTGCCTCCCAGGCAGAGGAAGCAGGAAGGACAGCCGGGTGGCAGGGATGCAAAAGCTCCTTGGGGCTGTAGCAGCCTTGCCTAAAGGCTGTCGGATGTAAAAAGAAGGGTTCCTCATGCCTGTGACTTTCCTAGCTCAAGCCTGCCCTACCCCTGCTTCTACCTGATAAGGGATTTGCATCCTGCCTGCCTAATTAACCATCCTGAGACCTGGAGAGGCTATGAGAGGGGGGTGTCCCCTAGTCCAGGGCCAGCAGAAGGCAGCCTGGTGCTCGGCACGGCTCCAAGAACTCCAAAATCCCCGCTGCTTCCAGCCACGCATCAAAAGACCAGCCCTACAGCTGCCCTGCCAGCCAGCATCTGCTCCAGGCTCCTCCAAGGAGCCCGTGGGAGCCAGGTGGGTGGCAGAGGCTCCCCTGGTCACTCCTGGCCCAGCCCGCTCGGTCCCCACGCAGCAGCACCCCCAGGGACACCAGGCTGCTGCCGGGAGCTCATTTGCTGGGAGAAAGGAGGAGGAGAACAGGACAGAAGCTGAGGGATAGGGAGAGCGAAGGAGTGAGGAGGAAGCAGTGGGAGAGGCAGGCAGTTTTCCCTTATATGGGCTAATCCTCTTCCAGCTGAGTGGAGCCAAAACCTAACCAAAAAAAAAAAAAAAAATCCTTCCCCGCCTCACAGGAGCTTGGGACGGGCTTTCCCCAGCCCGCTCTGCAGAGGCACGGGGAGACCTGCACCCACCACAAACAGCCACTGCAAGGCTGGGTGCAGCCAGGGCAGGAGGAAATCTGAGGGCTTAGGGGAAACAACCATCCTCCGGAGTCCCCCACAGCCACAGGGAGGAGGGGACAAGCCACAGCAGCCAGGGATGGAGGGGCAGCCTCACAGCCCGCAGCAGGATGGAGAAAAACACTCTGCTCATGGACCTGCCCGCAGCCCCAGGAGCATCCCCGTGCTCTGCCTGCGTGCGGCAGAATCACAGGGCGAGGTGGGGGCAGCTTCTGCCTTGGACACCTGCCTGGCCGGGGAGCAGCACGCACAAACAGTCTGCTGCAGATTGAAGGCACCAGTCCCCACCCCGGGCTGCACAGCCCCATCTGGTTCAGAAGAAGAAAGCCCTAGGGAGAAGCACTGCTTGCTGCTTGGGTGAAATCTGCCTCGCTAGGCGGGCCAGGGACCCAGCTCCATCTGGACACTCGACTCACCTCCCTGCCAGCACCCCTGGGGCCTTGCATCAATCCGAAGAGCTCAGCGAGTCTCAGGTGGGAAGCGGCAGAGCCAGGGCACTGGCAGGATGGGGACAAACCCAGACCAGCCGTTCCCACATCTCTAGGGTCACCCTCTGGCCCCTGCTTCATCTCAAGGGCAGCGGTGGGCTCTTTAGCTGAAGCACAACTCAGCCCGTGAGCAACTCTGCTACCCAGCCAGCTCCTTCCTCAAGGATGCTGCTGGCCACAGCAGCTCCTCCGGTGCACAGGGAGCGAGCAGTAGGAGCCACAAAACCCTGAGTGGCTAGCACAGCATGATCCTAGCACACAGCAAGACCCAGGGATCGCTGTTGGGATCAAATTGCCTTGTACAACAGCTCCCTCCGAGCCCTTACACCCCCCTTGCCTTGGTGAGCACAGGGGACAGGTCTGCAAGCTGTCACCCAGAGGCAGGCAGGGTGGGAAGCTCTCTGCAGTACAGCCCCCACGCCGATCCCCTGCCCCCAGAGGTGCAGTTCCCAGTTCCCCAGCGCTGCCCCAGCACCCCGACCTTTTCCTGTTCCCCGCAGACGTTCTTTCCAAGCTGACTCAGCTTCCTGCCGCTCACCATTCCCCAGTGCTGCTCCAGCGCTTGCTCCCGGCTACCCTGTGCTCAGCCAAGGCACAAAGGAAGCCCCCCAGCCCCGAGCTCACAGAGCAGGGGATCAGCTTTGGGGAGGCTGAATCAGCGGGAAGGCATTGGCCTGTCCCAAGCAGAGCAGCATCCTGCTGGGGTGTCCCCTGTCCGAGCAAGTGACAACCCCGCTCCTGCTTTTGGGCCACACGAGTGTTAACGGCCCATGAGTGCACCCAGTGCTCTCCTCCTGCTCTTTCTCTTGGAGGACTGGAGCTGAGCAGGGCAGCAATTCCGCGGGGACTCTCGGGAAGTTGCTCCAACCGCTGCCGGGATGCCCGGCACAGCACCGCCACGGGAGGCAAGCGGCCGAGACTGGAAAGGGCTCAGCTCTCGGGGCAGAGAGGAAGAGGAGACCTAAGCCAGATAAAGCAGACAGCACCTTCCCCGCCTGGCAGCGAGCAGGTAAGCGAGGAGGCAGCAGGAAACATCTCAGCTTGGAGCTGCCAGCCGAAGTGGCAAAGGCACCAGGCAGATGTCACAGCCTGAGCACGGGTGCGAGCAGAGGCCAGCGCAGGAGGGCTGGGGTCTCCAAAGGCCAACAATGGGGCAAGAAGCGGACTATCACTAGCACTCCCTCGTGCCCAGACCCCTTCCTTCTGCCAGGTAGGGCCCAAATCTTCCCTTGGGACCCTTGGGGCCAAGGCACCCCTTTATCCCACTCATCCCACCCATTTCCCAAGCTGCGGAGCCCCACGCGTTGCAGCTCACGGATACGGGAGCAGGAGCTCTCCCAGCCGGCGGGAGGACCCCGGCCTCTAGAGGGACCCCCGATCCCTCTCTCCTCCTTTACCGGAGCCCCAGGGCTGGGGCACACACCGATCCCCCAAAACCCCCCCAAAAAAACACCCCGGGGCCGGCCGCAGCCCCGCACCGAAGCTCTCCACCGGCGGCGGGGGGGGACTCACCAGCTTCCTCAGCGCCCCTTCGTCCATACCCAGCAGATTTTCCTGGGACATCCCGGCTGACTCCCCCCCCCGTCTCCCCGACGGCTCCCCGGGGTCGCAGCTCGGAGCTCGGGGTCCCTCCGGTGCTGCCCCCGCCGAGCCCGAGACAACGAAGGGCGGCGCGACCCCACCGCTCCGCCCCGCTCCCCGCCCGGCCCCGACCGGTCCCGCCGCAATTCGGGGGCGGGGGCGGCCAAAGGGTGGGGATGGGGGCCGGGCCTGTGGGGTTGAAGCTGCTCCGGGTTTCCTCTGGGTTTCCTCCGGGCTTTTTCCTCCCCCCCCCCCCCGTCCCGGTTTTTGGCTGCCCGGTGGCTGCGGGGCGTGGAGGGGGAGGACCGGGAGAGAGGAGGTCGCGTCCCCGTGTGGCTTGGTGCTGACCCCCCAAGAGCCCCCTTGGGTTCTGTTCCTGCAGGCATGGGGCAGCCCTGATGTGGGAACCCTCCCCAAAACCCCTCAAACTCCCCAAACCCCGGGGCAGCTGGGTTTGGGTTCAGTCAGACCCCATCCTCACTGGAGGTCAGCAAGGATGGGATAGGGAGGGTTGGTGCGGGGCTCAGCATCCCTGGGTGCTGAGGGATTGGGGCTGGGTGCTGCCCCCATACCCAGTGGGACCTTTGTGGTGCAAGGCCCCAAATGGGTCCGGGGCACTGCACCCAGTGCCTTGTCCGCTGCTGCCACAGCACAGCGCGGTTTGTTTGTGTAAAAGGAAACTGTTTCGTTTGGAATTAGAAAGGAACAGGATACATCATGGAAATATTTCTGCCCAGTCAGCCTTTTGTGACAGCTTTTAGCAAAAACCCCAAATTTGGGTGTAAATCTGCCCGGAGAGTGCCCCTCTGGGCTGCAGCTCTTAACTCTTCCTTCCCTGAGAGCAACCAGGGGTGCATGGGCTTAAGGAGCTGCACGTTTCCCTGTATCACCCCCGTGTTTGCAGGGCCTGCATCCACCCAGTCAGATGTGTAGTGCCGCAGTACCACAAAAAAACAGACCCTGGTGTCACAGTGGGGGACCCCAAGCTCCTCACCTGTTTATCTGCAGCCCTGGGTCTCCGTTATTTCTGGACAAGGTTCCCCAGAGGGAATAAAGCCTGGCCTGCCACTGCCCAGAGATGCTGTGGGCTCCCAGCTGCTTTCAGCTCCTGGAAGAAGGAGAGGACGTGCTGGCCTACAGCCCTACCCGGCAGCCCAGAGACCAAAGGGTTTCCCAAGATCAGATCTTCTGGGAGCTTCCAGCTCTCTGGGAAGGTTTCTGGGTGTGGAGCGGGACCACAGGAAAAACAGAAACCACTGCAGGCCACAAAAAAAAGGGGTGCAATGGAAGTGCCTGGTTGTTACAGCAATTTCCAGGTCGGGAGTGCTCTTGGTTCAAAATTCCTACCCTGGGGACCATTTGGTGATGTGGATCTCCAGCACTGGCTACTGCTGCAGGGTTGTATTGCTGTTGCAAGGGGAAGCATGCTGAGCTATAACAATAAAGCAGCCCTCAGCACGTAAGTCTCAGCACGTGCAGAGGACTCCTCTTGCACTCCCTGTCCGTCGGTTGTCACTGTACAGTGGTGGTTAAAAGGAGATTGCTTTCCTGTACCACTCAGCTCCTTGTTCTCCGCTTTGCTGTGCAGCTTCTGCCAGCTCGACATCTGGAAAGCGCGGGAACAACTCCAGTCTGATCCAATTAGTCTTTTCACCCCAGTTCTCATTAGATATGTACCAAATATTGCTGTAATCCCATCCCTGCCTCTGTTCCTGCAAGCCTACGCCTCTCTGAATTTCGTTTATCCAAGGTAATGTCCCCGCTGCTTCCTTACAAGCCCAGTGCCAATGGGCAGCACAGCTCTGCATCCCTCCAGGCTCCCCATGGCTGTAAGCTCAGGGAACTCCTGCGTGTGCATCCAGCTGAACACAGCCCTGTCGAAGAAGACCTCGTTAGTCATGTAAAAGTGAGGCAAGGAGAGATTTACAAACCTCTGGGTGAGTGCAAGGAATGTGGCAGCAGAACTGGCTCTGGGGAGCACAGGAAAGGCTGAGGCTGCTACCGAGAGCATCAGCACTAGGCACGTGAGGGCGTGATCTCACCTGCACACAGAAGTCCCAGGGCAGCTGCCGTGTGCTGGCACGGGCAGATTGCCCAGCAGAGGGGACAAAAAACCATCACGGGGGGGCACGCACACGGGGGCTGGTCTCTGGGGGCTCCCCCAGGCAGGGGACAAGCACAGCAGGGGAGGAGGTTCAGGAGTCCTTCGGATTCCTTTTGCTGCTGTAGGTGATAAATGAAAGGTTAGATAACAGCAACGTGATTATATTGTGCCAGGGTGCATCCGTGACTCTTCTGGCTCTGCCTGGGTGTGGAGACGCCTGCCTGACTCAAGGGCAGGACGATGGAGGCCAGGTGTCAGTGCCACTGTGTAGGGACCCTGCTGCAGCTTCTGGGAAGGAGAATTCAGTCTCTTTACAGCTCCCCCAAGGGTGCTGCTGGGCACCCCTTTGGGCTCTCTGTAAGGCACAAGCATCAGCCAGCTCCTAAGGGAACCAAAATTCCCCTCCCGACCCCCTAGGGAAAAGAAGCTGAGCAAAGTTAATCAGTACCATGACGCTGCCACCCCTGCAGCACAAGCCCTGGATAGGACCAGCCACGGTGACCATATGCCTGGCAGGACTGGTGCCATCTGCTCAGGACGGGGCTTTCTCACCTAAACACACGTGCCCATTACTCAGGCGTGACTCATGTCCTGCTTAGGGCCAGAGCAGCATCGTGTGTGATTAATTTATCATGTCCTGCCCTGGCATGGGCACTGTGCAGCCTCATAGCAGCCCTGGGGATGCTGCATCACCAAGGTGTGAAGGAGCCACGTGATATGGAAGCTCACACTTCTGCCTGAGGAGGAGCGATGCTCTTACAGGCACTGAGGACTCCACTTCTCATGACCTGCTGGCAAATATGAGAACAGAAAGCACGCACCGCTTCTCTTTGTGTAAAACGTGATTTAAAAAAGTGATTTACACTTGTGAATTACTTGTGACTTACACATGTGAATCTCCAGGGCCGAACACCTCTTGCATCTATCACTCTGCACACAAGAAAGCCATCAACTTTGTAGGTCTCCAAGATCTGCTCTGCCAGGGGTTGTGCTGGGCCACCATAGAAGCCTGGAGCCTCTCCCACAGCAGCTTCCCCAGCACTACCTGAGGGCTTGCTCAGCCACGAGACCCTGCCTGTACCCTAGGATGCAGAGAGAAGCACCACCAGCTCCTTACCAGCCCCGAGCCAGGCTGCAGTGCCACACAGCAGCGAGCAATTCAGGGTGCAGCTGCAGGCAGGAGGCTGGCAGGAGCACCGCGTCTGCTGGGAGAGGAGGGAGATGAGCAGAGGTGCTGCTCCACAGCTGTCAGCCAGGAAGCTCTTAATCCTGCTTGAATTAAAGCTGGTAAATGGCTGCGGGGGGCTTGCAGGCAGAACCGCACGCAGGGTGTGGTGTCCTAGCTCCTGGCCATCTCAAAAGCCGCACCTGGAGTTGGAGAGAAATCTGCCTGGCAGAGCAGAGGGAGGTTACGCACGTGCTGTAGTTCCAGCTCAGCTCCAGGAATTTGCACAAGGCCCTGGCCCTGTGTGATAGGGAGGGAGGCTGCTCCAGCCTCTCCACGGGCAGGACATTCCTAAGAGGTGACCCGTCCTTCCCCAGAGCTGCCACCGCACCGCCCCCCCTCCAATTTCTTTGTCACACTGACTGAACATAGCTATTTTTTCCCTTTTTTGGGACACCTCTAAAGCCCATAAATTACAATGCTGAGATCTGCTGTAGCCAAGAAAGGAAGGGTTTGGAATAAGGACAAGGGGTACGGGGAAGCTACCAATCCTGGTCATTTAATAACCAGGTTTCAGACGCTCTCCAACATGATGGTCCTTCCTAAGAGCTTCCCAGAAGATCTGAGAGGCCATCAGCCTCTCCAAGGGCCTGGCCCTTCAAACAGAGCTTTTTGGACGTCAGGATGTTAACAGAGAGACAAGGAATCCATTTTTCAAACTGCCTTAAAAATTGGCTTCGTCCAGCACTGCTCTTCTTACAGAAATGGGTCTGGGGAAGGTCCTCAGGGTCACAAGGGCTACAGGAGGAACACAAAGTGGTAGCCCAGGGCTACCCCAGGCCCCACTCTCCGCAGGGAGGGTGGCTGCACGCATTTCTCCTCCAAGGCTGGGCAGGGGAGCAAACCTGCTTCCCCTAGACTCACCGAAGCAGGGTCCCATGCACCCCATTTCCCAGCAACTGATCTCTCACGGGCTCGGGCAGCAAGAAACGGCACCACAGGCACTCACGGCACGCTGCTCCGAAAAGGCTGGAAGCCTGTAGTGTCGTGGACAACCTGTAAGACACTGGTTCTGGTATTCCTTAATGAGACCAATGATGCAGTGACAAAGGGCTCTTGCTGCACCCAGTGGACAGCCCCGGTTGTTCTTATTCCCTTGTGGCCGCACTTGTGCCAGCCACAGTGAAATATTTCATATCAAATATATCATTTGCCACGTGAAATATTTCAAGAGCATGCCTCTTTTCTGGTCTGCTTTTTCTCTTTGAATTCATGCTGAAACAGTCACAGGGAAACTTGGGTGAACCATTTCTGAGTTTGCACCTTCTCTTCTGGGCCACTTCTCCCTACGAGCATCCTCCCCTCTCCTGCAGCTTGAGCTGTGTCCCCTAGCATCTGCGGGCTCGCTGTGAGAAGAAATTTCTTGGCAACACAGTACCTTCTGTGTGCAAAACATCAAATGTTTTTCTAGTTGTAATAAATCTCACCAGTTACTGTTCTTTTCCATTATTTTTGTAGTTGCTCACAGACTTTTCTCTGATGCAGAGCTGGCTTGACTACTAACATCCTCCTGCTTCCCTCTTGCTTTGCACAGGCTCAAAAATGAAAGCTGGAGGTTGGAAACCGTCTGTGCAGGAGCAGCAGTCTTATGCCAGGGTTGGCTTCGTTTCTTCTTGTCTGGTCTAGACAGCTTATATAAGAAAGAACCAAACAGCTGCCTGGTTAGGAGTCCTTCCTGCCCAGCTGTGACTCTGCCAAGTCTTGCACTGGACTCTTAATCCTTGTTGGTATGTCTAGTCTGCTGCAGGCAGGCTGAGCTACACTGCATCTGAATGCCCTGTCTACACACAAAAAGATCGCTAGCACACTGTTTTCCATTGCATATGTTGTCTCAAATTCCCTTTGTAGATAGGAGCTGAATTTATCTACAGCAAAGCTGGTACCAACAGGTCCTTATCACACAGCAAGTGCTGCATGCAGTGCTCCAACCAGCACCCCAGGCAGCTCTTCACTCTCTTTCCCAGCACTGGGGGTAAAGGATGTGCCCAGAAGGGTCCGGTTCTCTGCTTTTTCAACATACCATGGGGATGGGAGGGAGCAGCTGCCTCCAGTTCATGTTGCTTTGCCAGCTCTCCTGCTCTCCACCTCTGCCACCATCCCACCACGCTACAAAAAAAACAGCGCTGGAAGCCGCAGTGAGGGGGAAGGATGCAATAGGCTGAAATAAACCTCATTTGAAGAAGTTGCTGGTGGTGACTTTGAAGCAATTTTGTTTTATTTTTTTTCTTCCATCCAAAGTGGAAGGAGTCTCCTTCTCTGGAGATATTCAAGGCCCATCTGGATGCCTACCTGTGCAACCTGCTCTAGGGAACCTACTTTGGCAGGGGGGTTGGACCCGATGATCTCTGGAGCTCCCTTCCAACCCCTACAATTCTGTGATTGATTCTGTGATACTCTGGGTCCTGCTGGAAGCAAAAAATGTAGGCAGCAAGTCCCACCAACTACCACATACAACTAAGGACACTACCTGCCCAGGTCCCCTTAACAACCACGCACCATGCCTAGCCTGGTCTCTCTCTGAAGGACTTACCCTCCTGCTGGCAGCAGGGTCATCCAGCTGACACTAAACTCATTAGCTACACCTCAGTAGCAGGACTGGGGTGGTGAACTTTCAGCCGGGCATTCTTCTCTGTGCTGGGCAGAGGTTACATCAACACTGCTGTGCACCACTGCTCCCAATCCTGAGTCATCCAACCTCTAGTTTCTGCATCTTTCTTCTCGTTTCAGGGAAATGCTTGTGGAAAAGATGCCCAGCTCCCTGCTGTTGGCACTCTGAAGGCAAGCCACCCAGGCTGCTGCCATGCTCACTCCTATAGCTGCAGCCCCGTGGTCTGATCACAGCTCTGCCATGGGGTTGGGAGAAGTGAGAGCAGAGCCAGCTGCTCATGTCCCAGGGGCAGTCCTGCAAGGGTAGGACCCTGAGCATCCTCAGCACCTGCCTGCACTGCCTGGTGGGTCTCTGGGCCATGAAATCAGCACACAGAGCAGCCCTGTGTTGCACAAGTGGCCTCTCTTGCACAGCTCCTGTTCCTGACAAGTGTCCTCACTTCTCTGCACAGCCACTGCAGGTGTTCCAGGGATGTCTTTTCCACTCAATTTTCCTAGACTCTTCACACATGCAAACTTTTTCAGTGGAAAAGACTGTCAGATGAAAAGCTATTTCTGAAGATTAACCAAGGATAAACCCTCTTTTCTCCCCTTTGCTATTACAGTGCTTGGATTAAGACTTCATTCACATGTAAACAGACTGTAGCATGGGGAAAAGCCCTGGTCGTGCACAGAGCTCGGACCGTATAATCAGCAAAGAACAAAACCTCTGCAAGCAGGGGAAGGAAGTACTGTTTTAGAGCAAAATGTTTATATTTTGTGGAATATTGGCCAATTACAATATTTTTCTCCAAATAAAACATTTATAAGATCACTGAAATAAATATTTAAGGATGCGATATACCAAAGTCCTGAGTCATTCCTGATGCAGACGTTTTCCCCCATTGTTCAGGCAGCTTTTCCATGTAGGGTTTGGAGTTGGGATGACTGCTGGTGGCACTGAGATGCGCTGAGAGGCCTGGTGGCATGCATCTGGGAGTGGTGGTGCTCCTCCTGGCACGGTGTACCTCCAGATTTGAGCCAAATACCTGCACGTGCTGCAGAGATACAGTTCCATAAACGTCAAAGCTTGGCTATTGCATTGTCCATGTGCAGACAAGCAATGGGGATCTGCTCAGCCCTATCAGTTGTGTAGTGAAGCCTGCACATCGACACCACAAGAAGGTGGCTGCCTGTATCCGACCATAGCTTCTCCTGGCTCCTGGCTGCACCACTGACTCTGCTCCAGTGCAGATAGGAGCCCTGGGCAGCCTTGGGGACCTACGGCAGCACCACTGACCACAGCTCCAATGGTCATGAATGTGGGGAGAGAGGGAGAAAAGGCCTCTTTCCCTTTTACCCAATCTCCCTAGCCCTTAATTAGTAATAGCTTTGCTGAGTGATCCCTAAGCCAGCACCCACCCTCACTCTCCACCCAGGGGAGGTCTGACACCACCTCTCACACTTCTTTCTGGTTGTTGCTCCCTCCAGCAGCTTAGCTCCAGGTCAGGACTGGCCCCACGTGAGCCTCTCCACTTTCTGCAGCACCTGGCGGTTTCTTTCACTGCTGTTCCTCCAGTTAATCTCAGCCCAGGGCTGTCTGCCTGCCCACAACGTCACCCTTAACGTCATTAACGTTCAACTGCTGACACGGCTGCTGCAGCATCTGAGTTAACTTTCCGAACATGTACTACCTCAATCATTAGCTCAGATTAAAGACAGACTCCAAGAAGAACAAGAGCTCAGGATGTACTGAACAAGCATGGCAACATCTCCACACAGCCTCCAGATTAGACACTGATGGGGTTACAGGACTACTGAGGACCGGTCAAGTCGTCACATGAGATGATCACACGATGCTGGTGCAACCCTTCCTGAGCTGCTATGGTGCTTTTGCTCCGTGTACCATCTCTTGGCAATGTGCTTGTAGTTGTCACATCGATCGGCTTCCTGCAGTCACATCGTGCAGCTGTACAGCAGACAAGATGCTTTGCATCTGTGTAGCTCCTCTCATCCTCCACCACCAAAGCAGATGAGCTCTTTGACGTCAACTTCACATGATGCAGAAAGGCATTTTAGTGTTCCGGGGTACTGTATCTGCCTGCATCTAAAATTAAGGTAGATGAATGCCTTCGGAGATGATAAAAGACATCTAACACACGGTAAGATTCATAGGACAGAGGAGCAGTTCTCTATTGACAGTCACTGAGAGATGTTTTTATAGGAAGAGCCTATGGAGCCTTCCTCCATCACTAGAATTTCCCTGTTGTGTTATCTTCCAGATGTGATCATCTGGCTGTTCAGCTTTTCATTTGTATCACAGCCCCATCTCCTTGGATGATACTAAGAGGCAACTACACCTGAGATTTCCCTAAGGTACAAAATCACTAGTAGATTTGTGATCACGACAAGATCATGTTTTCAGTTGCTTGCAAGTGTGCCAGACTGAAATAATTTGAGCTGCTCGTGTTAGACATGTCCATGGGGCTGGTTTAAGAAAACACTGAACAGATAACACAGTCCACACTTTTCAAATAATGAGATAGGAAAAACTATTCATGAACAAAACAAATTCTGCTCATTAGTCATGTTGTTAAGAAGCCCTCAAGCCTTCCCCCATCGTGATAGAGGCCACTAAAATGTCATGCAATCAGCTTAGAAGGAAAGAAGCCTTCAGGCTTGGACCCTTCTCATCATTCCTGGGGGAAACCATGCAACTTGGCCAAACTGTAAATCTCTGATCAGTGCATGCCATTCATAACCCTTCCAAGTTTGTCAGCTAAATTCTTTTAAGACTCCAGTGCTGTTCCACATCTACTAGCTTTTCGTGGGCTCTTCTGTACATCATTCTCAAAAAGGCACAGAATTTTTCCTGTTTTAAGCCCAAGGTGGTGAAGAGGTGGTATACTGACATTTTGTAATTTTTTTTTTTCTCATCTGTTAATTCCTTCCTTTGCTTAGTTCGTTAGGGAAAGATAGACTGAGGATTGGAGAATCCTGACTGGTGCAGAAGGATCCTCAACATCCAGACATTCTGCTGACAATTTCCTGGTTCTTCCTTCAGGATGTCTCCTTGTTCTCATCTATTCCTTCCCTTCCCATTCTTCCGCAAACTAATTTACAAAGTCACTTCTGACAGCCAGTGTCTTATTGAGAATAGCATCTAGATTGAAATAATTAATTTAAATCCATGGGGTGACTTCCCCATGAGACAGGCAAGCACGAGGCTGACATTTGGCACTACGGAAAAGGATGTTGGACCTCCCATACACGTTTAGGTAGATGCATTTGAACATCTTCGTCTGCGTGTCTTATAAGGACTGACTCGCTAACTGCTTATTAAATGACTGTTCCAGAAAGGAGAAAGCCAGGAGCTATGTCTCCCCACAAATGAGAAACAGAGTCTTCCACGAAGAGAGGTGTCACTCCATGTCTACTTTGAATTAGTCAGCCAATTGTTCTGCTACTTGACTCGAACAACAGAGAGATGGGACGAATGTTATTATGAATACAAGAAGTGTGTCCACTCCAGATCACATAAGGCAGAACTCCTTGCTAAGAGAAACTATAGGTAAGACACTTGTTTTTATCTAAATTCCTGACTTTATGGCTTGCATTCTTGCATTGTCTTAGATTGATCCTGAGATTTTTACTCATGCCCAGGCAAAGTCAGAATGGTTTGAATAATGTTGCTCCTCTCTTTGAATGAGACAATCATGCTCCATTTAAAGAAGAATATCTTATCCTGTTTTGAGAGCAGCACATTTCATGGCATGGAGAATGTCCATCTGTAACAGAAGGTAACCAGGGTGAATCATGGCGCAGAGCCAGCGTGCCTCACAACACAAAAGAACAAAAAGCTGCGAGTCCACAAGATGTTTCACAGCCCATTAAAGTAAGATACTTTGAAATTCCTTCTATAAATCCAGGGCAATAGAAAAGGGATCCATGCAAGTTAGGTTATTGTGTCCTGTAATGCAGATGAACTTCTTGATAAGTACACTGAAAGTGAACACTCAGTGCAAAAACAACATGGTGGAGAACTTCAGCAGCTTTTGTCACAATGTATACAGAGGACTTTGCACACAGAGACAATGCTAGATGCTGATTTTTCTTTCCAGAGAAAGGAAAGATAAAGGAAGCACTGGTAAGCCACTGAGGATCACTGGTGAGGTTCCCAGGTTTATTTTCCAGTACCATCACTGCAGGTACTACTCCAACAGGGAAAAGCACATTTATATAGTGCAAAAGTTTATGTTTCTTTGTGTCCATACACACAGAATAAAGCCACTAACTAGCTTTGGAAACTTCAAATAAGTGTGGGAAAGATGCTTTGTTGCCCTCATGGCACTTGTCTGGTGCAGGCCATAGTACTCACCACTACAGCAACTCACTCCTGGGGTACTGGCTTGTAAGTCAAGTTTCTCAAAACCTAGAGAAGACAAATCTGTTGATTCAAGGCCTGTGCAGGTATTACAAGCAGTTACCTCCACTTTTCAGAACAGGGGCCTCACAACAGAGCTGTTGTTGAACATAGCCAAGTACCTCTGGCTACAACCCAGGCTAACAGGAAGATGCTTTGCAAATCCTGCACCAGAGTAAGGAACAAACACTATGCAGGATTCCGTGGGAACTCTCACTGAACCCAGGAACACAACTTTTGACCAGTGTGGGTTCAAAAGACTAGTTTCCCAAGGGGATTCGGGGATTACTTCAGAGTAGGAAAGTTGTACAGACTGAGATGTCCACATTCAACTCTGTGTGAGAAACTCAAATACAGGTTAAAGAAGAGCAGGACGGTTTGCCTCACGCCCCAGCCTGCACTGGCTGGAGGAGCCACCATTCCACAGGTCATTTATCAGGCTAGTTGTGTGCATCACAGCAAGCTGTTGCTTTCTGCTGCAACTGAATAGCTCCTCAAAAGGGAGGGGGTGGATGACTTTGTCACATCTGTGGAAAAGGAAGTGATGGAAGATGCCAGATTTGTTCTGCCTACTGGGGTAAGATGTCTGCATACACACCCATGTGCTGAACAGGATCTCAAGAAAATGGTGCTGATGGCAGATGGAAAAAAAAAGAAAAGCTGTTTGACAAAACCATGTAATAGAGAGACCTAGAACTCCTGAAAGTTTGGAGAGACAGTTCCTGAGATAAAAGTCATGCCCAGAAAAGGATGTAAGTGAATTTGCAATGGGAAGACTTCCATTTCACAAGCAAAGGAACTGAGCAGTTTGCAGCAGTGGCACACACACAAAAAGAGCACATCACCTCTCCATTCACCGTCAGAAAGGCTGCCCATCAAAGAATAGCTATGTTGTGGCCGAATCAGAGCTGCGGTGCTATCCAGTGTTGTTTTGCCAAAGGTAATTTCATTCTTCCTTGGATGTCTGGCAGCTCAGTGGGCTAATGAACAACAATATAATCCTTTATAGACTTCAGCAAGAGAAGCCAAAGAGCAGAAAACAGAAACATATCTGAAATCTACTTCAGAGCAGCTACAGAAAAAGTAAAAATGAATTTTTTATTTCTTTTTTGTTGGAGAAAATGAAAATGACTTGGAAGTCAACACCACCAATTGGTGGGATGGAAAAGAGTAATTTCCTGCCGAGGACTGACGAAATAAAATGGAACTGCAATGTGCTGGTCTTCTCCCATGGGCCAGATGTGAAGGACTGGCATCCAACCCAGTCCTGGGATTCCATAGCAGCATCAAGTAAGGTATCCAACTGCGCTGTTGCAGACTGACACCGTACTCTCTTGAAGCTGTTAAACTCTCTGTTGTCAGGAAAGGAATGTTGTTCTTCCCCAAACATAAGATGATGATACTGCCACAAAGTTCCTGTTAGGAAAAGAGGGGATATCCTGAGTACCAAACAGGGCAGGGCTGACAGGACACACAAGTTTTAGATTCGTGTTCCTTAGTGACATGTACTTGGATATCTACTTTGCCCTTATGTTGATTGGGTTTGCATTGCTTTTGACTATCTGCTTCTCATACTGAGTGCAATATGATGCAATGAAAGCTGAGTACGATAGATAATGCTACAATCTTTAAAAGACCCAAGCAGATACTTGTCATAAACCTTCAGACACCTAAACACTGTTACTGCCAACAATTTTCCTAATGCATTCCTGCGGCTTGGATGTTCTGCCATGCACAGCTTTTCAAAGAGAAGGCCTGAAAGAATCACTGCACACACATAGGCAGTCATCAAAAAGTCACTCTACACAAGCATACAGAGAGCACTCTGCTTCAGCAGCAATAACAGGACTCGCGGACTGGAAGGAATATTTAGATTTGAACTGATTGAGTTGAGGATGAACAGAACAAAAATCCTATGCCGGGAAGCAAAGTTCTCAAGTAAAAGCTGCAAAATCATCAGCTCTGGCCTGGAGATGTGTCTGGGGACAGACACACCCCACACAAAAACACAGCCCAGAAGGTGTTACAAAACAAAATGGGAGGCAAGCAACACAAACATCTCAGCCATTCACCTTTGAAGCTTAGTAATTAGATCTAACTTTTCAGTGTCTTGCTCCAATGCAGTTTGCGCCAGCTCAGTTTCTGCAGGCTGAATTCCTTCCAGTTTGGGACCTTTGGATTGCCCGGATTCCTAGTATCCAAGACACAGCTGCAGCCGTCCCGTTTCAGAGTCCATTTCCGAAGCATTCGGCATTTTTTTCCAAGCATTCAGCAGTACAATTCAGGCCTTCAGCATTCTTGGTGCCTGCGATTTCGAGAGGTAGGACACAAGGAAGGCAGCGCAGCTTCGCTCTGCCGCTTCAGCTCAGACGAACCGCAGGCGCAGGAACGCGACAAGACCGTTTGCGAGCTTACATACCCTCCCTATTAAGATATTTTAAGAAGCGTGGAGACATCCAGCTGCTTCTCCTTAACGCCTCCCCGAGCTTTCAGCAGCCCCCCGGCAGGCAAACCCAGGCGCGGCGTCACCCTAAGGAGAAGCCGCCGGTCCCCGGGCCCGCTTTGGGGGCGGCTCCTCCCGCTCCGTGCCGGCCTTGAAGCCGCCGCTGGCCCCGTTTCCGTTGATTTTTCCCCTCAATTTTTTGTCCCCGGTGGGGTCGCCGCGAGTCCCGTCACCCGCGAGCCCCCCACCCCCCCACCCCACCGGCCGCCTCCTCCTCCTCTCCCCGGCCGAGGCCTCCCGTCAGGCGGCCCCCGCCATGGCTCCTCCGTCAGGCGGCCGTTGCCCGGCCCTAACGGGCGGGGAACGGGGACGGCTCCGCCTTTTGCGGGGTTGCTGGGGGGGGGCTGCGGGCGTGACGGTGGCGGAGACAAAGCGGGAGCTGGGCCGCGGGGGCTGTGAGGGGAGGGAAGGGGAAGGAGAAGGGGAAAGGAAGGGAAAAGGAAAGGAAGCGAAAAGGAAGGGAAGGGGAGCGGCTTCCCCAGCAGCACAGGGTGAATCTGTGCGTTATGGTGGCGACCTCACGGCGAGGGCGGTGATTGGGGTTGTGTGTGGAGGAAGAGGAGGAGGAGAAGGAGGAGGAGGAGGAGGGGGGTGGTGGTGGATAAGAAGGAGGAGGAGGAGGCAGCCTCGAGGGCGCGCACGCGGGCCGCCGCCATGTCGTGTGTCAGTTACAGCAGCCTGAACCGGGCGCAGCTCACCTTCGAGTACCTGCACACCAACTCGTGAGTACCGCCTGCCTTGGCTCTGTCTGTCTCTTTGCAGCCACCACCCGCAGCTGCAGCCGTCGCGGTGGAGCAGAAAGGCAAAAAAAAAAAAAAAGGCAGGAGCGGGGCCCAGCAGCGCGGCAGGGCGGTGGGGAAGGGCTGGCAGCGCCGCGGAGCCCCGGGGCAGGTAAGTGCGGAGCCCGGGGGGAGCTTCGTGAACAAACTTCGCCCCCGAAGCAGAGCCCCCCAGGCTTGGCACCGAGGTGATATCCGGACAGCGGAGGTCCTGAGGAAGGACGCGTGATGGGGGGACGCAGGGAGCAGCTGCTGGGCCCGCCTGGCTTCTGCTGCCGTCTCCCTCCAGAGGAGCCTGGGGTTTCAGGCGGCTGTTGGCTCGTTTCATCTGTGCCTGGATGTCTCGTAGAGGTATGTTTCTGATGGTGAGAATCTTCGGATGGGCTTCGTGAAGGAGCTGCAGCTGTTTTTACTGTAGAGTCCCCGATGCAAAATCTCCTGGGAAGAGACAAAATTTCATCTGCTTTAAAATTGATTACTTCGGAATGGATGGCTAGGAAATGAGAAGTGCTGCTGGGAACGGGTGCTTAACATGGCTAAGCGTCCACCTGAGACATGCCTGGAAAAAAACAAAACAACAAAACACAGTAATATTGCTGTGTCATGAACAGAAGAGTTTAAGGAAGGAGCTCACCCTGGCCAAACTGTCTTGGAGAAGAAACATGAAGGAACACTTGGCATCTCTTCGTTTTGATCAACTGAAGACCAGCGTCAGGTTGTCTTCTAACATTTTGTGGAAGAGTTGACTCTGAACGTTACCATCAGAAGATACCAAGAGCCACCTCATCCTTTGCACGCTACTTTCAATGTATGAAGGCAAGCTTAGAACAAGGGACCTCAGTGGTCTGCAGCAGTCTAAGGACTACTAATGCACAAAACTGGCCAGCTTGATTTTTGAAGCAGATCTGACTGTGTTGGTGATGCAAGATATGGCTACAAGAGGAACTACTCAGACAAATCTCATGTGTGCCAAGAACGTCATCAAATTCTTCTTGCTATAAGGAAAGTAAGAGGTTCTGCACAAAAGAGTAAGATGGTAACAGCCAGATGTCACCCTTGGTTCCATGTCCAGTGGCTTTGTTCTCTGGTTTGGCCTGTAGCAGTTGCACATGAAGCAACCAGTCTGGTGCCCGAAGATAATACAACATTGAGTCAAGATCCTGGTGCTGTTACTGCCATGTGAAATTCTCATGTCTGGTTGTGGAAGGCATATATATGTTCATACGTGTTAGAAAACTACAACATTGCCCTGGCGGTGGCTTGTATTTGCCTGTAGGGCAACAGGATTCTGGCTGTTTTGTAAGAAGATGAAGTCTGTGCCACAGAAAAGACTGAAGGTGTTGTTCCTGCCCTAAAGTAATGAAGTTATTTAGTATTGCCACTGTACTTCTTGTCCTGCATACGCTGCTGGTCTCCTTGTAGTATGCTAAATTATAAAATTGTTAGGAGGAGTTGGAGGCTATTGGTCATGTTTAAGCCAAAGCCAGGGCTTGGCATCCACTGTGAGTGAAGAGCCTTCTGAGATCATGGGGATCAGTGCATAAGCCAATACTGCCCTACAAAGAGCAGTGGAAAAGAATGGAAATACTTTTTAAAATCAAAACCAAACAAACAGCAAATAAACAACTTCTATCTTTACCCAATAAGCCAACCAACAAAAACAACCAACCCAACGTACAACAACCTGAGAACAGCGTAGGGTTTTTGATGATGCAGGCTTGTCTTTCAGAGGAAAACTATACCATCTCAAATTATACTATAAACTATACTTTGCTCTCTGAGGAAAACTATACCATCTCAAATTTCACTTCAGTGTCAAAAGATGTTTCATAACGTGGAGGTAGAATTTCTTTAAGTTGTAGTTTAAAGTCAGCCCTCAGTGTTGAGCAGCAGAAGGAAACCGTGACTTGTATTTGCTCCTTTTTTAGGCTCTTTGAAGGAGAGATAAGTTGTGATATATCTAAGGGTATGCTCCGAAGTGCTTTGAGGACCAGATAAACTGGCTCCTGAAAACTTGAGGACTTACAGCTGATATTTTGAATGCTTTCATAATGCTTCCATGCCTCGTGGCAAATTTGACAGGATGTACCTGAAGCATTTCAGTTGCTTTTTTATTTATTTCTCAAATAACACTGATGTTATTCCAAGTGCTTTTATGGAACTTGAATAATTGAGCTATGTGAAAGTTCCTGTATATTATGCTATAATGTCATTATGCTGTAATGAAAGCCTGAGAGCATAAGCACATGAAAATTACCAGTGCATGATTGTTGTGGTTTTAACCTGGTCGGCAGCTAAACACCACACAACCGTTTGCTCACCCTTCCCGCTCCCTCTCTGGAATGGGGGAGAGAAACGGGATAGTGAAGCCTATGAGTTGAGTAAAGACAGCGTATTAAGACAGAAAAATAACAATAACAACAATACTAATAACAATAATGATGATAATAGTACTACTAATAATAATGTGTACAAAACAAGTGATGCACAATGCAATTGCTCACCACCCGCTGACTGATGCCCAGCCTAACCCTGAGCAGCCAGGCCCCCCCCACCCTGGCTAGCCACCCTTATATCTTGTTTAGCATGACCCCAGATGGTATTAAATACTCCTTTGGCTAGTTTGGGTCAGCTTTCCTGGGTCTGTCCCCTCCCGGCTCTTTCTGTACCCCCAGCCTCCCCGCTGGCAGGACAGAGTGAGGAGCTGAAATGTCCTTGGCTTGGTTTAAGCACTGCTCAGCAACAACCAAAACATCAGGGTGTTATCAGCACTCTTTTCATCCTAAGTCAAAAAATAGCATTCTACCAGCTACTAGGAAGAAAATTAACTCTGTCCTAACTGAAACCAGGACAATGGTCTTTAGGGTGACTTCCCAAAGCTACCTACCTGTCTTAACAATGATTGGGATTTTTTCCTTGAAAACGAGATGCTGCCACTTTAAAATGCTTCTAGGGTTATTCATTGAGATGATAACAAAAATGCGTCTCATCTCAGCCAACTTTTTTTTGTATATTTTGAATATTTGTAATACACGATTGAAGGAGCTTGTTAAAATCTGAAGAGCAGAAATTGTCTTCAAACAGTGTTGTATAGAAAGAGTTAACTTGTGATTGAACTTGAGGGTTTTTTTTCTGTAACCAGAACTCCCCTGTTAAACACAGCTTGAGTAGAAGCTCACTCAGATGAGAAGATTTCAGAATAACTGAACGGTGGACTTGAGGAATACGAGTGATAGACAAACAACATCTCCCCAGCTGTCAAGCCCTCACATTTCTACTTGTGGATATTCTGTATTTTGGCTTGAAACAATGCAGTAACAAGAGGGTAGTTCTTGTTTCTGACACTGATGCCAAACTTCCAACTTAAATATTTTCCCAGATGTGGCCTCCTTCAGTACAAACATAAAGTCTTACATCTTTCATTAGTTATTAGGTACTTGTCTGACTATGTAGGATTGGAAGTCCAGCTGGGTTCAAACAGGAATGATTCTTGAACTCAGAACATAAGCTGCCTCTTTCTTTTTTCCTTCCCACCCCTTGGTATGCTACTCTAAATGGTTTGTAGACGTGCTTGAAATTGGTCACGTTCTATGGAGTTGTCTGACTTGACTTTTGTAACCCGTATTTGAATAGATATACTGGCAGCCTTAGATGTCCCTGTTCTGTTCTTCCTTGCCCAGTTTGGCCTCCTGCATGGATGGAGCTGCCTTGAATGAAAGGTAGAAGTTGTAAGAGGGTTCAAAGTCAACCCACTTATGCCAAGTTTTCACTGAGGCTGCAGATTTTTATAATGCTTTCTTCCTGACTCCCCACGTTTCATTTAAGCAGTCTTATGATCCGTGATAGTTGTATTTCTCATGCTTTGATTGATGTTGGTATTGCCTCCGATGATGATGATCTAGCTTATGCTTAAGTATGTCCAGGTTATGTACAAGGTTGTACAGCCTCAATTTTACCAGCAGCTTATCCTTGGATAAGGAACCAACAGTTCAAAAACAGTATGTTTTTGACACTTATGTTGCAATAAAATAGTCCTTTTTTATTGCAATTTATAGAGGATGGGGAGAGGATTGCTACCAGTTGATAATGATGTACATTAGGTATTTTAGGCACACTTGGTTGTAAGGCGAGATCATGGTTTTTGTTAGGCCAAGCACTACGTGTGACTTCAGTTAGATATTGACAAGATAATTTGGGACATTTCAGAAGTCTTAGTGTTGAGATTAATTGCCTTGCATTAAGTATATTATAGTGTATATACACTTTTGTTAGTGGTAAACTGCTTGAATTGATTTTGCTTGCTTGTAGCAAGGTTTCGCTTTACCTGGTCAGCATAAGAGATTCTATTTTTGGTAGGTGTTTCAGTTGGGTATGGTGTCATGCTACTTAGGAATAATGTTTTCTCTCGCCTTTCTTATCTTCTGATATTTCTTCAGCTATTTTGTTCCAATATCTTTCTTTGGAAATCCCTGTGAACATTTTTCCTTGATTTTAAGCGTTCTTTAAATTGTGGAGTGAAAGATATTTACAAAGCATAGTTACTAGTGCTACAGAATCCATTTGTTTGTGGTTTTTCCCTGACACAGGCTAATTTTTAAATGTGTTTCTGGGATGTTGATTTGTAGAGTTAAACTGAATGATAGGGAGCACTTGAAATACATGTATGTGCACGGGAAATCCTGCTCAAATGAAGGAGTACCAGGTCTGAGGTTCTGATGCGACTTTCTGACCGGTATGATAGTCTGATTTTAGGTATAATTTGGCATTTTTGTGTAGTAGTGAAAACAGGTTGTATGTGAAGAGGTTTCATACAAACTCAAATACGTAGATAAAAAACATTTTCTGAGGACTCAGTCTCTTCATCAGCCATCCTAGAGGAAAAATAAACTGCATAAATCCTTCTTGGGTAGATTAAATTACTTGGTTCAGCAATATCAACTGTTTCTCCAGGTATTGTAGCTGCAGTTAATAGATAAGGGTAGATACGTCTCATCTACACGTGAAATAATTGTTGGATTTTGAAAATGCATCAAGAAGTGCATCAAGGGCCTTCAGTGGAGATACTACATTAATGTTGCGGGCAACATATTGGAATCACTTTACTAGCTTTACTGTTTCCTCACCATGTTTTGTGTTTTGTTTTTATCAAGGTTAAGGTGCATAACTAAAGCCTTTTTATGGGTGCTGCTTATAAAACGTGGTAGTTCAAAGGCGAGAAGCTAAACATAGCTTTTGTGACTGTGCTAGTGGCAGCTGTGTGGATGATTTTAGCATCGAGTTTGGAAGGTGGTGTGGTGCAGTGGTAGCAGAAGATTGTCTTTTCTGAACTAGGAGCAGCTGCATCTATTGGAGGTCTAGCAGGATCTGGAAATTTCTCCATGTTAGAAATAATTTCTACTATGTGAATATGTGCATGGTAGAGGTGGACCTTATGTGTAATATAAATCTGTCCATATTTTACATACAGACCGTGTTTAGTTGCCACAAAGAGACTTGGCAATGTGGTGAATAACTGAGGATTTATGAATTGTTGTCTTATTCATAGGCAGTGACTCCTTCACAGGTCAATAACTTTCTCTGTTATGTCTGCTAGGAATGCTTGCATTTACCACACAATGTTTTTCAGAACATAAAGAGAATGAGGTTTGCTGAAATGGACTCCATTGGGCATCTCTGCTGAGCTTCTGCTCCCAGCAGATAGTAAAACACTAATTTTTAGCCTTGTGTCAGTAGCAGGCATTGGTATTGTAAACATATGATTTGACTTGTTTAAAATATGTTTGAGATTAGTGTTTAATCAAAGGTCTCTCTTCCGTGTCAGTGTAACCCTGCTGATTCTGTTTTGTTGCAGAACTACCCATGAGTTCTTATTTGGTGCCCTTGCTGAACTTGTGGATAATGCCAGGTATGTTTCTGAGACTGCCTAATTCCCAAGGGAGATTCAGTAAAGATTTAATTAGTCTGTCTGTTTAGGAGATCTTGAGCAATTTTCATTTCTAGTAGACTTCAAGAAAAACAAAAATAGAAAACCTCATCATGGTTTAGTGTAAATATCAATAGCAGATTATGTAAACCATTAAGGTTGGAAAAGACAAGATCATCTGGTCCAATCATCACCCTACTACTACTGTCACCCACTAAAGCGTGTCCCTCAGTACCACGTCCAGCCTTTCCTTAAGCACCCCCAGGGACAGTGATGCCACCACTTCCCAGGGCAACCCATTCCTATGCCTGACCACTCTCTGAGAAGAAATGTCTCCTATTTTACAACCTGAACCTCCCCTGGTGCAACTTGAGGCCATTCCCTCTTGTCCTATCACTGGTTACCTGCAAGAAGAGGCCGACCCCCAGATCCCTAAAGCTTCCTTTCAGGTAGTTGCAGAGAGCAATGAGATCTGCCCTGAGCCTTCTCTTCTCCAGACCAAACCATCCCAGTTCCCTCAGCTACTCCTCATAAGACTTGTGCTCCAGGCCCTTCACCAGCTTTGTAGCCCTTCTCTGAACATGTTCCAAAGCCTCAATGTCTTTTTTTTTTTTTTTGTAGTAGTAGTAGTGAGGGTCCCAAAACTGAACACAGTGTGTTTCTGTTGGTTCTCTTATACTGCCACATTCAACCCCTAAAAAACAAAGTAGTATTCCCAACAAGGTAAGTTTGAATGGATCACAGAATAATTAAAATTAGAGGGGAAATTTTTAGAACACTTTTTTTTTTTTTTACAGGAAAATAATTTAAGGAAAAAGCAACTCTTCCTTCTTGTTTAAAGAAATTGGTAAAATAGTGATTATTGGAGCTGGGGACTTTAAGATCCTTCAAAAATCTTTGGCTCCTGGTAGTGATAGGATGAAAATTAAATCAGAAGTGGGATGCTGAAAAATAGAGCAAGAACAAGTAGAGCAATTGTGATAACTGAGAGACTTGGTACTTGGAAATTAGAGGTTTTAGGCCACATTTCTCATACTGCAGTCTATAGCGGCGTACCAAGCCTTGCATATTTATTCCTTCAGCTTCATCAAATATTATGATGTGATACTGTGGAAATATTTTGAGATTATTTTCTCTCAAGCATGAATCGTCACACTATGCGGTTAGTAATGTAAGGAGCTGAGCTGAAAAATTTATTTGTTGGAAAAAGTCTTTGTAGGAAGCTAGCCAGGACTCTGCGCCTATGTATTGAACCGCGTTTTAACTCAGATCAGCAGCTGTTGCTGTTTTCACTTTTTCTACAACATAATGTAGCTTACTTTAGACTGAGGCTTTTTTTTATTTTCAAACTCCTTATCTCTGTTTTCCTAGAGGAGGAGCTGTGCTTAGACACTGTTAGCCTTCTGGGAAAAGTAGTTTTACTCGACTAGAGATACAGCTATGAAACAAGGTGACTTGGCATTTAGGAAGTAGGGTTTTATTGCCGTAGCACAACTGCGCTCTTCTGATCAGTAAACCAAAGATATGTGAAGGTCTACGTTGCACTTGGCAAAAAATAAGATAAAAAATTGGTGTGAGAAGGCGGCAACAGTGCTGTATGTTCTACTTTTTCCAATATAGAGGAGGATAGAGCATATGAATGCCTTTAATTAAATGATCTTTTAATGACAGTTTCCTATGACAAACGTGAATGTATTTAGATGGAGTTTCATGCAGAAGTTACTAAGCTTTTCCTAGGCAGCTTGACCAAAAAAGTTTAGGTGTTGATTGCATACAAGAGGGAGCTCAGAAATGTGTGCTTCTTTCTTTTTTTCCTTAGCATGATTTTGGTTAAAAAGTCACTGATATTCACTGCAACTAGGTTTAATTCCTGTATAGTAACAATGTTTTTTGTTTGAGTTTGGGTTCAAATAGGCAAAAACTGGAACAGTGTGTGTTTTACTTGTCCATTAGTGCTGTCTGCTGTGCCTCTGTGGACTTTGATCTGTGCCCTTGGTTCATCTTGGAAACTATTGCATGTGCCTGGCTTTTAGCTTCATCTCTATTTGAGTACTGACTGCGTTTTTATTGCTTTGTAGAGATGCAGATGCCACAAGAATAGACATTTATACTGGTAAGTCACTCCTGCTGCTTCATTGCATGTCATCAGCCAAGTCACAAGTTAAAACTTGGATTTAGGCTGCAAATGTGTGTTGCGCCTGGTAGAACGAGAGTGAAGGTGTTTATGCCTTTTGCTTTTTGTCCTGTGCCCCGATGTCTGTTATCTTTCAAAAAGTAGTGACTTCATAAGTAACTGAGGCAAGTTTGCTAGACCAGTTTTCAGATGAGGTTAGATAACAAAGTAAACAGCAATTTGTACTGGGTGTTCAGGAAACCCGCTTTTACAATACACCGTTGTTGTAGCATATATTTACATAGAAGTTAAAGTGTAGGAGAAATTAGTCATTCTGTTATTTAAAAAAAAAAAAAAAAAAAAAAGGTGCCTTTTTTAGACCATAGCCGTATTAGGTTTATGAAAGTCCAGTTTATTGCATTACTTTTCTCGTGAACACTGTTTAGTTTGATTCAATTTTATGAAGCTCAAATTTCTGTATGGGAGTATTGAAAAATTCTTCTCTCATAGAACGACGAGAAGACCTGAGAGGTGGATTCATGCTGTGTTTTTTGGATGATGGAGCTGGAATGGATTCAAGTAAGTGACACAAGTTACATTTATATTTTCAAGATGAGGTTTCATTTTATGGCTGAAACTGAATTAACAGCTTGGTCCTGTTGAAAGAGGGAAGTTATGTGCCTGGGTATGTGTTCCTGCCTCTTCACTGCCTTTTTCAAGCAGTATTACTTATCAAACTCTTCACCTCTTCAGTTTGCAGTAAAATTAACAAAATTGTTGTGCTGCATCATAGAGATGAGTCAGCCTGGTCTGTAGTTTTCCAGCATACCAAAGTTGGCCTTGGGGCTGGAGGGAGAATAACGTAGCCAGAAAAGGGAAAAGGTTTCTGAGCATGTTAGGGGCTGCTGAGCGATTAGTTAATCTTGTCTCCAGTATGAAAGTGTGCCGTGACAAAAACGTCAAACTTGACTTCGAAAGCATTTTTCTGTTCTTTCATCATTATCATTGTGGTAGAGATCAATATTTAACAATATAAACTCTTAGGAGCATGAGAAGAATATAATAAATGCAAGTCTGCCTCATCATAAGAACTGATGTCTGTCGGATCTAGCGGAAGTAAAGACTTCTTGCAATGCTTTAGCATCATTGAACAGTACTCTTAATCCATACCAACTTCTTTGCATCTTGAAGATGGCAGCTCCTACTTAAACTGAAGTCTTCCTACCTTATGCTGTAGAGTCAAAAATCCTTCAAAATATTTGAGGATTCAGTGTCATCATGGTACAGATAATTTTTAAAAAGCAGTGCATCCCGCAGGGAAATATAAAAATATATTATAAAATATAAAGCTCATAGCACTGGTTCAAAAGGTTAGCTTTTTCATGGGGGACTACTAAATAAGAGACAATTAGAAAACCAAACTCTAGATCTTATGCTGCACATCTCAGGTTGAGATTTCTCATATTATCAGTGGTGTCATTGCTGAGGATACTTAGATTTGAGAAATTTAACCTACTGTTTGGACTCTCAAGGTGTTGCATGATTTTAATGACAAAAACCGATTGTAGATTGAAGTATTACAACTAATTTAGGAAGTAATCTGTAATTGTATTATTAAAAGATAGAAACAAATGAGTCTTTAACTTGCTTTTTATCCCAGCTCTAGTAAGCTTAAGCTATATTTTTAAGTTTGGGACCTTAAAAGTGCTTTCATTTTACTGGATGCAGTTAAGTACTGAAGTCTTGATTACTTTTTAGATCTTATATTTCTTCAAATATTATGTATTCAAGACATACTTTGATGAAAAACAATGTTTAAATGTATTTGGGATTCTGGCACTTTTTAAAAAAGCACACATACATGTTTTTGTGTGTAGTCAATGACACTTAGAGGACCAGTGTCAGAAGAGTGGTCTGCATATCTCTAAGGGTAAGTGTGTCTACAGTCTTGTTAGCATACCGAAGTTTCCTCTTGTGTTGATGGATTTTTGGAATAAATCTTTGGTCTCTCAAGGAACTTGTATGAAACTGGTTTCTCAATAAATAGCTGTGCTTAGTCATTTCCCTTAAATAGTTGGTTTTTATCTGTAGTTGTTAAGGTAATGAAAGATCTCAGAGCTTCTTCCTGCTTTTCCACTGGCCCACTGAAAAGTTGACTGGAAATCTTGCACGCCACATGCACGCAGCTGATGCACACCCACTGCGAGCACACCCAGGAACACCCCGTTGATGCACTCTGCGTGCACACGTGCACTGTGCACAGACTGCACGCGCTGCGAGGAGGGGAACAAGGCAGAGTTGTGGTCATGGGATGGAGTCCAGTGGGAGTCCTGCATCCAGCGGAGTCCCCCAGGGGTGGGTACTGGGACCAGTGCTGTTTAATGTATTTGTCAAGGACTTGGGTGAGGGCAACACTCCAGAAATAAACAGCTTTATCCCCCAGTTCGATATCCCAGCTGTTTGATGTTTCTTACTAGGATTTTTTTTTTTTTAATTTAGAATCATAGAAACACCTAGGTTGGAAAACACCTCCAAGATGAGTACAAATCTTTACTTAGCACTGCCAAGTCTTCCACTAACCATGTCCCTAAGCACCACGTCTACCTGTCTTTTGGATGCCTCCAGGGATGGTGACTCAACCACTTCCTTGAGCAGCCTGTTCCAATGCCTCACAACATTTTCAGTGAAGAAATTTTTCCTAATATCCAACCTCGACCTTCCCTAGTGCAACGTGAGGCCATTTCCTCTTGTCACATCACTTCTTGATTGGAAGAAGAGGCCAACACCCACTCTACTACAACCTTCTTTGAGATAATTGTAGAGTGATAAGGTCTCCTCAAGCCACTTTTTCTCCAGCCCCAGTTCCCTCAACCACTCCTTACAAGAGGTGTTCTCTAGACCCTTTACCAGCTCTGTTGCCCTTCTGTGGACACACTCCAGCACCTCGATGCCCTTCTTGTAGTGAGGGGCCCGAAACTCAGCACAGTGTTTGAGGTGCAGCCTCACCAGAGCTGAGTACAGAGGGACAATCACTTCCATAGTCCTGCTGGCGATGCTATTTCTGATACAGGCCAGGATGCTGTTGGCCTTCTTTGCAACCTGAGCACACTCCTGGCTCATATTCACCCGGCTATCAACCAATACCTTCAGGTCACTTCCTACCATGCAGCTTTCTAGCCACTCTTCCCCCCGGCCTGTGACATTGTATGGGGTTGTTGTACTCCAAGTGCAGGACCTGATTCCTTTTCTTGGGCTTTGAATATCAATCTGCCATCTTCACTGAATTCCTTCAGATTGTTTTTTTTTTTTTTTTTTTTTTTCTTGTCTGTTTGGCATAGATCACATCAACCCTCTTTTTGTTGCCAGGGAGTTTATTTTTAAAGTCTAGTAACTCTGAGACACAACAAAATGAACACAGTGTGACTAAAATAGTTGTAAGTGAAACTCCCTGTAGAGCCTTAACTAAAAATTTGGGAAAAAAAAATAAATTTATACCTTGATTTTTTTAGAGGAGTGTAAAGACTAAATCTCTCCCAAAGACAAACTGTAGCAGAGAGAGAAGCTCCCTCACCCTTCAGGAGTCCCCTCTTCTGGGCATTGTTTATCCTTCTCTTCCCAAGAAGAATCACCTTTTTAGGGTGGCTTTAGGTCTCCACCACTGAATGATAAACCATATGTTCACCTTGTCTGAGTGAGGAAATGCGCCAGGCAATTACTCCTTTCCTTTTTTAGGCTTCTGAATTTGTTCTTAAAAATAGCTGTTGATACAGCTTTTAGTACAGCAAGGGGAGAGGGGGCAGTAATATTCTCTTCTTAGAATATCCCATATACCCCTGTTTGACTAGGCTTTAAAACTAACACAATAATAATAACAATAAAATCCACATCTCCAAATATGAGATAATCTTCTAATGTTTGCTTTGGCTGGCAAGAAAACACCATAGGAGGCTGAGGAAAGGGAAGAAGTACTGTGATCCAGTCAAAATTTGTATTTGCAATAGTTGTCCCCTCCTCCCTTGCAGCTTGTATGTGCGTTGAGGGCAGTAATTGTTGTTAGCCTTCCTGTTTGAAGGATTGTTCCTGTTCAGGCACTTCATGTTCCCTCATCTCTGGAATTGCATTGCATTTCTCCCAGTAAATTCTATGGTGAAACGATTGCTATCTCTTGGCAGAAGGGAGTACAATTGTTCTGTCCTATGGATGATATTAAAAGGCTTTATACCTTGAACAATGGAAAGGCTTGAGCTAAAAATGACAGACCCTCTCATCTGTGAAACTATCATATCCTTTTGTTTAGTCCTGCGCTAATAAAATGCTCTGGCTTCCTGTGGTATTTGCTAGTACTGCTTGAATACAGCTGTCTTGCTGTCAGTTGTCCAGGAATCTGCTGCAAAAAAATAGTTTTTGTCTTACTAGTGCATAAATTGGTAGTAGTGTTCAGCTCAGCTCCATAAAGAAAATGTACTCAGTTTATCCTGAATTCAAGACCTTTCTGTGTTAGTGACGTATGCCCTAGTACCAAGGGTTTTTATCTGTGGTGTTAGTAGAACCAGAGCTGCAGTGTCCCAGGGTTGGATTTTGGTTTATTTATGAGCACAATGGCAATTGTGATTAACACAACAGATCATCTTATTGACTTTTTTTTTTTTCTTTTTTGTAAAAAGAAAACATCCTTACCCAGTTCAGATGGGGTACTGGTCTAGTCTCGAAACTTAAAACTCTTTTTGTCAGCGTAACAGCATCTGTACAAAACTTCTGATGCCAGTGCCATTGACCAGTGTATTTCTTACAGGGCTGGATGGCAGAGCTTCAGGGTGAGACCTTGGCTTGGACTTCAGGCCTCTTCCGTGCAGCAATCCTTCTGTGCTATTTAAATACAAACTTATTCATCATTGTAAGATGCGCTTCTGTGTATATTAAAACAAACTTTGGATTTGCTACCTGTCTCTCGTTCCAGATGAAGCTGCCAGTGTTATTCAATTTGGCAAATCAGCCAAGCGATCTCCGGAGTCAACTCAAATTGGGCAGTATGGGAACGGCTTGAAATCGTAGGTATTAAAAGCCAGCGTCGTGAGATTCTTAAACTTGAGCGAGGGGCATACTATATTGCAGCTAGGAACTGCAGACCGAAGCCTAAATGTGCAAAAGGAGATGTTTGCTATCACATTGGTCTAATCTAAAGAAGTGAACTGACAGAACCCCTGATCCAGCTTTAGATGAAATGAAATTTTTGTCCATTAAGGGTTTTTGGAGGGGTTGGCTGATAGGATAAAAGAGAATATTGGGAAGGAAGGTCTTATTGGGAATATTGTGAGAAAAATCTCAAATAATTTTCTTCAGACAGGATCTTCTGTGAAGCTATTTTATTCACGATTGCAATGGCGGGCGTCCTGTCAATCAGGAGCGCATCTAAGCAAACAAATCATAACCTTTTATCCCCTATTACCCGACGCCTGATCACCTCCCCAGTTTCCTCATTGGCTGAATACTACAGGTTCACAAGCTACTCGACGCTCCTCTACACCATATATGTACAATTTTTCCTTTTTTCAACCTTTTAATTTCTCCTTTCTTATTTTTTGAGAACTTGTGATCCTTGTTTAACTCTTGTCACACTGCTCATCCTATTTTTCTCAAGCTTCTACATTATTTTAGAACAGTGAGGCCTTCTACTGTCCACTAATCTACTTAGCATTTCTCCTTATTATGACTACACAACTATCTTGGAATACAGAAATTAGTTTTCTGTTGCAACAACACAACTTTGTTGCTCACAATTTGAGAGTTAGGAGGTGGAGGACTGTCCTTTTTGTGATAGCTAGCTGATAAGTTGAACTGCTGAATTGCTAATGTTCCTGTCACATTGGAAAATATATTGTCTCCCAGAAACTTGTCTACTGCTATTCATTTGTGTGTACAGCGAAATGAAGGCTGCATTCATTTTCTCACTGACTTACATTTTTGCTCATATATTTGAAGGTTATTATCACATCTCACTGTAGTCGACTTCTTCAGATTTAAAAACAAAACCTTTGTTTTAAACTTTCTTCATAGTATGAGCTTGGAAAGCTCCATTCTGCACTTTTTAATTGTGATTAGTGTTAAATGTTTTAGGGAAAGAATTTAGAGAGCTCCATTGCTTCTTGTGAAAATGTCCAGATTTAGATGTGTTTTTTTTTGTTTTGTTTTTTTTTTTTGGAAGGAACGATAGAGAGAGAGGGTAGCTACTGTTTAAGCCTTTTTACCCGTCTTAACCTGTTTTTGGTGTCTCATACTTGAACATAATGGAATGAAAACATAACTTGCTCTGCTTTTTAAAGAATTAGCATAAATTCTGCTAATCTGCTGAAAAGTATTGGTCAGGAAATATAACATGCTGCTTGAAATCTGTCTCCAGGGGTTCCATGCGGATTGGGAAAGACTTTATCCTTTTCACAAAGAAAAACAACACCATGACTTGCCTTCTCTTGTCACGGACATTCCATGAAGAAGAAGGCATCGATGAGGTTTGGACATAAAATATTATAATGAAGTAATGTGGTGAATGTTGTTTCATCTGAACTTCACCCAGCTCTTGAAGGAGGAGTCTGTGTCAGTATGGATTTCTACTGTGTTTTATTCAGTGTACGGTTTTCTCCTGGGGATACACTGGTAGGGGATCTGCAAAGTCATGACTGATTTTTCCTTTTGGCTTTAAATCTGTTCAAGAGGTCTCTCTAAACTACTGTGGGTTTGTAGGGCTTAATATCACTTTATGTTGCTTGTGCCAAGCTCAGGCTATGTCCAGACTTTCTTGTGTTTTCCTTTCCCACAAAATTTGATTTTGAGATGTAGTTAAATTTTTGTTCATATCTGATTTTCTGTAGAGAATTAAAGGTATGATTGAAGATGCTTCCCATAGGTCAGAAACTCCCAGATGCATCTCTTTTCGCATCTTTTTAAGTCAAAAATCAGTATGGTTCTAACTACTGAGAATTTGTATATCTTTAACAGATAGTTCAGATACCATTGTGTATCTGAACTCTTAACATGGAAGTATTTTTATGCTCAAGTGCAAGTATTTTTAAGGCATAGCCAATAATGAGAAGTTACGTTTTTGCACTGGCATAATATATAAGGATTTTCCATTTTGATAGTGGAGGGAGCTGTACAAAGAAGCTGTTGAGGGGGCAGTGCTTGCTAGTGGCTAGCTAGCAGTAATGTAGTTCCCATAGTGCCTCTGGAGCTAGAAGTTTTGGCTTGAGTTTAATTCTAAAATAAGGAGGGGAATCACTGTCCTTGATATACAGCTGCAGTCTGTAATTCTATCTTTGTCCATGTTCTAAACAACACAAAACCAATAATCTTGTTAGAATCCTACCAAGAAGAAAAAATGAAATCAGAAAAATAAATGAAGAATAATTCTTCAGTTTAAGAGAAGAGTTGAGCACAGAGTTTGATGCTTCTTTTTTTTTTTTTTTTAAGAAGCAAAACTTGTTTTTTGTTTGTTTTTGTTTTTTTTTTGTTTGTTTGTTTTTGTTTTTGTTTTTTGTTTGTTTGTTTTTTACTGTTAGGTGAAAGTTATTACAAGAAGTAGAAATGATGTTGGTTGTGTTAACATTGAGCAGCCAATACCACACAGATTACTTTGCAGTGGTATCTTACAAGACTAGATGTTCTAGAAAAGTAACTTGGAGGCTGGAAAAGAAAGGTCCTTGAGCATTTGACAGTTGTGCAAACCGCTGATTAGTTAGGAAGGGCTACTGCACAACCTTGTTCCATGTAAATGGCTGACTAGAGTGGGTAGGTCTGAGTTGCTCCTGGTGCAATGCTATTTGCAGGTCATTGTTCCACTGCCCACCTGGAACGCACGGAGCCGAGAGCCTGTGACTGACAACATGGAGAAGTTTGCTATTGAGACGGAGCTGATCTACAAGTATTCCCCTTTCAAATCAGAACAGCAAGTGATGGAGCAGTTCAATAAGATCCGTGGTGAGAAAGGTATGTATCTGTGGTGCTGGTCATGGGCAAGGAATTTGGGGGTTTGGGGGGGATTCACCTGATCAACTTCTTGCTTGCTTAGGCACCTTGGTGATCATATTTAACCTCAAGCTAATGGATAATGGAGAGCCAGAGCTGGATGTGACTTCTGACCTCCAAGACATTCAGATGGCAGAAACACCCCCAGAGGGAACGTAAGTATGACTGATGTTACAGGCCCTTGGATTCTGATCTAACTATATTTTGGGGTTTATCTGTATGCTGTGTGCATACGTTTGTTTTTTTCAAAGCTTCTCTTTCTGTGGTGAGTAGGAGAGTTTAGACGTTCTTTAATTCTTCAGCAGTTTAGAGTTCATGCATTTACATAGCTCACAGATGTTATGCTTGTGTGTTTGTTGTGAATTTACGCCTTGACTTGTCTCAGCTTAGTCAAAGCAGGCAAACTCAGTACCCTTTTTTAATTATCTGTATTAAGGAGAGGAAGCCCTCAGCTATAGGTTTAATCTGTGCCAGGATATGTCACAGGATAGGGAAAATTAGTGTGGGGAGGTGATTCTGTTTGTCTTTTTGAACCTGGGTACGAGTTTCTTGGGAAATAAGAATCTTACAAATTTTTTCAACAGAGAAACTTGTTCATTTGGTAAGGGTAGAGGATGAGACTATGACAGTAGTAGGTGATGGCTGCTTTTTAACCAGAGAATAATTAAGGGGAAAAATTTTGAAGGAAAAAGGAGGGACAAGGATGAGCACTCTGACAAATAAGACATTGGTTATTCGGGTAGTAAATTGATGGGGTCATCTTTGAGGTACATGGATATAATAGGGAGAATGCCTCCAGTTGGTCCTACAGTGAAATGCTGAACAAACTGATAAATATCTGTAAACATCCATCTCCTACAGAAAGCCTGAGCGCCGCTCCTTCCGTGCCTATGCTGCTGTGCTCTATATCGATCCTAGAATGAGGATATTCATAAATGGACACAAAGTACAAACCAAGCGACTTTCCTGCTGCTTGTACAAGCCAAGGTAAGCGTTGGACCACAAGTCTGCATATGTGTGCAGGAGTTTCCTTACAGAAGAGGTTTAGCATTTTGCTCTGTGTGTATCCTGCATAACTCCATGTTAAAGCCACAGAAACAGGTCACAAGATTATAGGATGTGGGTTTGACATCTTGGAAAAACAGGAAGATAATGGAAAATCTAATGCTTTTGTAAATCAAAAGTAGCTTGTGCAATTTGTCTCCTTTAAAACCAAACACAGAATCATAGAATGGTTTGAGTTGGAAGGGATCTCAAAGACCACCTAGTTCCAACCCCCCTGCCATGGACAGGGACACCTTCCACTAGATCAGGTTGCTCAAAGCCCCATCCAACCTGGCCTTAAACTCTTCCAGGGATGAGGCATCCACAGCTTCTCTGGTCAACCTCTTCCAGTTGCCTCACCATCCTCATAGTAAAGAATTTCTTCCAAGTATCTAATTTAAACCTTTAAATTTGCACAAGTCTAGGCAGATGATATCAATTACTCTTCTGTTATCTACCAGCACTATCATCCCATCTATGGTGACTTGTGAGGTGTGATTTGCCCGTAGTGAAGCAATGTTGGCTGTTGCCTGTCAAGCTAATACTTACTCAGCTTCTTAAAATTTGCAAAGTGGTATCAGACTTCGCAGAAGTCACATGAGATTGCATCCCTTGCTCTCCCCTTGTCAAAATAGTCAGTTGTTTCATTTTTAGAGGCAGTCAATTTGGTACAGCATGACTTGGCACTGTAAATCATGGTTTGCTAGGTGTCCTTCTGCTTGAAGTGATCATTTTTATGCTTTACATCAGGCCTTGGTAGGTACAGCATTCTGCTGGCAAGATCTGCTTAGGAAGATTGCCTTCAGGAGGCAGCGTATTCTCTCCTGTTTGTAGGGTTGCAAGTCAGCTTGTCTTCCTCTCTGAAGGAAAAGCATTTAACAGTGGCTTGTCTGCGGGTTAATTTTTGGTGTTAGAGAACAAAGAATGGAGATTTGTCAAGGATATCCAAGACCATGGAGGAAGTAGTTCCTCTTTCCAGAAGAGCTCCAGTTATCTTCTACCTTTTGCTAGAGATCAGTGCAAGACTTCTCAAAACCTTTCTGGAGCCTGTAATGCCCAGGAGTCAGGAGCAGGCTAGTTTTGTGCAAATCATTCAGCAGCATTTGTAGGTGTGATACCACAGTAGCAGACTCCCTGGAAGCTGCTTTCATCTCTGAAAGAGTTACTTCATCTGTTTCCTCCCACGGTCACTGTTGGAACTTGTTTAGCAGTGCAGGCTGTACAGCTCGAAGGAGGCAGGCCGTTTGGCATGTCGCTTTGTATATAAGCCGTTTGAACGGCCAGTGATCCCAGCAGACATCCAGTGTTGGTGGCTGCAGTAGTAGCGTGTGCTGTTTTGCTTTCTTTGGCTGTTACTGGGAACCATGTGTTATTGAACCACGTGCAAGGAGTTTCCTATTATGAGGGCACTCTAGGACGATTGTAATGAACCTCTTGAAGATGGATGAATGTTTTGCCATCATATCTGGATTTCTTGTCTATTGGTCTTACGTATGTCTTTTCTAGGTACGATGTTCCAGATCACTTAAATGTTGGCTTTCCTGGCTGTGGCCAGTCATTTGGAGTCAGAAACTAAAGTGAAACATAATGGCTGGCTGGTTTCTTCTTTCTTGAAATGGTCAGTCTCTGGGACAGTTTATCTGGAACCAGATCTGAATTCCGGTAGTCCTTGATTTGCTTTTGGGATATTGAACAATCCTGCAAGCACCTGAAGCTGGTACAGGGAGTAGGACTAGGGAGAAGGGCGTGGAGTCGGGATGACATCCTTCACTGCCTCTCTGGGTTGTTCCACAGCTGTGCTCTGTGCGTCGTATTGGAAAGGTGAGGTGTACCTCACTTTCTAAAGCAGTCTGTCTGTGGTCACGCTCAGGTACTTCTCTGTCTCAAGAGGTGTGTGTGTGTTGAGAGAATTCATCTTCACCCTGTTCCCTCCCAGCCAGGAAAGTAAGGCAGGATGTGGATGAGGTAATGTAATTATGCCAGCATGTTGAAGGTAGTTCTGGTTTTCAGAGTACGTTCTGGCTCTTGGCTCCAGGTAGCTTAAATCACCTTTAAAGTGGATTTGAAGAGATGTGCCATACAAAACCTTCCTCTGGTTATTGGGCGATTTTCTGGAAGAGTTAGTGTGCGTCTGCTTTATCAGGAGGTCCTTATGAGTAGCAGCAAAGGAGTTTACTAGATGCAGAAAGGTGTTTAAGTGGACTGTGCTTGTGTTTTGAGTTTACTGGACTTGAGAGTAAAGGATTTCTGATAGTGAGACTGTTTCTGACATCTGAGCACATACGTGTTCACCCACAGAACCATACATAACCAATCTTTTTCATCTGTGCAAGGTGATTTCTCACGGATCTTGATAGACTATATTTCATTTGGGGGAATCTTACCTCATTGGGACTTATATGTGCTTCCTTCTACTTTAATGTACTTCAATCTACTTCAATCAAGCTCTAAGTTGTTACATTTTCCCATATGTAAAAACAGCATTTTTGTGGCTTTTACTTTTGGCATAATGTTGGAGAGTTGTTTTTCTTCTTTTTTTTTCCTTTTTTTTTTTTTTCCTCCATAAAAATGTATTTTAGACAGGATTTTCCTTTGGATACTTCCAAAACCTCATGTCCAAGGTGTCTCAAGTTCTTTCAGGCTCTGGTCATCCTTGGCATCATCTCTTTCCCCAGTTACACACCTCTATGTAGAAGTGACGCATACTCATAAGCTTTTGCCTCTTTTACTCTGCAATAGTCATAGTTAGATTTTAATCTGCATTTGGCATTTCATGGTACAGGGAAGGTAAAACAAGTCACTGCAAATCAAACACTTTACAAGGTTGTGAGTCACATGTGGAGCATATGGAAACGTCCTGAAATTTTGAAGCTGCAAGTTGAAGCTGTGTTCAGACAATTCCTATACCACCTAGAGGCTTTGAGCTAATGCTGCTTAAAGACATGAACTGTGAAACTGCATATGTAGATGGCCGTTTGCAGGAGAGAGGAAGGGGCGTTCGTGTAGAATGGGAGGATTTGGAGAAGTTTTATAAATAAGTTCCGTCCTCTTTTTCACTTCTGAACTTGTTCGCCTTAACCTGGGGATTTCTTCCAAGAATATGGGATATGTTGTACCTCCACTGGATAATGTAGAAGGGGGTATTGTGGTTGCAGCAACAGCTAAAGCATCTCTGACTTAAAGATATATCCTAAGTACTTCCAAAAATGCCCAGTTACTGATATGTAAACCTCCTTCATTTATTGAATCTGTTGAAAAAAGTAGAGTAGAATGTGAAGATCTTATTCTCCAGGAATACAGTGATGAAATCTCGGTTTGACCTTACTGCTGAGATTGCTAATTAAGTTTTGATCATCACAGGATGTACAAATATACTTCAAATCGTTTCAAGACCCGTGCAGAGCAAGAGGTGAAGAAAGCAGAGCATATGGCAAGGATAGGTGAGTCTTTGGGTTATGCATGTACATCCTGATTTTGCTGTAGCAAAAGAAAGGAATAAAAGAGGCTATCTTGCTGGATATGACCCGATTGCTTGTTTCTGTGATGGCTGTGGTTGCTCAGGTAGTTATGGCAGTGATTACAGGTGATTGAGACTTGCTTCCATGCAGTGGAGGGAATTTACATAATTCCCTAATACCATTTCCTATAGAGAATACAGGTACAGAATAACCCTTTAAAGGCACAGCTCTCCACTTGCTCCACCTGAAGCCTCACCTACTTGTTATCCCATTGTTCTGCTCTCATCTTTTTACATATCTTTAGCTTTTTAGTTCTCTACTCCTTCTGTGACTTCCCTCTTGAAGCAATTGTTCGAACACAAAGATTTTTATTCTATCACCTGATACATAGTGATTGATCTGGGTGTTGATTTTTTTTTCTTGCTTCAAGACTACCTTTTGTGCATTTAGTCTGCCCTTCTTATTAGGTCTTGTCCTCAGGAGAAACCAAATTTGACAGTATTGGACGTTCAGGATATAGAAATAACATGAACATATATAGTGTATATCTTTGTTAAATTTCATAAATATAGCATATAAATCAGTCATCCCAACCCATGCTGGGGAAAACCCATAGCGAACAAGGAATCTTGAACTTGTACGACATGTTACATATGAATTATGTATTAGAGGATTGAATTGTGTATTATGTACTATGTAATATTGACTGTGACTGCTGATCAAGTTTAAGACAGCTTGTCAACGGTATCCTCTCATATGTAAGATTTTCTTTTGTACCTTTTTATGCTGCTTCGTCATCTCTCCCTTGTATATGTTAATCCTGTCTTTGGAAATCTCTTACCTCAGATGAATGCCTGATGATATGATGTCTGTACTAAATGGCTAATACTGTTCTTTCTCCTTGTGTTGTAGCGGAGGAGAAGGCTCGAGAAGCAGAGAGTAAAGCTCGTGCACTTGAGCTGCGCCTTGGGGGAGATCTTACGCGGGAGTCCAGGGTGAGACTTCTGCTGTTCCAACGAGTTGGATTTTAAATATTGAGGGGGAAGGTTTAGAACTGTGCTTTTGGAGCAGAGAACTGGCTGATTAACATCTCCTTTTAGCACTTTGGTATGTGAAGCAGGTGGTGACTGCTGTTGGAGATAAGTTGTCAGCAATGTTCAGTCCCAGGCAATTGTGTGGTGTCGTCACCACAGGACATGCTTGAACGTGTTTATTTTCCAATCTGAACAAGAAGCACGCTGACATTCCCATGCATACAGCATACAATATCAGGTGGGAAGGCAATGCCTTGTTTGAGTTTTGCTGTGAAGATGCTATATCTGATGTTCTCTGAAGAGTTTGGGTGAATGTTAAGTATTTGAACAGAAGTAAAATTGTTGGGGTTTTTTTTTTGGATATTCTCTCTGATTGCCTTTGCAGTTTGCTCTTAAGTTTTCTCAGGCTGTTGCTAGAGAGTTCTTTTTGTTTCCTTCTGAATGGTACCTTGTGAAGCCACAGCTCCTGTGCTGAGACCGGGGGCTTTTTGAAAGATGGGTAAGGCCTAGGCCTAGCCAGCACTTAGGTGGAAAGAGGATTTGTGGGAAGTGCCAGCAGGTGATATTAGCATAAAATTACTTTCCTTCCTAATGACATCTAATGGGGAAGGAAAAAAAAAAGCATTTGAGTAGCCCATCTATTTCCATTTTGTGTCCAACCATTTGCTGTGTGGTTTTAGTTACATTAGATGTTTAGTTGCCTTTGGATATTTTCTTCCAAGCAACTGTGTAGCTACTTAACCAAGGCAGCAACTGGTGCTACCCTAAATGTTTTGGTGTGCTAATTAGTGTCCTCCACAGCTGGTGAATTCTTTCTGAGATCTTTTTGAAGGCGGAAAAATTGTAGAAGTGAGTTAATTTCATGAATTTCACTGTGAAATACCTCTTGGCAGGTGATGTTACGTCAAGTCCAGAACACTGCAATAACCATGCGCCGGGAGGCTGATGTAAAGAAAAGGATTAAGGAGGCAAAGCAGCGGTGAGTAAAAGGCAGTTGAAAGCTCTGATTTTCTCAGGCTGTTCACTCCACGTGCTTTGAGTGTTTCTTCTGCTTTACTTCATGTGGTGGGGTGAGCAGTTCAGCTCAAAGCTTAAAAACCTGTGAGTACTCTATATGCCCTGCCTGTTAAACCACAAGTTTGCTTTTCTGGTTACTTCTGCTATTCCCATCTTGCTGTAAGAAGTATTTGAATTTGGCTTTGTTGTTGTTGATTGGTTGGTTGTTTTGGAGATATTTACCTGATTTTCACATTAGGTTTTTTCATTGCTTCGCTTATCTGTTTTTCATTTACAGGTAAGATTCAGGGAAATACACAAGTGTCAGCAAGTAACAGTGAAATGGCTTTTAGAGTTGTAGGGTGTCTCCTAAAAGCTTGTTGAATTCTGCTGTAGTCTCTACCATGAAATCCTCAGATATTGTTGCAACTTAGCTCTGGTTACAATTAAAGCTATTATTTAACCACAGGAGTATTTCTCTTTTTGTATATCAGTTGTCTGCAAATTTGTCATATGCATTTGAAAAAAAATAGTTTAAATTAGTGTACAGTAATTAAAAAAATTAGTGTACACTAATTTTTAGTTGTGTATTATTACTGCATAGCGCTCATGAATGCACAGCTCAGGTTCTCGTAGTATCTGATGGTAGTAGTAGACAGTTAAGAGATCTTCAAGAATTTAAACTTTAAAGAATTCCAAGTATCTTCAACTAGCCACTTAGAGAAGCCAAATGACTTAACTGGAACAATGCACATTAGTGCTTAAAAATTTGATGATTAGAGGAAAAACAGGGGAGATCAAAAATCAGAGGAATGAGTAGGACAGTGGTGTAGACTATGCCTTTTAATTGTTAAAAAATTTGGCCTCATTTGATGATACCTTCAGCCTGGAACAGGTATCCTCATGAAAAACAATCTGTGGTTTTCATGAAAGCTGTGAAATCCATGCAAGTTAGTCTTTGAAGAGAAATACTTCTATTAAATAAAGAGGTTCTGTTTGATTTTACAACACTGCTAAATTTCTTGAGGCTTTCTGCATCACAGGAAATACAATTCATGATAATCAAAGACTCATATTCAGAAAATCTGTATGTGCTCACAAACATAGTTGAGGCCAACTTCTGTTGAAGTCATCACAATAAGATAGAAATCATGCAAATTGCTATCCTGTCATTTCCAGGAAAAAAAAAAAAAAAAGGTTCTTTTTGGCTGTGTGTTGTATTCTCCAGCTTTCAAGCTTTGAGTAACGTTATAATAACATTATTTGAATTTGAATAACATTATAAAATTCTTAATTACGAGAACTTTCCAAGAATCTGAATATCAAAATTGTAGTTTTGTATCAAAATCTTAATTTTCATGCTTGATTTAGCATTTATTTCAGTCTAGAAGGTATGAACCAAAATCACATAGAGGACCAGTCTGTGCCTAACAGTACTTTCATAAGACTCAACTGTAATTTTTTTCAAAAATTAGATCTGAAATAAAAACCAAAGTCTATTCCTATAGGAGAAAATGTATCCAAATGAATAATTAAATTGCCTCAACAGATACTGTCCAGCCTAAATTGATGTCTGTATTGCAAAGTCATTTTTTAAATTAGTCTTCAGTTGTAATGTGATTCAGTATCATGTTTCAACAAAACTGTTTTTTTTTTTTTTTTAGAAATAACTGAATATAGGACAAGTTTTTAGCAAAACCTTAGTGCTCAAAGGTGCTGGAATTTTCATGCCCTTTTTCTAATAATTAGCAAATAATTTTGATTCCAAAATCTTTATTTTTAGTATCTCAAAGGTTCTGTTTCATTCTTTTACAGGGCACTGAAGGAACCCAAAGAACTGAATTTTATTTTTGGTGTGAATATTGAGCAGCGTGAATTAGATGGCATGTTCATTTATAACTGTAGTCGGCTGATAAAGATGTATGAGAAGGTGGGCCCACAGCTGGAGGGTGGCATGTGAGTTTTTAGAGATTTTTCAGCAATAATTTGCTTAAGTCTGGCATGTTCCCACACGTAACTTTGGCCTTGCTATAATCATTCTTCATGAGCATGAGAGCTTTTCGTTTTATCAACCTTCAGTGTGGATTCTGGCAAATAAAACGTATTTTTATATTTCTCAGTATTTCCCTAGCTTCCCAATTTAAAAAAAATAATAATAAAAAAAAAAAAGTTATTTTTTATGACCACAGATTTTGGTCATACCTAGAGCAGTATGAGGCTTGTATGCTTGGTGTTAATGTCTGGGGCTAACAGATAAATACTGGTAGCAATACTACTTCATTCTAGGGACAGGGAGAATCGGTCTTGAAAGCAAATACAAATATTTGAGCCCACCTTACTTTTTTCAAAATACCAGTGCTAAGTATCAAGCCTGAATCAAGTCTGATTTAGAAAGCTAGTAAGTTCAGAATAGTACTACTGCAGGAACATGTGTGTCTGTAATCCACTATTTTCAATATTGCTTGTCTGAACACTGACCTAGTAGTTTAATGATGCTCATAACTGTATGTTCCTCTTCCAGGGCATGTGGTGGAGTAGTAGGTGTAGTGGATGTGCCCTATTTGGTTCTGGAACCAACCCATAATAAACAAGACTTTGCTGATGCCAAAGAATATCGACACTTGTTGAAGGCCATGGGAGAGCATTTAGCTCAGTATTGGAAAGATGTAGCTATAGGTAATGAAGCTTCACCAGCTGCTTTTACCAGCTGCTGGAAGGGGAGGCTTTGGTGGCTGGAAAGGAGCTAAGGGGGAGGACAACCAAGAGTGAAGGTGGTGATTTTTGTGATAATAGCTCCGTACTGAATGGGGACTTTTTGTTTTCCAGCCCAGAAGGGTATCATCAAGTTCTGGGATGAATTTGGCTATTTGTCAGCAAACTGGAACCAGCCTCCATCTAGTGAACTGCGCTACAAACGCCGAAGAGCCATGGAGATTCCTACCACGATTCAGTGTGGTGCGTCTGACCAGGCTGCAATTAGGAGGCTGGTCCTCCCTGGGAAAGGGAGAGAGGGAGGGAAATCCTGTCTGCAGTTGGGGAGCAGCTAAATGGGTAGGAGATTTGAGGTGACCTCCTCTATCATTGCTCCCTTCTGGGGCTTGCCTCCTTTTGTGAGTTGCTCTTGCTTGCATCTGCTGGCATACTTTTAAACATCTTAAAGTAAGGTTTCTTTCCTGCACAGTCTTCAGGTTCTTCTTCAGGTGCACTCACAGAATGGGACTGGTGTGGTCAGTAGCAGAATTGAGAATGGGCTTCAAAATGTCATCTGAACTGGATTGTCTTTTGTTCACCCCTGAATGGCTATGGCTAAGTCCTTGTTCCAGCTGGAAGAAGGGAGATCTCTATATAAGCACTTTCTCTTTTGATAGAGAGCCATCAAACTTCCCAAATAGGACGAGCTTTCCTGTCATTCTTCTTGACCTTTTCTATTGACATCTGCCAGGGCCTGTGAAGCCTTTCCAGAGACTGATTTAAGAATATTTGCCTTTTCTTGGCAAAATGTGATTTTTAAGATGTTGATTTTCTGGTAATCCAATCATGTTCTGGAAACCAAATCTAGTACATCTGGCTTATCTAAAATGTATTCAATTATTACCTAAGTTTAGTGGATACATCTCTGAGGTGTTGGGTGTTGATACCAGTAAGGGACAGCCTGCCTTCTGAGATGAGTGGTGATTTCAGGACAGGCTGTTCAGTTTCATTTGTAAGTGCTATCATTACAGCAGTGAATGTGAAATGTGAATTCATCAAAGTACTTTGTGAACATGGAGCAAAAATTGTCTTAGTATATCTTGTTTGTTTCTTTTTTTGCCACTGGTCTTAATTGTCATTGGATATATTTAGGAAATTGGTGTGGTCCTTGGACTTTAAATAGGTTTGAGAAGTGCTATGGGGTAAAAGCTGATTTTATGGCTTAAGATGTACATTTCTGACTTGCAAAGTTTTTATTACCTTAATAGATGTGTGTCTGAAGTGGCGAACACTCCCATTCCAGCTGAGTTCAGTGGAGAAGAATTACCCTGATACCTGGGTATGCTCTATGAACCCTGATCCTGAACAAGACAGGTAAGAATCAGTTAATATAAAGAACTTTCTGCAGTGTGTCTTATTTGCACTATTTTTTTTTCCTAGTCATGCATTCTTTGAGGACTATTGGAGGGATAGACAGGAATTCTATACCTGTATGGTACACCTGTAAGCTGTGCTCAGAGTCTGTGAATGCATGATGATGGCATACCTATTTGGAGTTGAGACATGGATGGACACGGCACATTGCGTCAGCCACTTTGCTGATGACACAAAACTGGAAGGGTGGATCATACGCTGCAAGAAGGGCGAAGTTTCCCCCTGTCCTGTTGGGAAGGGTGGGTTGGAGGTTCAGGAGAGGGGACAGCCTGAGTCACCAGGACATACTGGGAGAGCCCAGCTGAAAACATCTCTGCAGAAAAAGACCTGAGGTCCTTGTGGGCACCAAGCTGAGCATAAGCCAGGAATGTGCCCTTGTAGCAAAGATGGCCAATGGTGTCCTAGGCTGCATCAGGAGGAGTGTTGCTGGCAAGTACAGGGAGGTTGATGAGTTGAGGTATTAATGAGGTCAGTCTTAGCGAGTATCCGGTGCTGGGCTGCCCAGTGCAAGAGATATGCACATGCTGGAGGGAGTCCAGTGACATACCACAAGATGAAAGGGCTGGAGAACCTCTGCTGTGGGGAAGCTCAGAGGGCTGGGACTGCTCGGCCTGGAGAAGAGGAGGCTCATAGGGGATCTCACCAATGATTTGTATGTACCTGAGGAGAGGTGAAAAAAGGATGGAGCCAGGCCCTTTTCAGTGGTGCCCAGTGCTAGGGCAAGAGACAATGTGCACAAACTGAAACAGAAGCTTCCCCTTGAATATCAGGAAATTCAAGGTCACTCACCATAGGAGTGGTAATAGGCATAGGTTGTCCAGAGAGACTTCGGAGTTTGCCTTCTTGAAGTATTCAAAAGCTGTCTAGATATGGCCTTGGGCAACCCGTTCTAGGTGTCCCTGCTTGAGCAGGGGTGTTGGACCAGATGGTCTTGAGAAAGTTCTTTCTAATGTCAACCATTCTGTGAAATTTAGTTCCTTTATTGTTTTTCTGCACTGCCATTGGAGATATGATTGTAGCTATAGTTTATGCATGTTACCTTTAATATAGGTAGCAACTGAAGAATAGTCCTAAGTGGAGGCTGGGAGCAACATGGGTTCAGCGCTCAGTCTTTTCAGTTGTCTCTGTTGCTGCTGTTGCTCCAACTCATTAGGCACACAAGCTGGAACAACACCTCTGAGTTGCAGTGAGCCCAAGAATGGCATTTTGTGCACTTGAGGAAGCAGCACATTGATTCATACCAAAGGTGTGTTTCATTATTATAAAACTAAGCAGAGTTCACTACTTCTTTGAATAAGAAAAATGATTGCTCTAGGCTTCTCCTTTCTGTCTGTGGAGAAAGACACTGCTAGAATTTGATTCTTATCTTTGTTGTATAATGAGAGAAGCGGATTAGGCTGTAATTCAGGAGCCTTGGTTTAGTGTTTTAAGTACAAATGAATCCAGGTAGAATCTGTTAATTGGAATCAAAACCTTGATATATCCATAACCAGAAGAGCTACAAAAAGTGTTTATGTTGATATTGGGAAAATACTGATTTTCTAGCTTCTTCCCTTTGGCACTTGTCATTTGAAAAGTATGGGTGATAACATCCCTGTAGCTCTGTGTGTTCATGCCGAGATGCAGTTGTAATGGGGGCTGTTTCACTCAGGATGGATGTCCTTAGATGAAACTCCTGGGGGCAGAGCCAAATCTGCAAGACCGACAAGAGGCTGCCACATCTCCAGCACCCTGGGTCGAAGCAGTAGCAAGGCTGGGAATGTATTCCTAGTAGACAGACACAGATGCACCACACATAGCTGGCTGTACAGCTCAACACATGCAGGCACTCTCAGCACTCAGACACAAACACAAAGCACACCAGTAACCTCATCCTGCTCTTTCTCCTCTGGTCAGGATGAGGACCATCAATATCTGCTGCCCTCTGCTGCCTGTCTTGATAGCTACTTGCAGTGGGATATATGGGACCTGAACTCCCACAGACCCCCTCGTGTGGACAGATGTAACAATCACCCCCCTGAAACACACACACTGACACTTGCACACTATACACCCCACAGTTTTCCACCTTGGACACGCCGTCCATTCGGTAGCAGATCCTGGATCTTTGCTCTTCACCGGTGTCTCCTGCCTAGAGACTCCCACACCCCTACCTACAATCCCACACCCCTCTGCAGCAGTTGGTCAGGACTCTCCATTCCCTGCAGTAAGCATTTTTTCTGAGGTCTTGCTCCCAGGCCAGCTCACCTCCTTGCTGCCATGTCTGGCCCAACGTTTGCTGTAAAGCAAACATTCCCTTGCACACCTGCATTTGCTGCAGCTGGTGCACCCCAGACACACAGGCCCCTATGAGCTGTGGTCCCACTTGAGCTGCTGGCACTCAGACCCCCATACACACACATGCACACAGAATAGAACCCCTCACTCAAGAAAACAGCCAGAAATGGAGTTTAATGTGAAGATGGGACAGTGCTGATCAGGTGCAGGGCATGGCCCTACATGCGTACTGACCAGCCTCCTCTTTACATGACAGCAATCCTTATTATCCTTTTATCTCTTTGTTTTCCCATATTTATTCCTCCCAAAATCACCTGAATCCCCTCCTTACCCTGCCTTCGGTTCCTCCCCTTGATCCAAAAGATGCTTTGGAGAGCTATTCCCATTGACTGGACACTGGGGCTGAGGCTGCCCTTGGAAAGCCCTGCCAGAGCCCAAACGGGGTGCCTGTTCCTCTAAATACTTAATCTGGGTTCCCTGAAGTGCATTTGGGACTCTGTGCATGTGGGCATGGGCCTTGGAAGGGCCGGTGACTCCTGTGATGGCCTGAGAGTAGCCAAAGCAAGGGTGTTATTCAGGTTTCCCCCACATTTCCCTTTGTGCTCTTTTGCCTATGTGCAGACAGGCTCTTTTATCAATTAACCTGATGGAAATATGAATTAATAATAAATGAAATTTCTCATATTTGCAATATCTTGAAAATCTGGAATGGTGTGGCTGTACGTTATATGAAAACATGTTGGAATTTCAGTTGGAGCATGAGTTGGAATTCTTTACTTTTCCACAGGGTGCACACATCCTGTTTCCAGGGAGGTGGGAAAGAGCAGGCAAGACTCCTTGGAGAGGTGATCCAAATTTCCGCTAATTTCACCTTCTTTGAAAGAAATCTCACTCTGGAGGGATAAACCACTCAAATATTTTTGTATTGAGTAGGCTCACTTGCCCTTTCTATCAGTGAGTGCCACTGTGTCCCTTTACGTGAGGCAGGTTTTCTGCAGAAGTTGTCGTAGAGCTCCTTTGCCTTTGTTGGTGCCAATAGAAAGCAGGGTGTACTTGCAGTCCCTGTGTTTTTGAACTTGCCTTCTTAAGTGCTCTACTCTCTGACGTTTCTTCCCGTTTCCCTGTGCCGTGGATTTGGACACCCTTACTGCTGTATTTTGGCTGTCCCCCAGCTATTCTGTTCCAGGTATTTGCATAGTCTGAGGGACAACCGAGGCTTTGGGAAGCACTGCGGTTGCCAGCATGGGTCAGGGGCCTCCAGCTTGTGTGCCATGAGGATTGCTGCCTTTGTGTAGATAATGGTGATCATCGTGTAGCTGGTGTCTAACTTGGGTCACTTTCCTACAGCCTTTGCACTCCCCAAGAACCTATATTACAAGTCTCTCTCAGGACAAGCTAGGAAGAGGTCCTTGGTATGGCGATGCAGTCAAATTCTTACCTGTCTTTGTATTGACCTGTCAGCTCCCAAACTTTGTTTACTATGGCTCCAGGGCTCTGAATTGGTAATTCCCAGTGTAAATGGTTTGTTTCTTATTGGTTGTGGTTTTGATCCTTAAACATGTGTGTTTCCCAAGGAGAAAATGGCTTTCTTTGAGATAGTGGCCTCTGCAGAAAGGAAAGGGGGGGTTACTGCTGCACTGGGGATGGGACACGGGGATGGTGCTGTGTGGGACAGATGGTGCAGGTTCTGCTGTCTTTGCTGAGGTTGTCTTACGTTTCTTCGGTCCTAGATGTGAAGCTGCAGAGCAGAAGCAGAAAGTACCACTAGGAACTCTGAAGAAAGACTTGAAATCACAAGAGGAAAAGCAGAAACAACTGACAGAGAAAATCCGCCAGCAGCAGGAAAAACTGGAAGCTCTGCAGGTAAATTGGAAGGTCTCCTGCTAAGCATAGCAGGCTTCCAGGGGCTTCCTTAGTGCAAGCAGGTGATGCTGAGAATAAAGTCTGTCTCAGCTGTAATAGCACATGTGCCATGTGGCATTCATGGGGTAGGGGTTGTTTTATTAAACGAGCATCTTAGATTGTATTTCCTACTAGGAGGATGGGGGGGGCTGCTGGATTCCAGGTCTTGAAAGACAGCAGAAAACACCTGCTTTGCAATTACTGATTTTTAAACTGGAAGACTGTTTGCTAGTATGGGTTCATGCAGGTTCTGACAGATTTCAAAAATAAATTTTCTGATTTTTTTCATTTTTGAATAGAAAACCACTCCAATTCGATCTCAAGCTGACTTGAAAAAACTGCCTCTAGAAGTGACTACACGGCCCGCAGGGGAGGTAAATGGGATACCACTGTAGGCTTTGTACTCTTCTGTGCTATCCTTAACTGTTACTGAAAAGCAAAGCCTGACTTTTTTTTGTCTTCTCTCTCTGTACCCTAATCTGTTTTGGAACACCCAGTCACAGACTCGACTTCAGCGCCCGCGATCTCCTCCTTTACCTGATGTAATTAAAAATGCTCCCAGCAGACCACCACCAGCTACGCCTCTTCCCAGGTCTGTCAGTCAGCTCAAGAAGAGTTCTCCAGCTAGTCCAACTGTTAGCTCTCCCAAATTGGCAAGCAATCTCTCCAAGGAGGAGGCCGGTACTTCCAGGACACAGCACCATACTGTGACAGCTGGAAAGTCTAATAGCACTTCAAAAACTCTTGCCAAAACAGCTACAGCAACAAAACCATCCACTGCTGTCCTGCAGAACCCCAAAAGCCCACGTGAGATACCCAGCTCAAAAACTGCCAAGGCGCCAACAGTAAAGAAATCTGCCACTGTCAAATGCCCACAGGTGAGATTCAAAGGGATGAAAACTATCCTTACCAATTTTTCTGCATAACCCATATTTCTCTGTCACATGGGATTTATGCCTCATTCTCTGCACAGGACAAGATAACTCCTATTTTATTCTTGGGTTAGAGTGCCATTCTACACTTCTAATAAAGGCTTGTTTCATCTTTTTCCTGTTAGACCAGACTATTTCTCCAGACCAAAAAAAAAAAAGTGCGGAATGGTAGACTTGAGGACTTATGTTATCATATGGCACCCTCTAAATCTTTCTTGAAAAAACAATTAAGATATCAAATGAAGATACTGAGTGCTGAGCTTTTTAAAAATTTTTAAATATTTGCATAAAAGGTTTTGTCTGGCAGTGTACTTGAATTATAGCTAGTGGTTTTTTGCTTCTGCAGGCCTCCACAACCCGGAAGAGGACCTTATATACCACAGAGGAGGTGTCTGAGGGGGAAGGGGAATACAAGAAGGAGAAGACAAAACGGGGCAAATTTGTGGCAGTGAAAGAGGAGAAGGATTCCAGTGAGGTTGTGGTAGAGGTAAGAGTGCACTGGTTTCCCCAGCAAAAGATATTTGTCAAGTGTTTATAATCTTGTCAGGAAACAGCTAATCTGAGCTCTCTGTTTACAGCTCACAGATAGTGCAGGAGAAGAAGAACTAGCAGAACTGAAGAAAGCTCAGAAAGGTGAGAAATGAACCCGTGAACTCTTTTCCAGTATATAACATAATGAAAAAGAGCTCTTGCAGAACTAGATTCATTGGTTAAGCATGTCTTTCTGTTAATGAGCTTTTTAGAACAAAAATTCATGTAAATTTGGGTACTAGACCATGAGACGACTCTTAAGTGGAACAAAATTTCAGGACCCCTTGATTGGACAGGAGTCATTGTGGTGTAGGAAGACCCATAACATGAGAGCTGCATCATCTTAACTGTTGTGCTGTTCGGCTGCGTATATGGATGTCATGCTGTGAGAAAAATCTCAAATAATGTTCTTCAGACAGGATCTTCTGTGAAAGATAATAGCAAATTGTCCTAGTCCAATACAAGCCTGAACAGCATGCATCAAACTGCCTAGAATACAAGAGAAACAGTATCTGAGAATGCCATATCATTTCCTTGCATATTAATGTTTCTAAGTAGGAGTTGAACTGTATGAACGTGGTGGTTCATGTACTGCTTGAAAGAATTGTCACAGTTGTAGGTTCACTCACAGTTGAGGGTGGCTGTCTTCTCTAATGACCATGCAGAAGGTGCCCTCCAGCATCTGAATTTGCGAACATCTTTACTGTCTTCTTCCCTTCAGATAAAGGGCTGCATGTGGAAGTGCGTGTAAACAAGGAGTGGTTCACAGGCCGTGTCACAGCTGTGGAAATGGGCAAGCATGCAGTGCGCTGGAAGGTGAAGTTTGATTATGTTCCCACAGACACCACACCAAGAGATCGCTGGTAACTATCTTCAGCTACTAGATTTTGGAGGCTTGTTTTGCTTTTAGGAGGAAGACCTTGTTTTACTTACACAGGTGCTGAAGACAAAAATATGTTGTTGTCATGTCAGGGAGAGTGTGTGTGCTCAGGACTGTCCATCTGCTTTTTAAAGAATGAACACAACACGCTCAGTACAGTCTGCTCATCATTTTAGTGTGATCTTCCTGTGGAGGCAGCTGTTGTGTAATCTAGAAGTCTCAGTGATGGATGTGTACAGGTTCTGATGAAGCTGACAGTATTTCAGATATGGCTGATGTAAGAAAAAAACATATGTATCCCTTCCCCCCCTCCTTTTTTTTTTGTCTTCAGGGTAGAGAAGGGCAGTGAAGATGTAAGACTGATGAAGCCTCCGTCTCCAGAGTATCAGCCTCCAGATACACAGCAGGAAGAGGGGGTTGTTGTGGCTGAACCTTCTACCTCAGACTGTGTCAGAATTGAGCCAGACACCACTGGACCGAGCAGTAACCAAGAAACAGTGGACTTGCTAGCTCAAATCCTTCGGTGGGTTCACAGTGCTGCTTGTGAGCTGCTGCAGCCTGATTGCTCTAGTCCTTCAATCTCAATCTCAAACTCTGGCTTTGCTTTTTCTTTCCTGCATAGGAATTGTTTGCGATACTTCTTGCCTCCAAATTTTCCTGTTTCCAAGAAGGAGCTGAGTTCCATGAGTTCAGAAGGGTTGCTGGCATTTCCCTTGGTGAGTTCAGTACTTCTAGAAAAAAGAGTAGTTTTTGTTTTTTTTATTCCCTGCACATTCCATTCTTACGCCAATCCTGCATCCAATGGAAGTTATTTGTATCCTTAGCATGATTAATGTAGTGGAGAAAAAAACAACAACGAGAGTTCTTGAAGCATGCATCAGTTTTTCTGAGAGAAGATTTTGATGAGGGATTTTTTATTACCATACATCTGTGTGAGAACCCTGTTGGCTGCTACCGTCTGGAGTTCTTGTCCATTGCGGTTAAGCTTTAAAGAAGAGGGGCAGGGGCCAGGTTAGAGATGCATAGAAATTAAATGTAGGTACATCTGTTTGTTATGCCCCAGTCTTAAAAGTCCAACTTATGCAGAGAAAATCTGAAAAATAAGAGAGAACGTGGATGCTAACGCCCCTCTTACGTCTCCAGATGTCCAGGCTCACAAAAATAGAGCAGAGTTTAAAGATTCACAGCCCACCTGTCCCCCATGATATCATTGTCTTTAAATTGGAGAGACATGAATTTGACAGATGGACCACCCTGTGGGTAAGGATGGTCATGCTAAAAGAGTTTGTAGTCAACAGCTCAGTCACAGCATGTTGGTAGCTGGATTCTTCTGGAAGCTGCAGGTACTGTGGTTTTCTTTACAGCTGGTGCCTTGTTTTTTAAGGTACCATCTGTTGTTTTTTGTCTTCTACAGAAAGAATATTTCAAACAGTATGAAGTGGGTCTGCAGAACCTGTGCAATTCATATCAGACACGTGCTGATGCCCGGGCCAAAGCCTGTGAAGAAAACCTGCGCAACTCAGAGAAAAAGCTGAAGGAGACAGAAGAGAAACTGCAGAAGCTGAGGACTAACATTGTGGCTTTGCTGCAGAAAGTGCAGGAGGTAGGTGAGGAAGGGGTGTGAAACCAGAACTGCACCACAAGTAGCAACCTTCACCAGACCAAGGCCAGTTCAGGCACCTGAGATGTTTTAGTCTACGATTTAGCTGTGCTTCAGTTCTTACTTGGTTTGTTTCAACTTGGGCCCAGACCGTCAGAAGCTACTAAGTGCTGCTGCTGCTGCCCACCTTTCAGGATCTAGGCCTTAGTGGCGGTGAGGAGTGTTAACTTTTGTAGTTGGAATTTTCGTGTTGTGTACATAGCACACAGTTTTTATTAGTTTCTGCTTTGTGCTATTAAACACGGCACTGCAGGAATTTCTGTCCTGTTCTCATGCAGGAAGCTGGTGTTAGATTCTGAATCTCTTGTATAGAAATGCAAGGCTTTAAACAATACTTCAAATAAAAAACTTTGATTAAATATACTTATTAAATATACTATCAAATATTAAAACATTATTTTTAACATTATATTACATTAAATACTAATAAAGTCTGCCAGTCTCTGAGAAGGGAAGTTGGCAGTGCTTTCACAGCAGATGAGTGCAGCTGTGTGCTCCTGGAGAGTGCTGGCAGGCAAGATGCAAAGGATGATCAGGACGAATGCTGCAGAGGATGCTGTGCTGCTGTACAAGGAGGCATTTTGTTTTATTCATTCTTGCACTGCTCTTCAAGATTCACTTTTTCACTAGTATTTCTTGTGCTTCTGGTTTTAGGACATTGACATTAATACAGATGATGAACTGGATGCATATATCGAGGACCTGATCACAAAGGGAGACTGAATAACCCCATTTTACATCCTAGGGAAGTGCAGAGGAGCTGGTTTCTTCTATGGAGATGTGGATTCCTGCAGTGGAGGACTGCGACAGCTGATGAGAGGAGAGGGATTTTAGACAGTACTTCCTTTGTATTGGTGTACAACTCGTTCTTGTGACTTCACATGAAAAAGACATTCGTGCTTTTGGCAGGAAAGTTTTTAACATTATAGTTCTTTGAATCTATTACTTTTGTTTATAAATATTTATTTTTAAAAGACATGGGAACTGTGCCTGGTATGATGGGAGGGTTGCTGTATGTTTTTAGTGAGGTTAACGTGTGAGTACCCATTTTTGCATCTGGGGTATATGCTAAACCTGAAAGACCAGAACATCATGCCTAGCACATTGTCTCTAATAGGAATCTGACAGCAAATTACAATTAGGTCTTGAGTCGTGGAAGAAGTCAGGACTTTGACTTCCAAGATGCTGACCTGGGGTGAGAGAAATCCAAGCTAGGACTCTGAGCAACACAGAGGAGATCAAAACAGTATCTGTGGGAGCATGAGTAGAAGGTATGAAATCTTGGAAGATTTTGGCAAAGCTGGATGTGGGGGTAGGGGATTGGCATTTGCCAGTGCAATGAGGTTGCTCAATAAGTCTCTGTAAGTAGGTGGAGTTGTCATGATGCTAACAGCTCAGAGGATGAAAATACTTTTAAAAGAGTGTGGCCTCCTCGGTGACTCTCAATGGATTGTGATCATTAGAGAGAGGTTTGTGTTGCTTTGATCCAATTGCTGTTCCAGGTAATTTTAATTAGAGTGCTGTAATTTGGAGCCCTGCACTGATGAATTGCATCTGGCTCTGGGTCAGCAACAAGGACGGTTGCAACAAACTGAAATCTACAGCCTGATGGCTTAAAGAAACACTGTGCGACCAAAATGTTCTCACCTTCAGGAACACCAAATGAAATGGGCCTTTGGAGTTGTTTTGGTGGCTGAATGTGTAACAGATGTTGTAGAGAAAAAAAAATTAATCATCTGTTGCACAAAAAATCTCAAGCAGTAATAATATATAGTACTAGACAACTCCTAAGTTTTACATACCATAGGGGAAAAAAAAAAAAAAGAAGAGAAGGTAGATTTACTTATTTGCCTGCATTTCAGGTCAAGAAAGCATATTGCAAGAATAGCATAAATTTCAGACTGATCAGCTTCTTTCAGAATGTGTGTACCCTGACTCCCTTTATAAATGAAGGTAAGAAGCATCCCCCCAACCATTCTGCACATTCCTGGGTTGGAGGGGCAGCGTTCCTTAAATGCAGGAGCAAGCTCATTGTAAAGCCGTGGACGTGGTCTGTCTTGATTTCAGTAAAGCCTTTGACACTGTCTTCCACAGCATCCTCGCAGCTAAACTGAGGAAGTGTGGTCTGGATGATCAGGTAGTGAGGTGGGCTGGAAACGGGCTGGAGGGAAGAAGGCAGAGTTGTGGTCAATGGGATGGAGTCGAGTGGGAGTCTGTATCCTGGGGTGTAGCAGAAAGGTTAGTAGGTCGAGAGAGGTTCTCCTCCTCCTCTGCACTGCCCTGGTGACAACATCTGGAGTGTTGCATCCAGCTGTGGGCCCCTCAGTTCAAGGACAGGAACTGCTTGAGAAAGTCCAGCGCAGAGCCACGAGGGAGTGGAGCATCTCCCTTACAAGGAGAGGCTGAGGGAGCTTGGAGAAGGGGAGGCTGAGGGGTGACCTTATCAACGTTTATAAATATGTAAAGGGTGAGTGTCAGGAGGACGGAGCCAGGCTCTTCTCGGTGACACACAATGATAGGACAAGGAGCAATTGGGTGCAAGCTGGAACATAGGAGGTTCTGCTTAAATATGAGACAAAACTTTTTTATGGTGAGCGTGACAGAACACAGGAACAGGCTGCACAGGGGGGGTTGTGGAGCCTCCTTCTCTGGAGATTTTCAAGACTCACCTGGACGTGTTCCTGTGTGACCTGACCTAGGTGCTCCAGCTCCAGCAGGGGGATTGGACCAGATGATGTCTCAAGGTCCCTTCCAGTCCCTTACGTTTTGTGACTGTGATATTGGAAGTTAATTGCAGTTTATTGGTTAATTGCAGTTGCACACTGGTTCATCAGGTGATGTTCCCTTTGTAGAGCCTGAATATTATGTTAAGGTCAAAAGAAATCTTTGTCCTTTTCAGGTGACCAGCAGGAATTCCGAACTAGATTTCATTAAAATACAGCTCAAAGATTATGTAGATTGCAATCTATTTCATAACACAAGGGAGTATGCCAATGTGGAACCTATAGTTCTCACACGTTTATTAAGGTTCATGAAACAGTTTGATCCCTACTCTTCCTCTCCTCTCCTGTTAGGAAGGCATTACACAATCTTACTCCTCTGTTCTCTAGGAACATCTCTTTTCCAGTTTTAACTTCTCTTAAGGCATTTCATCTTTTTGTTCTCACACCAAATATTTTTGATCGAGTTATATTTCTTCCCTGGAGTTACTTTCAACAGTGCAACTGATGTGTAACTGTCCCCTCTCAATTTCCATGTTGCTAGGAAAAGGAAGGCAAGAGTGCTTATTTATTTTTTTTATTAGCTTTTAAGTGCTAATTAAAAACGTTCTCAAAACCTTTCTGCTCATCCTTCTCTGCGTCTGTTTAGAATATTTTTTTAATAACCTTGCTAACTAGACCTATATAGAGCATTCGATTTTTACTAATGCCCTTAGGAAAACAGGAACCAAGTCTAAATAACCTTCTGCTCCAAGCAGGATGTACTCAAAAGCTGTATCAGTTGTTCAAGGCCTTCTGTCTGACCTCATAAAATCTTCAAGGGTAGGGGTTGCACCAGTTTTCTGCATCACAAACCTTTCCAGTGATGGTGTTCTACCTTTGCATCAAGCAAGGCTGTCCCTGTTGCAGCTTTGGAGGCTAAAAGAGCTGCCTATTGAAAATACCTCACCTGCTGCAGCCGAGGCAGATAGACCTTGCTGTGTTTAATCATTAATCAAGGTGAGGGGGATAGGGATGGGGGTAATAAGGCCCTTCTAAGGATGATGTTATGAATCCTGTGCGCAAAGTAGCTGCTGTGCCAGGCTGTGTAAAGTACTGGGTGCTGCAGAGCCCATCGCTCTTATGGGGAAGGAGGTGGCCAGACTCCCAGTGTCACAGGCAACTGGGACTTCAAAAAAAACAAAAATATATATATACATAGGAAGCCCTGTCTCAGCCTGGAAGAAGGGAAAGCATCCAGGGTGTTTGCATAGCGGGTTGAACCTACAGCCCTTGTTTTTGCTGTCTTGCCCTCCTTAGAAGAGTGTGGAAGGCAAGGGGGAGGATCCAGGCTGCTGGAGGGAAGGAGCAGCTCTCTGTGCTGACCACAATCCGTGGCTTTGGCCTTGCCAAGGAAAGCAGGGGCAGCTCTGTGCGGTGCTTTTCATGCCCTCCCCACCCGGTGTGGCTCCAGCACTGGGGCCGTTCCCCTTCCAATTCCCCTGAGCCCCGGGGGAAGCTGAAAGGAAGCTGCCAGCTCAGCTGCCAGGTGGGGACTGCAGGCTGGGAGCCTCTGAGCAGGCTCTGCCACAAGCTCATGAAGCATCACATTGTCTGCGCGGGGGCTGCCAGCGCCTGGGAACGTGGGCACGTGTGGCTGTGCCAGCCCCTGGTGCTGCCCTGTCTCCGGGGAAACATCTCATGATGGTAGAGGCATCCCCAGCCACCGCTGGGGCACCCCCAGCCTGACCTTGGCTCCGCAGCGTTTGTCTGGGAGGAAAGAGGATGAAGTCTTCCTTTTCCTGGCAGCCGTCAGCTCCTGCTGCAGCTGCCTGGAATCGGCTCCCTTGTTGTGAAAGGGGCGGTTTGGCGGCTGCCCCGGGGGAGAGAAGGGAACCACTGAGCATCACCACGAGCCCGAGGTACTGCAAGGCCCAGGGCTGGCAGCTTGCTGCGGGTGAGCGCACAGAGGGCCCTTGTCACAGCTACCAGAGGGGCTGACGGCTTCTCACCTGCTGTGTGCTCTCCTGGCAGGAGCAGAGCCTTTGGCCCCGCAGGGAGCCTTTGGCCCCACAGGACTCTGCCTGGTCCTGGGAGAGCCAGGAGCTATTTTGGGGGTGTTCCTGCTGCCAGTGCACCCAACTGCAGCACTGTAGCTCCCAGGGCACACGCTCTGGCTGTGTCCCCCTCCTCCTTGGGACTCCATGTGCCCTTATCATTCAGGGCCACCCTTGTTTTCTCTCAATTTCCTCTGCCCCCCTTATCCTTTCCCTGGCTCTGCCTGCCTTTGTGCAAGCCCCTGCCCCATCGTACCCAAGCCAGGGGTTAGCCAGAGTAGCATGGGTTGGTTTTTAACCTTCCTCCACCCTGCAGGTCTTGTGTGAGCACAGGAGGCTTCTCACATCCTGCGGTTGTAGTGGGTTTATGTGGTGAGGTTTTGGTAGCAGAGGGCTGTAGGGGTGGCTTCTGTGAGAAGAGTCTAGAAGCTGCCCCATGTTAGATAAGGGCCCCTGCTGCCAAGCCAATAAGCGATGTTGTTTGTGCCTCTGTGAGAGCAGATTTAAGACAGGGAAAACAAAAACAGTGCTGCTACACAGCAGCTGGGAGAGAGAGAGGAGTGAGGAACAGCCTTGGAGGGGCCAAGGTCAGTGAAGAAGGAGGGGGAGAGGTGCTCCAGGTGCCAGAGCAGCAGTTCCCCTGCAGCCTGTGGAGAGGCCCCTGATGGAGCAGGCTGTCCCCCTGCACCCATGGGTCCCACACATGAGCAGATCTCCACGCTGCAGCCATGTGGAGAGCCCCCGGTGGAGCAGGTGGACCTGCACTGACAGAGGCCTGTGGAAGACCCCTGCTGGAGCAGATTTTGGGCCAGAGCTGTAGCCCGGGGAGAGGAGCCCAGGGAAATATTGCACCCAGGGAAATATTGCACCCAGGGAACTGCTGGCACATCTGGGTTCAAGGAATACACACTGAGCTCCTGCTCGTGGCAAGCTGGGCCCACCAGACTGCAGAGCCCCCTCTGGGATGACCGTACCCTGGAGACAGCAGCACACCCACATCCTCAGCCACCAGCCCAGACACAATCTTTGACAGCCCTTTTACTCAGGGAGCTTTGGTGGGGGGGAGAAGAGCCGAGCCTCCAGCCGTGGCAGTGCACTGACGCCCTGAGCCCAGGACAGACCTGGCCAGAAGGGCTCAGGACCTGGCTTGGAAGGAAAGCAGAGCCCGAAGCATCCCCACGCACGGCAGCAGCCCCACACAGCGGGGACACAGCGGGTGCAGGGGACGCCCCCGGCCGGGAACACGCAGGGCGCTCAGCCTCGGGAGCCGCTGGGGGGGGGAGGCTGGCGGCGGAGCCCCCGACGGCCCCGCTCCCAACCCTCCCTCGGGAGCCCCCGGGGGGCTGCGGGGGCGCCGCCCCGTCGGGCGGAGCCGGACGAAGGAGGGAGCAGGCTAGGACGGCGGAACGGGCGTTTATTGGGGCCGCTACACCTTGGTGCCCCCCGACGGCACCTCGGAGCGCTGGGTCGGGGCGCTGAGCGTGGACGAGGCGGCGGCGGCGGCGGAGGCAGCGGGTGGGCGGCGAGCCCCGCGCAGCCCCAGCAGCAGGCGGCACTGGGCTCGGAAGCGGCCGTCGAGGAAGGCGTAGAGCAAGGGGTTGAGGCAGCTGTTGAGGTAGGCGAGGCAGGTGGCGTAGGGATGCAGCCGCGAGATGAGGCCGAGCAGAGCGCACGGCAGCTCCAGCAGCCCGGCGGCGGCCAGCACGAAGAGGCTCTTCAGCAGGTGAAAAGGCAACCAGCACCCTGCGAAGACGGCCACCAGCGCGGCGATCAAGCGCAGCAACCTCCTCCGGGCCGCCGCTTCGGCTCGGCGGGGGCGCAGGTGGCGGCGGACGGCGGCCCCCACGCAGCAGTAGCAGACGGCCATCAGCAGCAGCGGCGCCGCGAAGCCCAGCGCCGTCGTGCCCAAGCTGAGCGCCGCCGCCGCCCTCGCCGCCCCCCCGCCCAGCTGCAGGTCGCAGAGCGTCCGATTGCGGGGCCCCCCCCGCGCCTCCCGCAGCAGCAGCGCGGGGAGCGCCGCAGCCGCCGCCGCCGCCCAGAGCGCGGCCAAAGGGCCCAGGGGAGCGGAGGAGCCGGCGGCGGAGCGCCGGGGAGCGGCTGCGCTGCGGGGATGCGGAGGAGCGGCTCGGGTGACGGCTCGGTAGCGCTCGGCGCTGAGCCCCCCCAGGCAGAAGGCGGAGGCGAACATGTTGAGCAGCACCAGGTAGCTGCTGAGCTTGCAGAGAGCCGCCCCGAAGGGCCAGTGGAAGCGCAGCGCCGTGTAGGCGGCCCAAAGGGGCAGGGTGGCCACGAAGGCGAGGTCTGCCAGGGCCAGGTTGCCGATGTAAGCGTCGGCGGAGCGGCGTTTGGCCCGCGGGCCTCGCCACACCGTCAGCAGCACCAGCCCGTTGCCGGAGAGCCCCAGCACGAAGACCAGCGTGTAGAGAGCGGGCAGCAGCGAGAAGGACGCCTCCCAGTCCGCCTGCCACTCGCACGCCTCCCCCGTCTCGTTGCCCTCCTCCTCCTCGTAGTAGTAGTCCAGCTCCCCGTACTCCATGGCGCAGCGCTGCCCCCCGCGCCCCGCAGCGCCCCTATAAAAAGGAGCCGCCGCGCACCGCCCCGCACCGCCCCCCCGAGACCCCGCACCGGGCGGCCCCGCCGCGACCCCCGCCCCCAGGAGGCGCCGGGACCCCCGCCCCAACCCCGCCCAGCGCCCCGCATCGGTGCCCACCCGGCAGAGCATCGCCCGCAGCCCCCTCCGCAGGGGCAGCGGCCGGAGGGGGCCGAGGATATTGGGAGAGGAAAGGCTCGGGTGGGAAGAGTTTGCTTGGGAATTGCCTCTCGGAACGACCTAGGCGGGTGTCAGCAGCACAGCCCAAATCCCTGCCAGCCGTCCAAGGGGAGCGTGTGCTGTATGCTGCGGCAGAGCTGGGTGCCGGAGTGCCAGCGGGGAGCTGTAAGCCAGGCTAGAAACGTGCAGGGTGAGCAGGGAGGGCAGAAAGTGAATGCTGCGGGAGCTTCACGGAGGGCACGGCAGGGAAATGGAGCAGTGCTCAGCATGGGGAGCCTGTGGGGGTCCCTGCTCTGGGGGTGTTGGTGCCCCATCCTTGCACAAAACCATTCTGTTGCACTTGTTGGTGATGCCAAGCCAGAGCGCAGCCTTGGATAAGTAGGGCTGGCAGGTCTAGGGGAAGATGAAGCAAGCCGAAAAGCATCCTGACCTTGTGAAACACCATCCCTCACCTCCCCATCAGTAACTCACGCCTTCCCCCAGCACTTCTCACACAGAAAAGTGGGAGAGAGGTGGAGGGGTGTCCCAGGAGACCTGGACATTTGCTGTGATTTCTCAATGGCAGAACTGAGTTTGTTTTATCTGTCCTGGCCGGTTTCTTGTAACAATTGTCAGGCCCTCATTCCCTGATGATAAGGAGAAAGTGGCTACTTCCTGAAAAACAGTGCATGCGTAGTGCACTGCATGCATAGTGTCCGCAGTGCCTGTACTGGAGCAAGTGAAGGAGCTCTTAGCACGGCTTGTTTCAGGTGAGGGGGAAGGTCGGGATGACACTGTGGCTGAGTGGGACTTTGTCTAGCTGGACATGTCGGGTCAGTCCCTGTCAGCAACATTCAGTGGCAGCAGAGCCCCTTTGTCAGGTGTTTACGCATTCCCCGGTAGGACTGGGCCTGCTGCACCCACGGAGCATCCTCGTACCCCCCAGCTGTGCCCAGGGTTGGGAACAGGCAGGATTGTAGTCAGGAGCCCTGGAGCCAGCAGCATCTGCAAAGTCTCCGGAAGCAAAATTCTCTGTCCACTGGGCTGGTTTCCTGCTGATCACAGTCTCTGTATTTCGGGTCTGTTTTTTCTTTTTTCCTCTTCTCAGACATGCCATAAAAACGTCCTTGTTCGGGGAGAGCCTTGCAGAAGACACTTCCCCTGTGTTGGTCCTGAGGGTGGCATGTGGCCAGCTGCAGCTCTGCCAGGAGCGGGGAGGGAGCGCTGGGCTGTGGTGGGCTGTTTGCTTGCAGCAGAGGTTTTTTTTTCCCTCACTGGGACAGAGGACGTTCCTGTTCCCTGGCTGTGTGTTACTGCAGCACGTTAAAGCAAGTTCAGCATGTGGGGTCTGATGCCTCGCTGGCCAGCGGCGTTTGACAGGCGTGAGACTCTGCAGCCAGGTGAGCCAAAGCTTCCCCTGAGTCACCACCGTACATCTCCGCTGTTTCTTCCCCTGCAACAGGATTCCTTGGAGAGGCTGTGTCCCTCAAAGCAGCCAAGGCCTGTGGCCACAGTGGGACGTGAACAAACTGAGCTCTGAATCAAGATCAGTAAGTACCTGGGAGCCAGGAATCGTGTCTCCCAGGGCAGCAGGGCCTTTCTGTGTCACTCCCATTCTCTGCCCAACACCATAAAGCCTTCCTTCCACCTCAGCTGCTCTGCTGTGCTCAACCTGGCATCCCAGGGGACTTCAGGGCAAGCACGAAGAGTGCCCAACACCTGCTGCAGATTGTAGTCATGCGGGATTGTCTGCGCTGGGACGGTTGGATCAGTTGTCAAGGGCTGGGCAGATGAGTGCTACTCTTACCTTGCTCCAAAGGGAACCTAATTCCTGAGCAAATGAAATGACAGCAGGTTGAAAAAAAGCTTTTCAAGCCAGGAAATCCAGCTAAAAGGACTTTGGGGGAAAAAGAGGAAAAAAGGAAAAAGAGGGGGAAAAAAAATCAAAAAAGCACCACATCATTTTATTTCACATGCTTCAGCACAAAATCTCCAGCAAAGAAGACTGCCACCTGGGACAGCAGGAGCTCGTTTGTCCTGATCCTGATGTGCTGGCATTTATTTTTATTTATTTTAACGTATTTTTATTTATTTATTTATTTATTTATGGAGAGGTGGATAATTCTGGTGTCCCCCTAGTGGTTCCTAAAATTCAGTGTTCTGCCCAGTGCAGTGTCTGTAGCCTGGCTGATTTCCAACCGTGGCAGACAAATCACATATACCATGAGGCACATAGTTTCCTCCCAACGGTCCACATTTCAGCCTCAGGTTGGGCTCATTCAGGAAGAAGGCAGAATACTGTAACCTCCCTGTGAGCTTTCTGCCTAAATCACATTTGCCTGTCTCCTCCATTTCTCTTTCAAAACTGTTCCTCATTTTCTTGGTCCTTTTTTGATCTGACAACCAGCCAGCGCGGCAGGATTTTGTCACTGGTGTGTGGAAAAGCATCCACAGGAAGTGTCACTTTCCGTCTCCTCCCTCTACAGATTTCTTCTGCTGCTATTTTTTTCAGCAGCAGCTGTACCTCCAATGAACTTTCTGTAGAGGCTCTTCAGTCTTCCTCTTTCCTTGAGATTGTTGCTCTACAACAGGCTGAAGATGCATGAGCAGTTTTTCTTCCCTTTATAATATCCCTGATTTTTATGTGGACTGCTTTGCCAGAAGTGAGATGTAAACAGCCTAATCTACCTATAAAATGGTCTCTCACACTCTTGGCCCTGGGGCACTGTGGGCTTTACTAAGGACAGCAGTCCTCTTAGAAATTAGGAGAAGGAGCCCTTGGGCAAGCCTGAGTGCTGCAGATCCAGCCAGGGCAACACCAGAGCAGAAGCAGTGAAGGTACCGTTTAATTGCTGATAGGCAAAGCAGAAGAAATGATGTCTTACTTTCCCAGGGCTGCTCTGATTCTCCAGGGCAGATTCTGTTACAGAGACAGGTTTGTCAGCTTCCTAAACAAATATACAGGCAGTGCAGTTAAAACCTGGGGGCAATTACCTGCAAATATCATGAGAACAGTTTACAAATCGTAAGATCAAAAGCAAAATGGTATTAATTTTGTTCTTGGTTTATAAGCCAGCAATTGTCTACAGGTGCAAGGCTTTTTTCAAGCATATAAAGAAAATTTCTCTCAAGGAAAAGTGAGTACTGGGAGTCTCAAATATCCCCAGGGTTTGAGGAAAAAAAAGGCATCAGATATTGTATTATCTGCCTACCAAAGTTGGTATTGTTCAATTTTTTGAAGGTATCTGACAGGGCTGGGGTTCTCTGTTTTGATCTGAACAGATTACTTGCCATACAAAGGTCCCACAGAACAAAATTCACCTTTTTCATGCTTTGAGAGGATTCCAAATCTGCCTGGCCACTGCTTTGCAGACCACTAGGACCCACATGACAAGGCTGCACATTGCAGGAGCAAAACACAGGGAGAGGCTTCGGGGATGTCTTCAGTGCAACAGTGAAAGGAGCCTGGTGAGCTGGGCAGGTTGGCATTGGCTGAGCTTCTCTGCAGGAGGGCTGCACTTGGCTGCAGGATATCCTGGAGAGCAGGACAGAAGGGCCAGCAGCAGCACTGAGGAATGGGCTGGAGCTGGAGGAAACGGCTGTCAAGCCACACGCAAATTAATACACTTGTCCAGTGGCCTGGGGAAAAAGGGAGTTCCCCCGGCACACACTGTCAATTTTCAGAAGCACATCAAAATCATACACATTTTTTACTTGGGTTTCAAATGCAAGTCTGAAGGAAGACGCTTTCCCACTGCCTTTCTCTACCACAGCAGGCAGATGTGTCTCTCCTTAGCTCAGGAGGGGCAGATGGGGTGGCAGACTAACGAGGGAAGGGGAGCAGGAGGCTGCAGGATGTCCCGGGGGCCTCCTTTGTCTCAGCAAGCAACTGCGGTGAAGAGTAGGACACTGATGGAAAGGGAATGAGAGGATTCTCATTGCTTCAGCGCTCTCTAGAGGCATAAAACTTCAGCAAGGACACTGTTCCAGACTGCCTTCCCCTTTGGTGTAAACTTCCAGCAGCTGGCTGCACACGGGAAATATTTTGCCTTTTACACAGCACTGCTGGCTAGCCCAACTCTGCAGCTGGGTTTGCAGACAGCCCACATCCACTCTCTCAGGGACAGTGCATCCTACAGCTGGGATGTTGCCGGCAATTCTTTTTGCCCTGAAGGTGAAGTAGTTCTGGAGTGTTTTCCTGCTGCTGGTGCTCCATCCTCATCCTCGCACTGTATGCCGCTGTTTCTGTCTGCTTGTCTCTAGTCTCTGGTTTATTTTCACCAGAAAGGCAGCCCAATGCTGTTTCAGCAGGCACTGGGACAAAACCTGTGGTGGAAGGTGTGGCTTCAGCCTGAGGGTGGGTGCTGTGGGACAGTGGGGACAAACTTGGGCACCAAGCAGTCACAGGCTGCAGCTGCTTCCATTGCTTTCAGTTGCCTCCCTGCCAGTGGTTTTGCGAGGGGTTTGTGATGCCGTGATGAGACAGGCTGCTGCGGTGATCTGTGTGCTTACAGACGTCCTTGAAGCTGTTGCAGCATAGTGGGAAAGTCGGGTAGAATTGCAGAGATCCTCAAACTTACCTCTGTAGCATTTTTGTCACCCTCCAAGGAAGCACACTCTGTTTGTTGGTGGAATGAAAAAATACCCGGGAATCTTTGCATGAAGAGTTCCTAAAGCAAAAGACAAAACTGACATCATTGAAATTTAGATGAGAAAGGGCAGAGCTACTACTGCTGCTGTCAAGGGTTTGCCATTAGGCACCAGAGTTAATGTTGCATTGAGAAGCCTAGGCAGAACCCATGCTCCTTTGAAAATCGCAGATGATACCAAGTAGGTGCATGTGTCGATCTGCTCGAGGGTAGGAAGGCTCTGCAGGAGGATCTGGAAAGCCTGGACTGATGGGGTGAGGCCAAATGTATGAGGTTCAACAAGGCCAAGTGCCGGGTCCTGCACCTGGGGCGCAATAACCCCAAGCAGAGCTACAGGCTGGGAGGTGAGTGGTTGGAGAGCTGCCAGGCAGAGAAGGACCTGGGAGTATTGGTTGACAATCAGCTGAATATGAGCCAGCAGTGTGCTCAGGTGGCCAAGAAGGCCAACAGCATCCTGGCTTATATAAGAAGCAGTGTGACCAGCAGGGCTAGGGAGGTGATTGTCCCCCTGTACTCAGCTCTAGTGAGGCTGCACCTTGAGTACTATGTTCAGTTTTGGGCCCCTCACTACAAGAAAGACATGGAGGTGCTTGAGAGAGTCCAGAGAAGGGCGACAAAGCTGGTGAGGGGTCTGGAGAACAAGTCCTATGAGGAGCGGCTGAGGGAGCTGGGCTTGTTCAGCCTGGAGCAAAGGAAACTCAGGGGCGACCTTATCGCTCTCTACAGGTACCTTAAAGGAGGCTGTAGTGAGGTGGGGGTTGGCCTGTTCTCCCAAGTGCCTGGTGACAGGATGAGGGGGAATGGGCTAAAGTTGCACCAGAGGAGGTTTAGGTTGGATATTAGGAAAAACTTCTTAATGGAAAGGGCTGTGAGGTATTGGAATGGGCTGCCCAGGGAAGTGGTGGAGTCACCATCCCTGGAGGTCTTTAAAAGACGTTCAGATGTAGAGCTCAGTGATATGGTTTAGTGCAGGACTGGTTAGTGTGAGGTCAGAGGTTGGATGGGGTGATCTGGGAGGTCTCTCCCAACCTAGACAATTCTGTGGTTGCAGCCGGCCGTTCCGCCAGGCACCTCTCGTAGCCTCCTCATGAGGAGCCTCAGGGCGGGAAGCGGCCCCGGCCCCGCTGCTCCCGCCCCCGGTTCTGACCCGCCCCCTACGGCCGGGCCCGGAGGCCTGCAGGCGCCTGGGGGAGGCTGCAGGGCCCGGTGCTTCGGCCTCTTACCCTGCTCCCTTACTCTGGTTAAGGCTTTTAATAATTTACCTTTAATCCTTTTGCTTCCCTAGGCTGACACTGAGGAAGAAAAATATGCCATTAAAACCGTTTAAGTACCTGTTGCCTGAAACAAGGTTTCTTCATGCAGGCAGACTTGTGTATAAGTTTAAAATCCGTTACGGTAGCTTCAAAAGGTAAGAAAGTTAAAGCTGAAAAGTCAAGCTGCAGCTTGGTAATCATGTGTAGAACTGGGTTAATATAAGAACCTCGCTACAAGTTTTGGGGGCTCCTCATTTCTTGCCTTCTTTTAATATGAAAGTTGTCACTTAAAAGCTGCTGTTGGGCTTTAGTTTGTTGTACACACGGAGCATCTCTGACCAAGTTCTGACTGGGAACCCTGAACGTGTTAGATACGAAAATGTCTGCACTACCAAACCATAAATCAGAGAATACTTGCATGCCATGATTACTTATATTCCACTTAATTTACTTATTTCCAAGTAACAATTATGTGATTTGTTTACTTCTTAATGGATTCTGATTTTTTTTAAGACCTCATTTCTCATTGTATATCTTGTTGTTGGCTGATACCTAGCAGCAAGCAATGTTTGAGAAGGTTGTTTACAAAAGGTGTATTTAACATTGTGAGAGCAAAGTCTGATGTAGGCAGTACATACTTACCAGCAACAAACACCCATACTTAGTGATGCGAAGCCCATTTCTTCAACAGTTCTGCATTGTGGATGGAATTAAGGGACAAGTTCTGATGGCTTCTTTTCATCTCTTGAGTAGAATGGATAACTGATAGGTTGGAAGACAGAAGTGTTAGTTTGAGGCCATCTTGTCAAAAAGAAATCATAACAGTTAGTTGGGATTGACTGAAACATTCTGACTTCTTATCTGTTCTGCCTGTATGCACACAGTATACAAATGGACACAAATCAAAAGAAACAGTCCTTTTGAAATAATATAACTTTTAAGAATGATGTTTTAAGAATTCAAATTCCTGATAAGTACTTCCATTATGTAGTGAGAATATGCCTTGTTCACGATGTTTTGTCATTTGAACTGTGCCAATGAATGTAATTCCATTTGTTTTGTGACTGGGGTGGGACTAATTCTCTTTCTTTCACAGTGCTTCTGAACTAGATAACACTGAAAGTGCTGTCAAGGAGTTAGAGGTAGGACTAGAATATAAAGCAGGGATACAGAGGGAGTGGGGAGAAGAAGGGAAAAAGGATAAGCAAAGCTGTATGTATCTAAAATGTGCTTTCCACAACTCATGCAAACTGTAAGGTTGTTTTAAATTTTTCCCACTCTTTGAAACTGTACTTCACTATGGAATTGTGGTTATATTCTTAATATTATTCCCTCTTTTTTTTTTTTTCCATCTTCTCTATCTCTAGGAAGCAATTCGAGTAATCCTTGGAAATCTTGATGATTTACATCCATTTTCTACAGACCACTTCACTGTCTTTCCCTGTATCCTTTCAGCCTCATAAAAATAAATGAGTCAATGAATGTGTTGGGCATTACTGAATTCACCATTTATATCCAGTAATTTGCAGATCTTTAGTTACTTTGAGCTTCACAACTTTACATTAGCTGAGGACTAAGCTCAGTTGTTGCCTTCACCAAAGAATTGATTTCAGAAGGATGTTTTGCATTGTTTTTAGATTAATGATCTTACATTCCAAGTCAGATCTAGTCAGACAAAGCAAAAGTATATAAAGTATATAAAAAAGTATATAAAGTGTTTGTTCACAAAATTAGTACTCACAGATCGTATTTGCTCCTTTATACATGTGTTCAGTATGGTTTGATTTTTGAAACGTGTAAGGCATTCTCAGGACTCCTGTACTTTTAAAATGTTAGTGCTAGGTTCTTAAGTCTTAACATCATTCTCAGATTTGCGTAAGTGGGAGAGAGTGTCAAAAATGAGATTCAAACACAAAAATGTGCATCTTTCGCCTTATCCCTACATCTGCATTATGTACCTAGAACTCAACTCATTTCAGCAAAATTTATCTTTTGGTAAGTCTGTATGGTTATGTTTGGATAATTTCTGGGAACAAATGGGTATGTTGCAGCATGGTGCCATTATTGCTCTTAAATAAAAATATACTTTTCTACTCTGAAGTTAGCTTTGTCATTGAAACACTGGTGAAGTAATTCTGCTGCAGCTTTCAGATACATACATCTACATATGACGTTTGCCCTTTCAGCTAGTATTTTTCTGAAGTAATGACCAGTGGCTCCCAACATTCACTGCTTAATGTCAGTAGCTGAGTTGGAGCCAGTACATGTATGTGGACAGAATTTTTAAATTCCTTGTACTTTTACTATGCTTGCTGACATTGAACTCCACCTGCCATTTCATCACATTCTTTGTTGTTTTTATAAAGAAGGAATGCATTTGTTTCTCCAAATAATGTTAGTAATAATGGTAATGTGTTTTGTATAACTTTTAAATGTTGTCACCTCATGAGTGTCTCATTTTCCACATTTTCTATGAATTCACTGAACAGGTTCAGGCCCCAACTAAGGTCTGTGTGGGACATAACATTTATCCTTCTCTGTTGTGAAAAAATAGTGTTTATTCTTACAGTTTCTTGTTCTAACTTGTTTCTGGTCCCCAAGGAAAGCTTCCTTTTTTTTTTTTGTCTCACAGGCTCTAATTAGATATTCTAGCCTTCTTTCATTCATAAAATGAAATAGTAATCTCTTAGTCTCACTCATTTGCTTGTGTTGTAACATCCCCTGCCAAACATAGCATGTTTTGAGGTAAAAACTTCTAAACATGGAGAACTCACTCACTTCCCTGTCCACCTTACTTACTCCAGTATTTAATTGCCCTCCCCAGATATTTGTACAGCATTTCTATTCTAAAAATATGTGTAGCATAACGTGCCATAAATTTCAGGCACCAATGTTTCTGGTTTCTGTTCACGGGGATTTTTTTTTTTCTTCGGGAAACTATATATGGATCCCATGCATCAGAGGTTAGATGGGCAATATTTTCTGGAGCCTATGCTCCAGATGTCCTTGCATCTTCTATCTGATGCCAGGTCACAGTGTGACACTAACGGTTCTGAAGTTCATTCTTCTCTTCTGAAGGCTTCTTTCACTTTTTCAAGAATAGCATTTGTTCCCATTGCCATCAACGTCTGACATTCATTGGTAGGAATTCTAATTCTACAACTGTTCTGGAGTTGTATTTACAGTTTTTCAATTTCAGCATATCATATGCAAGTTCAGCATACTCTGCCTTGTTCTCAGCAAGTGAGGTACAATGCAAAAATGTACTTTTAAGTTGTTTAAAGAAACTCCAGTGTAAATATTCACTGAATTTTGTAATACCTCTGTTACAGGTAAAGAAGTACACGGCGACAGTTATGAACTTGTAAGTTGTGTGTGTGTGTTTTGAGTTTTATTTTAAAGAGTCTGGAGAAACAGAATGTATATATAGAGAGAAACTCCAGATTACAGACAAAAGTATTTAAATATAGTTAATGCTGTAGTTCTGCAGTTCCTAGGTCAGGCAATTTCAATTGGCATTCAATTCTCAGCTAAAACCATTCAAGTCATGTGAAATGCTTATGTTAATATCAGTGGACTTTAAATGAAGTCCTGCCTCAGGACCTCAGCACCTTCCTGGCTTTAGTCAAGTGTACTTTCTACAAGTCTGAACTGACCTGTCAAATATCCTCAATGTAAGAGTCTGTTTGAGGTTATTTCTGAATAATTGTTTCCTAAGTAGTGTATATGTCATCAACAAGAAAGTTAAGCTAATTTGGAATGCTTTTGTTTAATGAGAGCTCAGGATAGGTTTGTTTTCAGTATGGATATGTATCTGAAGATGGAGTTACTGAAGATGTACTGTCCAAATTCTCCCAAAGAAATTCCACTATCTCTGTTAGAATTACACTCCTACTAAAATCAAGGCACTCTTCTAAAGACAGAGAAAACACGATGCCCTGAAAGCACAATTTTGAGCTTTAAACTGTTGAGCATAAGTTTCTGGATGGCCTCTCTGCTTATCAACCCTTTGAATAAAGAAGCTAGTAGTTTATTCATGAATCTTTTTGTTTGTTTGTTTTCATCATAATTATGTGAACAATTTTTGTACATTTCAAATTTTGTTATAAAATAGAAAAGTCAAAATCAAATATTACCAATGCAAAGTTTGCAATGTTTTGAAGGTCAAGAGAAGAAATGAGATGTCAGAAAGTACTGAAATGGAAGGAACAGTGAAGAAGAGAAGAGTTGAAGGTCAAGCAGAGACCTCATACCCAAAGTCATGTATCAACAGGTCAGTTGACAACAAAATGTGCTTCCAGGGTGTATGTAAATATTTTTCATGTGCCATTGACCATCCTCATACATCATTGCTGTGTAGCCCTTTGCCCCATTGTTCTTTTTCATTTTCTTCCTAGATGAAAGAATTTAAGCAGTATTGCCTTTATTTGGAGAAGACTTATCATATGCTTTCAGGTTCCAATGCCATTTAATAGGGGACATAAATCTTCCCCTTTAACTCCTTTGTCTTAATGTTGTATATAAAATTAATTCAATTGGCATGTCTCTTGGACATTTGTAAATACTTGAACTTTGTAAAATTCTTATCCTCTCTAATATTTTCTCATCTGTTAAGTCTTATTTGTGTGCTCAGTTGTTCCTCAAAGAAAAACTATTCTGTGTGTTTGATAGCTTTTGTTCCTCTTCTCTGAGCCTTTCCAACTTACGGAAAAGGAGGAACTCTCCAGATTCTCCATCTAAGTTTGGGGGACCAAGCTAGCACGTGGTATACTTGAGGTGTGGGAGAGCCTTGGCTTTGTACAGTGCCATAATCCTATTTTTCAACTTTATTTTCTGTTCTTTTGCTAGTAATTCCTCCCTTTTCCTAACTTTGGATTATTTTCTTTGAGGTTACAACTGAGTATTCAGCTGTCAGAGTTTCTATCCCTTAATAGGCATAGAAATGTAGTTATTAGTTATCTCCGTAGATAATACAAAATATCATCTATGTTGATCAGTTTAAAGCAGATTGATTTTCCCCACATGCATCACTTCATACTTCTCTACACAATTTTCTCTGCCAATGTATTGTTCCATGTACAAGTCTTGTAGGACCCCTCCATGGTTCTTTGCTTTCAACCCTTTTCTTTATGTCAGTAACCTTGTATGATTTGCAAGCTTTCTCAACTCACTGCTCATCACCTTTTCTATGTCACTTAACACTTCTGTTGTCTTTAAGTGCCTTCTGTTTTTTCTAGAGAAGCAGAAAGCTTCTCTACTGGAAAACTCCTCTACTGTAATGTGTACGTATGTTCATTTTTTAAGTGAAAATTTGAAATATGAGTACAAATATGTATTAAGGGTATATATATCATAGGCCAGAGGTTTATAATAAAGTACCTAGGTTGCTATTTACATGTTCGCTTCTTTTTCTTAATATTTGGTTTGTTTTTAGACCTGGAGCTGAGAGCGTTCACCATATAATTAAAGCAAAGCATGGATTTGAAATGGTAAGCTGCAGAATATTTAGAAAGACACAACAGCATTTGTTTAATCCTTGATTCTTAAAATGGCAAGCATAAAAGTGCCTTCAGGTAATATTTTTTCACTTGTATCTGTGATGATAGAGAACATTTTTGATTGCTGCTTATGAAAATTAGTCATATGATGAGTTTTACAGAGAGACCACATGTGCTTTTCTGATTCTCAAACCAAGAACAGTAGGGTTAAACTTTAAACTTTAAAATCTTGCTTGAACCTGAGGTTAGTGCAAGAGGCAGTAAATCTATTCTTATATTATCAAGAGACAGTAAATCTATCCTTATATTATTTTCTCTGTATGACAAAGTTATATCACTCTCTTTTAAATAAACATACATGCAGATTCTGTTGTTTGTGGCCCTTTTTACTTCTGATATTCTGGCTCGCTTCCTGCTTCTGACACTTTGCACTTCTGCCCTTTAACTGTCTGTCACTGTGACTACTACTGTGAATGAGCAGGTCTAATGTCTCGGGTCTGTTTTGTCAAGTGGCTGTTATTTCTCACAGCATTTCATTAAAAAAAATAAATCTATCTATGCCATACCAGCTGTTACTCTTTTAGTATGTAGTGTTTTAAAGTCTACTAAATGAATTACAGCTTTACTTTAGGTCTGTGAATGTCCTGGAGAGGGAGGGGTAGAAATATATTGCTGAGGAAAGTTGTCATACTAAAAGTAAAAAATAAACACAGAACAAGAGTAGACCTTGTCAAGTTCTTAAAGCAAGCAAATAAACAAAAATCTCATTTAAAATATAATTTTGTATTGTATAATACAATTTATGGATTGCTTTTCTTTTCAGAATTATTCCAAAGAAATTCAGTGTGAGCTTAGTCCTGCATCCCTGACCATGGGCTGTAACCAAGAGAATTTATGTAAGTAAGAAATTCCTGGCTTATTTCTTACATGTTGCATCATGTTGTTCATCTTAAGTCAAAAACTACAAGATATTGGTTTTCTTATAAAAAGAAACCAGTTGGTTTTCCTTTCTTATTTGTATTGGTTTTCCTTTAAGAATCATGTTTGGTATTTTCTAGTGTCAGGAGGACGGAGCCAGGCTCTTCTCAGTAACATCCAATGATGGGACAAGGAGCAATGGGTGCAAGCTGGAACATAGGAGGTTCCACTTAAATGTTAGACAAAACTTTTTTACGGTGAGGGTGACAGAGCACAGGAACAGGCTGCCCAGGGAGGTTGTGGAGTCTCCTTCTCTGGAGACTTGCAAAATCCATCTGGATGTGTTCCTGTGTGACATGATTTAGGTGTTCCAGCTACTGCAGGGGGGTGGGACTAGATGATGATGATGATGTTTCAAGGTCCCTTCCAATCCCTAGCATTCCGTGACTCTGTGAAACTTCTTAGGTGTCAGTCAGTGCTTGTATGTATCAGTTTCAAGGTCTGTCAGTCAGCACGCAGTGAGTATGGAGAGAGTGAGTTCATATTTTTGTTCTTGATCCTGTTTGTTACAGGGGAACCTGTGGAATATAATGTGGAACAAAGTACAGAAACCAGTCAGGCTGAAGGTGAAATGCAGCTACTGCAGCAGATGGAGCAAATCAGAAACAAGAGAATTGGGCAGTCAAAACGAAGAGGTCTCTCAAAGTTCTGGAGAAGGTACTAGCACTGCAGCTATGATCAGATGTAGTTCTTACTGAAAGCTGCCTTGTAGTCCATTATTTGTTTTCCATTAGTTGAAGTTGAGAACCTCCTGTTCTCATATTTCCTGATTATTTTTTGTGGTTAAACTAAGGTCATCAAGGTAAAGAAACATCCATTCATGTGCTTTATTCTTGTAGAAAGGTCCACATTCCTAATAAATGCCCCTTTTCTTATCTGTCTGTGGGGAAAAAAAATCCACAGCGGATAGTTACTGACTTCAGTCACTGCCCTTGTATCACATAAAGAGTACCATCTACAAACAGATTCTTAAGACTTAAACATTCCCGCTTCTAACAGGGCCTTCCAGGCCCTGGGACTGAATGGAACTGAAGATCAGTCCCATTAAGGTAAGTATGACCTTTATTTGGTCACTTAGCAACTTTGGCCTTTGTAGTTTTTGACTCCAAGATACCCCATTTTAAATAGAAGGTAAAGTGACCGTGTCGAGTAATCACGCAAACAGTGACTGTGTGAAGTAACCATGCAAACGGTGGCTGAACATTGCTAAGAGTGCTCTAAAGCTGTAGAAGCTGCATGGCATAAGAGTGTTCTATTCACTACACACAAGTCCAACAGTCACAGTAAGAGGTAGGTAACAGATTTGGAATAAATAAAAATCCTTCTTAAGCATAATGTATGTCAGTCCCTTTAACTACTGAGACTAGACCATTAAGGCATGAGTTATTCTTCTATTCCTCTCTTTTTTTGTCTTCTTCCAAATGGTTTTGTACTTGGAGTTATCTTATTTTAGTTATTTACAATTCTCAGAAGTATTATAAGTGTAATGTGCTCTTTTGTTTTTGTTTCCCTAGCATATTAGTTTCTCCACTACATCATCTTTTTGGTGGAAAGAACTGAACTTGAAGTATTAATTGTTGTGGAAATGTGAACTTCTACTGTGAACGTCAGGTTGTATTGTTTCTTTTGCAATTCAGCTTTTCACATTGCTTGTCTCAGCTATTAAATGCTTTAAATCAAATTATCTGTTTACATTTTAAAATCAGTGTACTGAGGATGTTGGGTTAGAAGTAGTATGTCTTCACATCCTATAGTTTTTGGAAAAAGCTTTAATATTTTGTTCTTTAAGTGTGATAAGTGTTTTTACATTTTAAAATCATTATATGATCTTCTAATAAAACAAACATCATCTTGGAACTGTGTAATATTTTAATCATCCTTGCCCAATCAGAAAAAAAAAACATTTTCCAAGAGATAGCAAAATTAGATTTACACGACTCTAATGTAGCAGCAATTAAGGATTTGTTATATACCTATATAGCAAATAACAAAGTTAGATTATATGATTTTCATAGCACTTAATCAGTGTCTAAGTATTAGTCAATTAACACAATGATCTAAAGAAATTTGCTGCAATAGAAACAGTGATTTAGTGAAAGGTTTGTGAATGGCAAGTTTCACCCAAGACTTACTTGTAGGGTCCTGTGGGGGGTTTGAAGCCCAGTTGCATGCTTCCAAAATATCCCCTAGAATGAATTATTCACACTACTCCCTTGTCTGTGTTTGTCCACAGACAAGTTAGTTCTTTGAAGGGTTAGCTCTGACATGCACATCCTCTGAATGAGCTCTGTCTCTGCTAAGAAGCTGCCCAGTTCAAATAAAGATCAAATTGAAGCCTAGTGTGGCTCACACGCCTGTGCAAGACTTATACCAAGCACAGGAGCAGGATGTACCCACCACACAGGAAGCAGAGGTTGCTAGTATTAGATGAATTCCTGTACTGTGGTTCACATGGAAGAGGTTAAAAATGGTGGAAATACTCTGGAGGAGATTTTTACCACTACATTACAACTGGTGTAATTATTTATGACTAAACAATAGCCTAAGACATATCCTTACCTATATCACTATATTTGCTATAAAGAATTAGGCTATCTATATATATATAATTAGGCTATCTATATATAATTTTCTCTCAGGAATATACTGTTTGTTCCTTTAAACGTTAATGATGCCCAGCTTGTAAGTCTGGTCATGTTCAGTGTACTGAACTGTCACAATTATGGATTCCCAAATAACGTAATGCAGCCTCAGTCTAGTCACGTTCCATGAATTACCACAGCCACACTTGAAGAGTTCGGTCATGTTCAATGAGAACAATCACAGCTAGATTAATGAGTAGTGCAATTTATTAAAGCAACAGGTACACAGGATGAATAAATCCACTGTCTGCAAAGCATGTGCAAATACAAAACATAGGAGTAACACAGCCTGGCTACAAATGCGTTAAAAGATAAAATGTGACTCTATAATAGAGACTTGTAACTTTCCTGGGGAGGCACTTGGAATAACCAAGTGTTCAAGTATAACCCAAAGGCATCCCCGTGCAGAGGGGAGAGAGGCTCAGCCTGTCAACTGATCCCAGAAGTCAGAAGGTATCTTTATCTTCCCTTACACAATGGTATCTTCCCTAACAGCCCCTCTCCCTTAGGCTAATTTACACCATTTTTTATCTTTTAGGTGGAGCTTGAGTGACTCTTGTGTTATAGTTAGATTCTGGGGGGCTGAAGCTGGTTGGTTCAGCTTAGCAAGGAGCCAGGCTTTGCCTTTGCTTGGAGCAGGGTGTGAGGACTTCTCGGGAGACAACTCACTACCTTGATCTTGGGCTGGCCTGGCTCACACAGCTGTCTGGACTGGGAAAGTGATCTGAGCTGTGAGGGATGAAAGGTACAGCTCAGAAACCTGAGCCCATGTAGATCTCAAAGCAGCTTTTATCTACCCAGTTCAGTTACCAGCTGCTTTATTCAGTTAGCAGCAGCATGTCCAGCTCTGTCTGGTAGGAGACTGCTGACTGGTGACACATGTAAATGACATTTCCTGCCAGAGTAGTTAAAGCAATTTATTAAGTGGTGTTAGGCTATGCTGCTGGTATGTCTGCAGGTCCCTGCTGTAAGTAGCTCACTGGACAGGATCTCTCTGAGCAGCTATACTTCTGGAATACGGGCTGCACAGGGGTACCAGAACGTGACTGTTCCTGCCACAAAGAATTTATAACAATAGGCACAAATGTGAGTGTTTGAGGCACAGGAAATCAGTATTTGTCAGTACAATATGTCATGGTCTGCTAGGAACGCTGTCCTCCTATTCACCAAGCTTGTCTTGAAATCTTAGCAAGGGGTTACTTGCAAAGATGGTGTAGGAGAAACATGCAGTGGCTGTGCTCGTGGAAAGCTCCTCCCAGCAAGGGAAAGCATTGTTCTCCTGTGAGCTGCATATTTAAGACATATTTAAGGACTGGGTTGCATTAGGGCCTAACATCTGCCTTGCAGTCTGAACACAACACAAATCTGAAGCTTTTGGACTGTGCTGCTCCACAATTTGGTTGTCAGGTTCATAATTCAGGTACAAAGTAAAAGGTTGGACTAGATGATCTTAGAGGGTTTTTCCAACCGGAGTGATTCTATGATTCTATGAAATTCACCCACAGCGCTCAGTGCTTGGCTGCCTAGCCACGTTAGATAAAGATCAGCACTGTAACATCTTAATTTGTGGCTGTTATGAAACTATCTTCTCATGAAAGAGTGCCATGTGGCTTTTCAACTATTTGTAGACTAGTCCAGAGACACCCCATAACAAAAGAATAAGCTTAGCATTGTTTTTCAATTTCAGATGAAAGACCTATTAAAGCCAAAAGTCTATTCAAATATTTAGTTTATATACATGCATACATTGTAAACCACAATTACATTGTATACATGCATACATTGTAAACCAGTGAGCAACCTCATTCTGAGCAAAAATCGAAAGACTTGTGGATTTATTTATTTGCAGATAAACCACCTGGGGGGCTGAGCTGCCTTTTTTTTTTTTTTAAATGAGTATTATTTCAAGGCTGTGTTTTAATATAAATGCAAGGCAGGAGAGGCTGGGAAGATCCCTGGAGCATTCCCCTCCTGTAGGAGCTCCCTGTGTCAGGCCGGTTTCCCCCACACCAATCACGAAGCTGTTGCTGGGTCTCCGCTGCCTTCCCACTGGTGTGCACTGGGTGTCGTGTCAGCTGGGTAGGCAGCGTTTTTCTTTGGATGCACAGAAACGAAGGATTTTGTAAGCGGATTGAACCAAATGGCAGCCAGCGAGTCCTGCAAACAAAGCCTCATCTTGTCCTCAGCTCTGCCCTTGGATCGCCGGACGTTTTGACTATGACGGCACAGGAGCTGACGGAATTCAACACGGAGTATGCTCTGTAAGCAAGAACACAGTAATAAATAAACATTATTATTATTTCTGTTTGCGTTTGAGCCCTGAGCTGCAAACTCCATTACACCCCAGGTGTCAGGAGCACGTTTACAGGGGCAGTGAAGCACAGGGGGCCTAACACAGCCCTGCCCACAGGTTTATGTGGCAATTTTGTGTTCTCTTTGTACTGATCTTGGCCCAGGACAAGGAGGCTGTGCTGCCACTTCTCTCCCTTCATCAACATGATGAACATGGGAGACCTGACTTGACTTTTTTTGGACAGAATCGTTTCCTTTCCTCAGCAGCCCCCACGCAAGCCCTGTGAGAGAACAGCCCCTCACCGTGCCCACAGCAAGAAAACCGAGGGACATTTGAGAAGGGAGGCGTCTGCTGGGGCTGGATAAAATCCCTGAATAAAGCTCTGAGGCTGACAAGAAGCTTTATTTAAACCCCATTAGACGCCTCCAAAGGCAGGCACAGCACTCCCCAGCCCCGCTCCGTGGGCTCCAGGCCGGGTTTTGCCGCTCGGCGCCGCTCCCCGCCCAACCCCTCAGAGCCGCATCACCTCTCGAAGCGCTGATCCCTCCGCGGAGCCGGGCCTCGCTCCCCTGCGCCCGCCCGGCGGAACAGCGGCGAAATAGTGCGCGGCGGAGTGATTCGCGCCGCGAGGGGGCGGGGCGCAGGAGGCTATATAAGGGGCGGGAGCGGCGTCTGTGGCGCAGTTGGAACCGGCTGAAGGTGGGGTGCGGCGCGCTGTGCCCGCGGGTCCTGTGGTGAGTGCTGCGCGGCCGGGCACCGCCGCGCCTCAGCGGGTGAAGGGGAAGGAAAAAGGACGTATGTGGGGCTGGGTGCGGGCTGAGTAGCCGACGGAGGGCTGGTTGCGTGCTGAGGGGAAGGAGGCGCGGGTGGGCAGGCGAGAAGGGAGAGGCGGCGGGGAGCGGGTGGGCCGCGGGCCGGGGCGTTCCCTGCCCCCTTCGCCCCCCCTCAGCGCCAACCGTTGGCGGAGGAGGGAGGGGGAGGGGGAGGGGGCCCGGCCCGGGCAGCCGCCGGCAAAATGGCGGCCGCGCAGGCGCGACGGCCCCGCTCAAGATGGCGGAGGGCGGGCGCGCGGGGCTGGAGCGGGAGGGGGCGGGAGAAGCCAGGCCCCGCCCCTCTGCCGGGTGGGCGGGGCCTCCATGGTGACGTCACGGAGCGGGGCGCGTCCTTTCGGGTTCCAAGTGCCGCGGGTGGGGGGCGCTGGGCTGCGGCCCTGAGGGGCAGTGCCTAAAGCTCGGCCTCTTATCCCCCAGGCAAACATGCAGATCTTCGTCAAGACCCTGACAGGCAAGACCATCACCTTGGAGGTCGAGCCCAGCGACACCATTGAGAATGTCAAGGCCAAGATCCAGGACAAGGAGGGCATTCCTCCCGACCAGCAGAGGCTGATTTTCGCTGGCAAGCAGCTGGAAGATGGGCGCACCCTGTCCGACTACAACATCCAGAAAGAGTCTACCCTGCATCTCGTGCTGCGCCTGAGGGGTGGCATGCAGATCTTTGTCAAGACCTTGACAGGTAAGACCATCACCTTGGAAGTTGAACCCAGTGACACCATTGAGAATGTCAAGGCCAAGATCCAGGACAAAGAGGGCATTCCCCCGGACCAGCAGAGGCTGATCTTTGCTGGCAAACAGCTGGAAGACGGACGCACCCTGTCTGACTACAACATCCAGAAGGAGTCCACTCTGCACTTGGTGCTGCGCCTCAGGGGCGGCATGCAGATTTTTGTGAAGACCCTGACTGGCAAGACCATCACCTTGGAAGTTGAGCCCAGTGACACCATTGAGAATGTCAAGGCCAAGATCCAGGACAAGGAAGGTATTCCCCCAGATCAGCAGAGGCTGATCTTCGCTGGCAAGCAGCTTGAAGACGGGCGCACCCTGTCCGACTACAACATCCAGAAGGAATCCACTCTCCATCTCGTGCTGCGCCTCAGGGGCGGAATGCAGATCTTTGTCAAGACCTTGACAGGCAAGACCATCACCTTGGAGGTCGAGCCCAGTGACACCATTGAGAATGTCAAGGCCAAGATCCAGGACAAGGAGGGCATTCCCCCGGACCAGCAGAGGCTGATCTTTGCTGGCAAGCAGCTGGAAGATGGGCGCACCCTGTCTGACTACAACATCCAAAAAGAGTCAACCCTGCATCTCGTGCTGCGCCTGAGGGGTGGTAACTGAACTGGAGATGTGTTGCTTGCTTCCAAGTAAAAGTTTCTCTGCACATGTTCATTCCAATAAAGTTGTTGCATCCACAAAAACGGTGTCTCTTAAATGATGTGAGAAGTTATTTCAGTCGTTTAATTGCAGTTAGATAAGGTATAATTACATACTTTCTGAACACAAAGGTATTATAAAAAGCTGTTATGCAAGGCTTACATATGCTTGGCAAGTGTGACTAACACTTGTGACACTTCTCCTGAGGTTGCGTAAGTGTTCTGTAACTATCAGAGGAGTTCGGTGCCAGCAGCGGATGGTGTGCAGCTGGTAGCCTTGTGCAAACGTGTGTAATGGGACATGAAACTGCAAGTCCTTCCTGAGCTGGAAGGCTTTGATAACACCGCTTTTCCTGGCCGTGGGCTGGGTGCTGCCCGTGGTGTTTATGCACCGATGTCACAGCCATCAGGATGGGGATCTTCAAAGGCCAACAACAACCTCTGGCTGCTGCACGGTGAGCAGTGGTGAGAGGCAGCAGGGATCCTGCAGCCCTTGAACCAGGTGCTTGATGCTCTGTAAGCCTTTAATCAGTGACTGGGTTGACTTTTTTTTTACCCAATTCGAGCCTATTAAGCAGACTAACTTCGAGAAGTCCTAGCTTAAGGGCTACCTTGAGGAATGCACCTTGATCCCAGCTTTCCATGGAGTGGAAGTATTAGAGTATTAGTGAGCTGAAGTGTTAGGGAGTGGTTCTCACTCCAAGAATGCTGACGGAAGGGAAGTCTCTGCTATCCTACTTCACTGTGAGCCGCAGGTCACGAGGAGCTGACAGCGCTGCGCTCCTGATTGGGAAATGGGCAAAAGGGCCTGGAGTTAAATAAAAAATCGGAAGTTTTCCAGGTAACACTGGGCAGTGTTAGGTGCTGGTGGGTAGAAGAAGGGGTGCTAGGGTTTGGTGTAGTGGGTTCAGCTGAGCACAGACCGCAGTGGGACGTGAAATAACCTTAGAGTATGGAGATCAGGAGGGTGGGATTTCGGGAAGGAAAGCAAGATTTGTCCTGGGTGATGTTGAAGGAGTGGGGGTAGAAATATTTCTGGCACTTTGTGGTCTGTGAGGAACGAGCTTGAATGATCAAGTTTCGTGCTAAACTGGAGAAAGCCTTGGGACCAACTCTCATGCCAGGTAAGCGTGCCCTGCCACCAGCGATGTCCCGGGTGTCCCTGCTGAGCCCTGGGCTCTGCCCTCGCGTGTCCCCAGCTCCAAAGGGTGATTCGCACCCGTGGGGTGGGAGCTTCGCCCCGTGCAGCCGCAGGGATGGACTGAGCTGACAGCCCCGAGCGGCTGCAAAGACACCTCGAGGTGCTCTGCTGTCTCTGCCCTCTTGAGTAACTTGAACTTTAATTATTAGCAATTAAAAATCCAGCAGCCCTTCAGCGGAGCTTTGGGTGGTCTGTAATGGGGCTCCTTAACTGCAGGTCGCTGATTTGGGGGTGGGTGTATCGGTGTGAGTGAGGAGAGCTAATTAATCTGTAAAAAAATCAGGTGCTGCAGCCCGGTTATAGGTTTTCCGAGGTCCCCAAGGGGGGGACCCTGCTTAGGTCCCCTTCACAGGTCGGCGAAGCTTTTCCCTGCAAATCCGACAATTAAAATAATAATAACAATAATAATACATCTGGAAGAAGAATTGATTTGAACAGTCTTTTCCTGTTCTGAACAGACAAAGACTGGCACAAAGCATGGCCAAAACGGCACGGCTCCACCCGAGCAGTGCAGCGCTCTGATTTATTTTCACCGCAAATAAGTGGGAAAAAATTAAATAAATAAATAAATAAATAAATAATAAAAATAAACAATAACAACAAACCCCTCGGAAGCCGTACAGCCCCCGACCATCCCCGGGGGGGCTGCGGCCGGTGGGGGCGGTCCGGCCCCGGTCCTTCCCCCCCCCCCTCCCCCCGGTCTCCGCCCCGCTCCCCGCCCCGCTCCCCGCCCCGCTGCCGCCGCCGGGCCCCGGCCATAAAGCGGCGGCTTCGGGCCCCGGCCCCGCTCCTTGCCCCGTTCCTCCCAGCCATGGCCGTGGCCCGGCGTAGGGCGGCGGTGGGGCTGGGGCTGGCCGGGGGGGCCTGCCTGCTGCTGGGGGTCTGCCTGCTGCTGGCCGGGCCAGCCATCGTCAAGGAGCAGGTGGTCAAGGTCAGCGGGGCGGGGATGGGGGCAGCACCCCCGAATTAGTGGGGTTGGGGCTTTTACAGCGCCCGCATCTTTTTGTGGGGTGCTGGGGATGGGGGGAGTGGGGCTTTGAAGGGGATTTGGTGTTGCTCGCTCTCGCAGCTTGGTGTGGTGTTGGGGTTTTGTAGGTGGTTGCAGAGAGTGGGATGGGGCTGAGAGGGGGCTTGACCCCATTAGTAAGGGGTTTGTGCGCCGAAGGGTGCTGGTGCTGGGTGCTCCTTTTGTACCTACACATGTGGGCTTGCTCTGGCAGCGTGCTTTTCCAGCTGGTGGTGGCATGGGTAGCATGCTGGGGTGCTCTGCAAAACCCCTTTGTGGGGTGTTCTCCGAGGCTGCGAGGTTGGAGTTGGCCCCATGAAGAGCTGCGTGACCCACAGGAGAGGTCCTGCAGCCCCCTGTGTCCCCGTGGTTGTGGGGCTGTGCCCTGAGGTGCTGCTGTGCTCAGGAACCACTGCGCAGAGCCCCGGGGAGCAGCGAGGCTGTCCTGGCGGGCAGCACACCAGTTAGTCCCAGTAGCGAGCCGGCGGGAACGGGGCTGCTCCCTCCCCGTGCTCCCCCCAGCATCGCTCCCGGCTCGGCTCTGCCCAGCGTTGGGTCCCTTTGGAGCCCGTGCCTGGCCCGGGGCAGCTGCTGGGCTCTGCTCAGAGGCAGCCCTGCAGCTACAGGATCCTTGCTGCCCATCCCAGTGCCTGGGCTTGTCCCCAACCAACTTTTTTTCCCCCTTGCCCAGCTGCCTGGCCATTTCTCCAGGCTCGCACCTACCCAAGGCAGCCCCTAGCCGTGTGCCCCTGGCAGAGGAGGCAAACAGCGAGTGGCTGGAGCTACCTGTGCCAAAAAGTCTTTGCTGGCTTCTATTTAAATGTACCCTCCAAAAGCGCTGCTGGCTGGGCAAAGCCAACCAGGGCTTTGATTCAAGCAGTTTGGGTCAGTCTTTGTCCGATTTCATGGCCATCTGGAGCTGGTGCCTGTAAACAGAAGGCTGAAGGCACCTCCAGGACAGGGGTGATGTGCTCAGTGCAGAAAACTTCCTTTCCTTTAGATAATCTTGATTCCTTCTACCCAATTATCAGGTCCCTGATACATTGCAATGAGAACAGAAAAAGGGGAAAAGACCAACCTTTATTCCTCCTCAGGTCTCCCTTTGTCTCAGCTACTTGGGCTCCGCATCTTCAGCATGACCCAAAGCAACCCAAATTTGTACACGGCTTAAAGTAAAATGGCAAAACTGACTCCTGGGTTGGTGTTCAGGGTGGTGGGTGAGAGGAAGAGCGGGGCCTCGAGGGCAGGCGGGTGGAGGCTGCTTCGCCAGCCCTGCATCGCTGAGCCCTGCACGGGGGGTGGGGATGGTGCATCCTGGTGGAAAACCACCTAGCGCAACGAGGCAGTAGCTTTGAAGGCATTTTTGGTTACGGAGTGTAGAGGAACTGCTGGGGGTGCCTATAGAGCTGGCCCTGCAAAACCTTGGAGCACCGTGGACCTACCTGAGATATGAACCCAGGCAAGAGCCCTCGTTGTCTTTGGCAGGTGTTGGCAGGTTCCTTCTCCACGTGGGATCTCCCGTGCTTTCCCACCTGAAAGCTGGGACCAGACATGCAGCGCTGTCTTTGGATGAGATGAGTGGTAACCCTTCTCTTTCAGTTCCTCAGGAACACGGAGCAGCATGGTCAGGAGATGTCAGATTTCTCAGCGACACTTTGTAACCCATCGAAGTGGAAAAAATAATCTATTTTTATTGCAGACATATGACCGTTTTCGTGTTGACTTACAAGCAGCTTGACTCCACGGCCACCCTCTTGGGTCAATCTGGCTTAGCGGCACCCGTGAAGGAGCTGGAGCTGCTGGTTTGGATGGGACAGGGCTGAGAAAGGCAGCAGGGAGTTGGGATGCTGCTCCATCTGCCTGTGTGCAGGTTATATAAATGCATGCTTATGCAACGAGGAGTCTGGGGAGCACCAAACAGCACAAACAAGTAAAAGAAAGCAGATGTTGTTCAAGTTCTACTGGATGAGCAGGTGTAGGGGTTATAAAACAGCCTAAATACAATCTGGGCTGCTCTTGTCCTGAAATTCCTCCTTTGTTATGAAGTCTGTGAGGCCGGCAGGGCTGAGGTTGATGTGGAGGTGGGAAGGGTTTGCTGGGGGATGGATGCAAAGTCCTGCTGCTTGCATGTGGCACAGCCTGGCCATGGGGCACCGAAGGGAAGACCTGGGGAAGTTCCTGGCAGCTTACTTCTCATCCTTGCCATAGCATCAAACATTCAGGGCCCAACCAAGCTGCTGTGGGGCTGAGCTGCAGCTGGATAATGCTCACACAATGTCACCAATTAGTGGATCCGACCCGCTTCCATGAGCCAGTTGGGTTCCTGAACTGTAGCAAGGGCTTGTACTCGCAGGGGTAGCAAAGCTAATGGTGGAATGGAACAAAAAATAGGTAATTAAGAGAGATCAAGCTGTGGGTGTGCCAGTCCATAAAGCAGCCCCCAGGAGGCAGGGAGGGAGCGGAGACACAAGTGGCCAGGTGCCAGCACCTGGAGGTGCTGGGGAGGAGGTGGGGGTTTGAGTTTCTGCAGGCATTTCCCAGAAAATGGGACGGCGATATGGAAAACACAATCTTGGATTGCCTTTGACCTGCTTTATGACAAATATGAGTCACCACAGGATGGCAAGTGAGGAGAAGCAAAGGCAACTTGGACATGGTTTGGCTGCCATCACTGTTCTCTTTCTCTGTTTTTTGGGCATTTAATGGGTGCCTTCCCCACTGGTACCCAAAGAGTTGTGTTGTCCAAGGACTGGTCATCTCTCCCAGCCCTTGCCTGGTTCTGGCTGTGTGGAGCTGCCAAACCTGGAGAGTGAATGGAAGCCTTAGGAGCAGGGTTTTTGTTCATGTCAGGCAAGTCAAACCTGCAGAGCTGTGAAGAATTCAGCGCCGGCTTGTCTAGCACGGTGAAAGCCTCTAGCACATCGAAACGGCTTTGAAACCCTGTGGGTAGGTGTCTGGCAGGCTGAGCCTGAATATATAAGCCTACAGACATCCTGTGGCATGAATGTGGTGCTTCTGCATACATAATTTCCCATTTTAGAACTGGCTCTGTCTGCAAAACACGCTGCGTCCTCTAGAGATCCCCTGCCAAAACTGCCTCCTTCGGCTGGGCCTGATGCTGGAGGCAAGGGAGGCTGTGCTCAGCTGGGGCCACCAAGCCTCTTTCTGTTTTTTCTGCAGAACGTGAGGATCGACCCCAGCAGCATCTCCTTCGGCATGTGGAAAGACATTCCGGTTCCCTTCTACCTGTCGGTGCACCTCTTCGAAGTGCTGAACCCCACTGAGGTCCTCGACGGAGCGAAGCCGATCCTGAGGCAGCGTGGGCCGTACGTTTACAGGTCAGGTACTGCTTGTGGGCCGTCAGCGTGGCTGGGCTGCTGCCTGCCAGGCTTCTGGCTGCTTCCTTCAGGAGGGGAGCACTGCGCTATCATATCTGACAGGAGCCTGGTGGCACAGGATTTTAAAGCAACCCAAATGTGAAACAATTGCTCTGATCGTGCTAAAACCACGTGTGGGACTCCTGGCCAACAGGGTGGTGAGGTTGGTTGGTGCTTTAGTGTGAGATTGTGGAGCTTGGTCCTGTGCTGGGACCTGGTTTTGGGCAACCAGACCTGGGCTGACAGGGTCCCAACAGAGGTGTGAGGTCTGTTGGTATGGTGGTGGGCAAATCCCAGCTTCAGAGCAGGCTTCATTTTTATTCATTTTTACCATTTATGAGTAAAAATGGACTGGACTGGACTCACCTCAATATGAAACTTCAGACTTCATGGATTGATCTAAGACTTCCCATCTAACATGATGAGATGCTGAATCTGCCTAAAATGAATAATCTGGTCACGAGAACCAGTGGGGAGCACTAAGACTTGGTTGGGTCCACCTAGAGCAGGACTTGACCATTTGCCATGTCTAAAGATAGTTGGAGATCTGGGATAGCTGGCCCCAGAGGTCTCTGTGGACGTGGTATCTGAAGTAATGGGAGATGTTGAAATGAGCACGTGAGCTGACCCATAAATGACAATATTCAAGGTGCCGGTGCCTGCACATGTAGGCAAAGTCAGGTCAGCAGCCTAAGCAAGCTCATGCGGGCAGATTACTGGTCTAATCCAAAGCTGTTTGAGTAGTGCTGGGGGGAAGCCTGGCAGTATGTATATGCCCTCGTTTCCCCTCGGCTTGCGGGGTCAAACTGTAAGACCATGTGGATTCTGTATGTCGTGATCACGTCAGTCGCTTGGCTTGGGGGAAAGGCTGCACTTACACTGAATAAGAATAAACAAAAGGGGCAAAGCTTATTAATGTCCTGCTGAGCAAGATTAGTGCCCTTCCCTATCATGGACCATAAAACAGAGGCTCCACAGTAAAGGACTTTGTTTCTGCGGGTGGGTTCAGCAGCAGCTCCCCAGGGAGCTGTAACCGGCTTGTGATGCTGGGGACAGCCTCGTGCCACGGCGGAGCTGCGAGGCTGGGCTGTCCCCACAGCGTGCAGCAAAGGGTGTGCTGAACATGGGGTGCCCAGACCCTGGAACCACTCGGGAGCTCCCTGTCAGGTCTGTGTGGGCTTGACAGTGGGGCTTGTGCCATCTTGTTTGGTCCCCTCCTGCTGTGCAGGTTGCATCGGTGCGTGGGGAGGTGCGGATCTGCTTATCTGGGCATCTCGCTGGTAGGGCCGGGCTTTTCAACAGCTGTAGGAGAAGTGATAGAGGGGACTTACTCCTCCGCCAGGAACAAATGCTTTTGTCTCCTGCTTCTCAGCAGCTGGGTTTTGAGCTGGCAGGATACACGTGGTGGCTGTGGGCTGCTGCCGAATCCCATCCGTCGGGGACGCCTTATCAAAGCGCGCTGCTCACAGGCTGCGGTGCTGCCAGACACCTGGACCATGGCCTGGGTGTGCGACTGGCACCTGGCACACTGCCTCTACCACTGCCCTGAGGCTTCTTGAAGCTTGGGTTTGGTCTCCTTCCTCCGCTCAGGAACAAGGCTGGGCCTGTGCAGCCCATCCTTGCTCCACGGGCAATGCAGCGGCACTGCGCGGGGGAAGGTTCCCATGGTCCCTCCTGTCTTGTTGCAGAGAGTTCAGGTACAAAACAAACATCACATTCCATGACAATGACACCGTCTCCTACCTGGAATATCGGAAGCTCTTCTTCAGGCCGGACTTGTCCAATGGCACCGAGGACGAGTACATTGTCATGCCAAACATCCTGATGTTGGTAAGGATTTGCTCCCCGGAGAAATACTGGCTTCCGAGCTCGCCGGGAGGGTGGTAATGCTCAAGGCTAACCTGAAGCTTACTTTCTTGTAGGGATTGAGTCTGGTGAAGCCGTGGGGTGGTCAAGTTTACAGAATGCAGTTTTCTGGGTGTTGGTGGTTGTGTTGGGTTGTTAGCTTCCAAAATCAGAATGTGTAGAGGGGCTGGCAAAGCAGCTGGGCTCGTGACTACAACTTAGCAGAGCATCATCTGGGGAAATGAAACCTCAGTGGCTGTTGCCACGAACTGTTTCCTGTCCAAATGTGGGATAAATGGTGAGCCTCAGTCTGTCCAAAGGATTTCTGCAAAACTGAAGAGCGCTGCAGCAGAGGGAGGTTGCTGAGCACTGAAGAGGCATTGGTTTCTTTTTGGTAATACACGGCTTTTGTCTCAGAGACTGATTTCTTTCCCAGGGAGCATCTGTCATGATGGAAAACCTGCCAAACTTTGTGAAGCTTTTGCTGAGCGGGGCCCTGGCTGGCCTGAAACAGGAGGCCTTTATGAACCGGACGGTGGGGGACATCCTGTGGGGTTACGACGACCCTCTTTTAGACACAATAAATATGATTGTTCCTGGCCTGATCCCGTTCAAGGGGAAATTTGGCATGTTTGTAGGGGTAAGTAAATCCTTGCTTGGGAAGGCTAAAATCACAGGAATACTGTTCTTGCTGTTGAGAGTCCAGGCTGTCCCCTTCACAAACTGCTTAGAGCAGCAATGTGTGATTGATGGTTGTTGTGTAAGGCTGCCTTAATTTTCCCCTCAGGCAGAAACGTGTGTGTGTTGGAAGCTGTCTCTAGCAACCAAAATAAAACTTCAATAGCTTATAATGCATGAAACACACCTAAAGCTAATGAGGCATGCAAAGGTGTTAACGTATTGCAGTATTGCCACATATAATGGATTAGGATTTAGTTTCTTCTCTCTGCAGTTTAACAACTCCAATACCGGATTGTTCACTGTGTACACGGGCATGAAGAACATCAGTCGAGTTCACATGGTGGATTCATGGAACGGGTTGAAGAAGGTAAGTGTCAGCCAGCAAACCTCTAACAGGGGGACAGTGCCTGATTCCTACGGAAGGAATGGCAGAGGTGAAAGCCAGCTCTCCACCAAGCTTCCAGTACTGAGCTCCTCTCTCTGCATCCACCCCGCAGGTGAACTACTGGCGGAGCACCGGGTGCAACATGATCAACGGGACCGCAGGGGAGATGTGGCCGCCGTTCATGTCCCCGACGTCGCTGGAGTTTTACAGCCCTGATGCCTGCAGGTGAGGCTGCAGCAAGGCACGCTGTCCCCGTGCAGGTGGCAGGACATGCAGTGTGCATGCAGAGTACCTGTGCAGCGAGGCGGAGTGCTGAGGACTAGTTTCTGTAGGTAAAGGTTCAGCTGCAGATCGGTGTTGTAGTGTCTGAGCTTTGCAAGCAGTATAGTTGTCTAGCTTCATCTTGATAATATTTCTAAATACCTTTTAGATCACTGGGGAAGCTTAAATGTTGGACGAGCAGAATATAACCTGGCTAGATAAGATGTGGGAAGAGGGAGGGAGAAATAAAGGTTGTCATAAGGAAATGCTGCATTAGCCATCTGACCACAGAGCTATTGCAGCAGGCTAAGTGCTTGCTGAAGCAGTGCTGGGGGCTGTGCCGCTGCTTCCAGGCTGCTTCATTTTTTTGTGAATGCAATACTTCATGGTCAGCTGTGCGCATCTGTATGACACCCTGAGGTAGCTGATTGTACAGAGATTAAATACCCCCAGAGTCTGCCTTGTTCCTGGGGAAACTCCATGAGGCTGGAAGAAGGGGAAGTGAGGCAGCCAGCCTGGCACAAAGCCCTGTCCTCAGCTTGGGGAAGATAATGTTAATTTAGGCTTTGCAGTTGCTGCAAAACAAGCAAAGTGCTCGTGCTGAATAGAGAACAATGACCTCTTCAGCGAACAAGCAAAGTCAGCTGAGCCAAGCATTAGTGCAGGAATTCCTCTACACAAGAGGCATCAGCAAATACCAAAATGACCCAGAGCCAAGGACTTGCTGCAGGGAAGCTTACTAGTAATCAAAGTTTAAATACATATATATGTTCTTGAAGAACTACAGAAGCCTTTTAGGGAACGAAGTATGTTTCCTGGCAAGGCATAAAATGAAGTGGCAAGCTTAGTTTCTCGTGAGCCCAGGAGATTGCTGCAGGACAGCGCTGTGGGGGTGGGTCCTGCGGAGGAAGTAGATCTGTCTCTTCACAAGGCAGAGCAGTCTGTTCACCCCAGATTTGGCACAGCCAAAACTGTCTTGAACTGCTGAATGTGCCTTGAATTCCCCTCCTCAGTCCTGGTGTCAGAAGGCAGCTATGGCAGTAAGCTGTCCCCTTGGCCTGCCTGGGATGTCTGCATCCACACGGGTCTTGCTTCAGCATGAGGGAAGCAAACTTCCCTCCTGGAAACTTGCTTCTATCCTGGACTTCTGGTATAGATGATGCAGTGTCAAATCTCTGGTCTGTTGTACCCCAAATAAAATCTTGCTGTGTAATGTAGTTCAAAAGGTAAAATTTTCCACTATGGAAAACGGATGGCCTATATGCTGCAGCTGTGCTGCAAAACAGATTTGGTCAGTGTCCGTCCCCTGCCACAGAGCACTTCTATCTCAGAGCCAGTGCTTGCTCAAAGAAGGTATTATCTCTGGCAGAGCAGCCGTGAGGATTAGTACATGCCCTTAAACAAATCGTATCTGGATTCTGCAAACAGATTTATAAGCTTGTGTGTTTCTCTTCATAACTAGTCCCGACCAGCCCTTTATTTGTGCTTAAAACATGGAAAGCAAATGGCTTAGATACACATTCCTGATCCAAAGCTCTGTTCTGGATGTTTATCTTGATCTCAAAGTCTAAGTTACATTGCAACTGCATCTTATCCAGCGAAGATAAGAGCCCAGTTCTGGGCTGGGAACCTGTTGGCTAACCCTGATCCTTCTCCACTGAAACTCTTCCAGATCCATGACACTGGTGTATGAGCAGTCGGGGGAGTTTAAGGGTGTGCCCACCTATCGCTTCGTGGCCCCGAAAACACTCTTTGCCAATGGCACGGACTATCCCCCCAACGAAGGCTTCTGCCCCTGCAGGCAGTCCGGCATCCAGAACGTCAGCACCTGTAGGCTGAGTGAGTGCTCTCCTGTGGTTCCTCCTTGCTGTGCTAATATTAAATCCTAGAGATATGTGAGGCAAGCTTACTTGTCTAAAAATTAGCTCTACTACCTTCTGGTGTGCTAAAAGGGTACCTCTGGGGTCTGTGTGCCCTTCTCTGAGAGAGGGAGAGGGGGGGAAACCCAAACTTTTGGAAACCCAAACAAGCGGCCTTGTTTGTGGGAAGGGCTGAGAGCCGGACGGGCCCAACACCTCCCCCAGGCTGGGAGCAGGCAGGCCACGTAACTGCCAAACTAAATTTTAACTTTGGACAGCGAGTATAGGTCACGCAGGAGTGAGAATTCAGGCTTCAGTGCCCTAACACATGTCTGTGGATGGTGAATTGCTGCTGTGTGGAGTGGTGTACGGGGGAGAAGGAGGCTTAGACACGGGCTCTTAACCTTCCCAGTGGAATAAGCTGCCAGGAGAGGAAGAAGAAGGAGGGTATAAAAGCCTGCTCAAATATTTCAAGGGCTTAAAAATGTCAACACGAAATTCTCAGGCAGGATTGGATGGGCTTAAGGTGTCCTTGTTCTCGCCCAGATGCACCGATGTTCATCTCCCATCCTCACTTCTACAACGCCGACCCAAGCCTGGTGAACGCCGTCGAAGGCCTGAACCCCAGCAAGGAGCACCACGCGCTCTTCCTCGACGTGCACCCGGTGGGGGGCCTGGCTCTGGTCTCGTACCCTCAGAGGGGTCTCTCCTTGCACTGGGGCTGGGTCTGGGCCGAGCAGTGGGGTGGGGGAGCCTGCCACTGCGGCCTGGTGGCCTTGCTCTGCTCTTGTGGCGCTGACTTGAGCAGGTTCCAGAGTGCAAAGTGGCGAGGACATGTGCAGATAAAAACGTTAAAGCCATAAACTAATTGAATAACTGGCCAGCCTTCTAGAGAATTGCAGGACTAATTATAAGCATAATTGTTTTGATAAGCGCAGTCAGCTTCTTTCCACTGACTCAGGAAGGCCCACAACACCAGGAGGTGTATCGAGCAGCAGCAGCCAGTTACACCCCAAATCTATAAACATGCCGTGCTGTGAGAGCTGACTGGCAAAGTCTGAAGACCACTTTGCAGTTGAAGCTGTTGTCACCATTTTGGGGCTGTGTTTTTCCACCATCTCAACTTGCCTATCTGGCTGGCTGCTTCTGTACTGCGCTGCCTCTTGCATATCTAAATGTAAGGGTGAAGTCACCACCCCAGTGGTGATGTTTTGAGGTGTCTTGAGTCATCTTTGTCCCAGCTGCTGATGGGGAGGAGACTTTGGGCTCTTCCACCCACGGCCCACTCTGCATGTGGCCATGGGTGGGACGTTTCCAAACATTCATTAATAGCTCAAGCAAGAAACCAATCTCCCTCTTGAGGCAAGGCAAGGTAAGCTTCCTACCTAGGCATTGGGTTCTCTGCTTTTCTTATCACAGTTACGGAAATCTAATTAAGTTTATTACAGTATCAAACCTCTTCTGATAGCAGTACAATTAAAGTCTTATCTAGCTGCAGTCTGCTTTGAACAAGCAGGGACAATCCAATGAAAACTCTCTGCCCTTAATGTGTTGCAAAACTGCAACATCATGAGAAACCAGTGCCAAAAGACCCAACTTTGAAGTGTGGTGTTTTTGTGGTCTTTGTGTTATTGGACAGTGATAGCTGTTGATATATAGTCCTAGTTATGAGAAACATTCAGTGTCCTTTGTGTGCATGAATCTTGGCATCGGTGTATTCTCATTCTCAAACCTAGTGCAGGAAGGATGAGCAATGGAAGAGGCTCATCAGACTTCGAAAAAATGAAGTTTCTGTTAAAACACTCTGCCTAGGGAATCACTTGCAGGTTGCATATGCTACTTGGTAACTTGAACTTGCTTAGGTTTGGTCCTACAAGCCTTGTGTCACATAAAGCACCTCCCTGCGTTTGTGCTGTCTGCTTGTTGAACTGTGTGATGCCTTCTGCAGCAGTCCTTCCTGTTTAGCTTAGCTTTTTGCCTTTTGATCACCCTGAGGGAACTGATTCCTTCTGGATGCTGCTGCATGCAGCTCACTGACTGGCTAGTAAGCCTTCAAGTGCAGGGGACAGACCCTAAAATGCCATGGGGACATGGCATGCCCCCCATATGGGCGGTCACCCCCAGGTCCTGGGGAGCAGTACCTGGTTTACCAGTACTGATGTGCTGGTGGAAACCCCAGCCTTGCTCCTGGCCCCATGTGCAGCAGCTGCAGTGGATCTCTGGGTGGTCTAATTCATTGCTTTGGAAGGCGGCACCCAGAGCAGCTGTGATGGAAAGCAAAGGGCTGCTTTTCTGCAAAGCTCTCGTGATAAATGTGGGCTGTACTGACAAACTGTTTTTCCTCTCCTGTGCAGATGACGGGCATCCCCATGAATTGCTCCATCAAGCTCCAGCTGAATCAGTACTTGAAGCAGGTGTCTGGTATAATGTAAGTGATCATCTTTTACAAATAGCCATCTCTCCCTCAAGCAGGGAGTGCTGCTGGCTCTGGGGTCACTGCAGAGCTTACTCTCCTCAAAGACGAGGCAGCTTTGACATTACTAGTTGTCACCATTGCAGAGGCCAGCTGGCTGATGTGGTGAAATGTCAGCTGCTCCAATGACCTCGAACTGCCATCCTCTAGCAGTGCTGTGTGTGCCTGCCTGTTTGCTCAGCCCCAGCAGTGTTTTGTGCACCCGACTGGGCAGCTGATGAAATATCGATGCTCTGAATGCACTGCTCCTGGTGAGGCACAGTGGCAGTTTGCCTGCATTGTGCTGCTGATCAGGAGTTACCCCGAAACAGGGAGACCAAACACACTCAGTTCATGGATCTGACAGTTGAATACTTCTTTTCCAAAAAGAGGCGTTCACCTCTGTTGTGGAGATTGTCTGCTGCTATATGCAACAGAGGCAACCTTGATGCTGTGAGCTTGGCTGTATCACCCTGTAGTACCATGCAGGTGACTGAGATATCTTGAAGCTGTGTAAAGTTCATTCCCGTTCACTGAGTTAACGTACTTGGAGCCCAGATCTGGCGTGGCACTTATTGCTGCTGTTGGGCTGTTAAGCTCACAAGGAAATGTCACCTCTGCTCTTGCATGGAAGTCCCTAGATGGACCTGATCCCTGGAGGGGAGGGAGCTCCCTGCAGCAGCAGGAATTGCTGCATCCTTGCACCAGTAACCTGACCACTGCTGGTCTGCCAGGCCCTTCTCTTTAGGAAGGATTACAGTAGCTGTGGCCTAATCAGCTGAGAATATCAACGCATATTTCTTTTTCCCATTCCTACAGTCAAACAGGGAAAATTACGCCAGTGGTGCTGCCGCTGCTGTGGTTCGCAGAGGTGAGCTGCCTTCCTTGACCTGTTTCTGAAGATTGTCCCGTGTAGGAAGGGGGAAACTGCATTGCTGGGGAAACTCCACTTTGATTAAAGCTTTAAGCCAGACAGACTAATTAAGCAGCCAACAGCAGGCTTTGCAATACTTGGCTGCGTGGTTAATCCCTCTGAGCTGAACAAACCCTGCACTATACTGGGTGAACTTCTGGCTCTGCCCTAGATGTGGGGTTAAATAGAGCCCAGAGCAGTGCTGGCAGCATCTGCATGCTAACGTGGGCCAGTGAGTGTGGTCCTACAGCTGAGTGCATGTCCAGCTATTTGGTAGCAGCTTCTGGCCTTAGTAAGTCTTTCCCAAATTTCCTAATCCGTGGTGGGAGAGGAATTGCACAGATGGTGTGTCTCGGCTCTGGATGAAAGCGAAATGCCTATAACAACTTTGCTTTCTTGGGCAGAGTGGCAACATTGAAGGCTCAGTCCTAAACCAGTTTTACACCAACCTGGTGCTGATCCCATCCATCCTAGACTACCTGCAGTACATCTTCCTTGGGCTCAGCGTCCCGCTCATCATCTCAGCTGCTGTACTCACGATGATGAGTCAGGTAAGACGTTGCAGATATCAAATGGGAAATGCTGTTAGCCAAATCAGATTTAATCGGATGATGTAGATTGGGCTGACAATCTAACAATCCTGATGAAACATTGGCTGATGCCGTGAATCTGTTACAACCTAAAGCAGAACCCTGTCCTAATGGTGCCAGTACATAACAGCAGGACTTCCTCAGCTATCAAGAAATTGGGCTGCAAGTCAATAATATAAAAGCATTTCTGGCCATCTCAGCACACAGCACTCACTGACGTGGGCTCCCATAGGAGGAAACATTTCTCAGCTCATCCCGCTAATGAAAGAATAAGCCTAGCTCTTCAATCTGGTTTCCATGTAAAGCAGCAAGTCTGTGCTATCACCCAAACACGTATGTCTCTGCAGGGTCCCAACCATTTTCTCATCTAATCAGAGCCTTCTCGAGGGGATGGCTACTTATGTTCAATTCATTCACAAATGCAATGTAGTAGCTGTGTTCTTACAGAAAGGGCACAGATACCATGGCTGCTTCTCAACCCAGACCAGACTCTGTCTTTCCCTGAAACTCACTTGTTTCTCTACAAGTGAAACTGCCCAAAATAGCTGCGGAAGTTAGACCCCCCAATCCTTTGTGGGTCTGGGCTAACCGAGAAGCCAAGACCTCTGAAGGCTGCAAGGAGCTGGCAGCTCGGTGGGAGCTGCCCCACGAGGGGAGAGCAGTGTGGGGGCCTGGCTGGCACATGAGCCTGATCCATCTAGGCATAAGGCTGTGGGGACAGAATATGAAACAGCTCAAATGCTTGATGGTGATCTGTGTCTCCAGCTGCAAAACACTCATCTGATAAGAGCTAAAGCTTTTAGAGAGCTTAGTGCTGAAGTAGAGATCTAGCTCTCTACCCTAACCTATATCAAAGCAGGCTTATTTAGCTTGGCATTACAGTCAAATGGCTTGAGCTGGCTCTAAAGCTGCAGATAAGAAGAGGCTACATGCCGGGATGAAAAGGCAATGATTAGAATGAGTGGGCTGAGGTGAGAGCATGTGCGAGAGGCTGCTTTTGCTCAACCTGTAACTGCCCTCACTGAAATGCTAATACAAGCCCATTTTAAATAGCTCTAGGGTTCTCCAAGTATCACGTAATTGGATTTTTACCAAGCCTACAACTGCTTAATTGACTTAAACACATGATTCCAAATCCCCTTGTTCTTCCATGGGCTCCCCTGTGGTGTGAGAGCGATGCTAGTGGCTAGGGCTCAGCACTAAACCCTTATTGTGCTCTGAAATGCTCCGGCTTTGAGTGTGCCGAACCTTGAGGCTCCAGCAAATACAAGTGGGCTCAGCGTAGTGCCAGCGTATCTGAAAAAAGTCAGTATGTGCTGGGCACATACTGTTTCTGAGACCCGCTGCAGCCCTGGGCTGGCATTTCCTCGCCCTGCCTTGTGCAAGTTTTACTTCCTGGTATCAAAGAGCTCTAACTGTGCCAGCTGGGGTCAGGAAGAAAAGCTGGCTTTAAAGTTCACTCAGAAGCAGCTGCCCGGTCTGTTTGAAATGTCCCAAACCCAGGTATAAGACAAGTGTATTTGGGTGCTCAGCCAAAGCATCGTGAAGTGCTGGAACTAAAAATAAACTGCAGGAAGTGTCTGACTACCTGAAAAGTAAATAAAAAGCCTTAATGACTTTATAAATCTCTAAGGAAGCTATGCAACAGCACATTAAAGTCTCAGCCTAATGAATAGATAAGAGCTTGTAAACTGGACGACAGCAATTTGCAACCAAGGTACGTTCCTCTGATTGAAGTGTTGCTGATCTAGTGATGATTGCTTAATCGTGCACAGTCCTCCCTCTTGGGGCAAGAGCTGATATCGGAGGGGACACTGAAGAGGGGCATTGTCCACACCTTCACGTGTCTGCCAGTGGGAAGGTCCTGCTTAATCCAGTTCCTTCCTAGAGCTTCTTGCACGTCTCTGACTTCCAGAGGGAGCAGTGTGCTGTAAAACCAGTCCAGATGAAGTACTGTGAGACACTTAAATCTTAGTCTAGTTTACAGTGGAGCCACTTTTAAAACGCATCTGTTGGACCTGCGCTTCCAGAAGTGTGCATATTTGTTGTGCAGGCATAAAATGTGCCCAAATGCAGCATTGTAGCTCTCCTCTGCTGACATGACCTACAGCCTGTGTAATGACACACTTAAAAGGCAAACAGAGCGTTTTAAAACTGGCTTGATGCTGTCCAAAATCTTAAATAGGGCTTAGTTTAACCTAGATTTTGAAATCTTCATTAATAACTAGATCATAGTTAAACACTGATTGAAACTTCTTTTAAAATCTCCTCCTGAAATTGGACCCTCCATGGATTTCATGTCAAAGTGCACCATAAACTAGCCTGATTATCTTCTAGGAAAAATGCTCTTTATTTTGGAGTAGCAATAAAAAGAACTCAGACAGTAAAAAGGCCAACCAGGCCTCCTCTGCCAGAAAGCTGCCTCCAGTTAAGGTGTTGCGGGAAGCCAGACTGTAGGTGGGTACCCAGTCAAGGTAACACACTCTTCTCTCATCCTGCTTTGATTAAACTTTGTTCAAAACCAATCAAATGGAAACGTTCATGGTCCACGTGTTCCAGAGGTGTCCTCTTGGCAGTCTTTGATATAGCAGTGTTGTCTCCTGGCTTTATTATTCAGGATGAATATCTTAATACTAGCACTTACTGACGCTGTAAGAACATGCTTATATTGTTTCTCCCTGTGTACCTGATCTAATAATATCATCAGAGATTGAGATACAAAAATAGGTTTGGTGTGAGGAAATGTTTTTCTCACCTTTTTGCCCTGCAAGTGTTTGAGATCCAGAGGTAAGTTCTTAAAAAGGGCAAAACTCATTGGGGGTAACAGAGGCACCCATCTGGTGGGTTTTGCTTCACTTTTGCATGCAGGCTGCCTTGGTGGAAAGGCTTTCAAGAGGGAGTTTTATGTATCAAATATTTGGGTTTGTATTACAGAAACACAAAGTCACAGAATCATTGAAGTTGGAAGGGATCAATGGAGGTCACCAGCAACACCCCTACCCAAGCAAGGCCACGTAGGCCTGGTTGCTCAGGGCCATGTCCAGATGTCTCAAGTATCTCGGAGATACCCCTCACTGCTATGTGCAGCATGTCACAGTAAAAAGAAAAAAAAAAACACACAGATGTTCAGCTCAAACCTTTTGTGTTTTAGTTTGTGCCCATAACATCTTGTCCTGTCCATGGACAGCACTGAAAAGGGCCTAGTTCTGTTGTTTTCACACACTCCCTTCATATACTCAAATACGTGGTTGAGATCCCCTTGAGCCTTGTCTTCTCCTGGCTGAGCAGCCTAAACTTGGCCTTTCCTCACGTGAGATGTTCCAGTCCCTTAATCATCTTAATGGTCCCGCTTTGGACTGTCTCCAGTAGCTCCACATCTCTCTGGTTCTGGGGAGCCCAGAACTGGACGTGGCGCTTCAGGTGTGTTGTGAGTGCTGAACACAGGAGAAGAATCACCTCAGGCTGCTGGCAGTACTTTGCCTGGTGCAGCCCAGGATGCCATTAGCTTTCTTCACACCATGACTGGCTTGTGTTGAGCTTGGTATCTAGCCACCAGTGCCCCCAGGTCCTTTTCTGCAAAGCTGCTTTCCAGCCAGCTGCCTGCGGCTGTTCCTCCCGACATGCAGGGCTTTGCACTTGCCCTTGTTGGAGCTTGTGAGGCTCCTGTTGGCCCATTTCTCCTACCTGACGAGGTCCCTCTGGCATATCAGCAGCTCCTCCCTGCTGTGTGTCACCTGCAAATTGCTGAGGTTGCACTCTGCCCCCGTCATCTAGATTATTAATAAAGATCCTAAACAGGGCTGGAGCCAGGATTGACTCCTGAGGTACACCAGCAGTTACTGGCCTCTGGTAACTTTGTGCGCTGATCAGCACCCCCTGGGCCGGGCTGTTCAGCCAATTTTTAACCCACCCCACTGCCCATCCAGTTTCAATGTGAGACTCTCACAGGGGACCATGCCAAATGCCTTACTGAAGTGAAGGGAGGCAATAGCCATGCTCTGCCCTCATCTAATGAGCCAGTAATTCCATCAGATGAGGTTACCAGGTTGGGCAAAGGTGGCTTTTCCATGGCGAAGCCATGCTGACTACTCCTGATGATGTGGTGTGCCTGGAAACAGTTCCCAGCGCTTCCCAGTGTCTGAAGCGAGGCCAACTGGCCTGCGGTTCCCTGGGCCCTCCCTGCCCTACTTGAAGATAGTAACATTTGCTTCCCTCCAGTCTTTGGGCACTTCTCCAGTCACCATGATTATTCAGAGGTTATTGAGAGTGGCCTTGTAATGCCAGCGGCACTTGTGGGTGTGTTCTGTCGGGGCTTGTGGACTTAATTTTGCTTAAATATGCTGACGTGATCCTCTTTGACTAAGGGTACGTCTGCCTTGCTCCAGGGTCTCTGGGGTTCCCTGCTTCCTTCAGCAGCAGGCCCACGTCTTCCTGTTGTCACCTGTGTGCTTATAGCAGTACTTCTTGTTGCTTTTGACATCCTTTGCCGGATTGAATTCCAGTTGGGTTTTGACTTTCCTAACCTCATCCCTGAATGCTGGGACAGTCTCTGTATTTCTTCCAGCTTACCTGTCTCTCCTTTCACCTTCTCTTTGTTTCTTTTTGGTATTTACGCTTGGCCAGGACCAGTTCATTCATCCATATGCTGGCCTGTGACCATGAGAAGACCCTGCCCATCTCCCTCTTGCCTTCTTTGGTGCTGTGCAGCCTGCTGGCATACCCCACAGCCCCTCTACCTGGTGACATGGCCCTTCAGGCTGGGTGTTCAGGGGTGCTACAAGTATTGGGGGGCAGGAATGGGAATAATTTCATGCTGTTAAGAGAACAGATTAAAAAAATCCTCAATTTGAGATGCCTTCAGAAAAGGGTTCTTGGCCATGTGGAAGTCCAGGGGGTTTGGGGTGCAAGTGCCCTAGGTGGGGATGTGGGTGATGCACGTGCTGTAGGGTCTGACTGCGGCACTGCTGTGGGGTTGTGACTGCTGCTCTCTCTCCTCCCAGAGACCCACCGACGAGAAGAGCCTGTGCGACCCCACCACGCCAAGCACGCCGCCCCAGTTCTCCGAGACAACACCGCTCCTGCAAGACACCAGCACGTCGTGCCAGGACGCCGCCGAAGCCTGAGCTGCCGGCCCCGGCATGCTTCCCGCTGAGGCGTGCGGGGCGAGAACCACTTTGGATCCCCAGGGGTCTCTGGAAGGTGACATTGTCCTGGGCAGCTCCGCAGAGACCCTGCACTGCTTGGCAAAGCCATGGGCCTGTGCCTCTGCACCAGTGCTCCTGCGCTGGGCACACAGTGAGGAATGTCCTCGTCCAGCCCCCCGAAACACAGTGTTCGAGAGCCCTTGGCCAAAAGGGGCCCGCGCTCACCGCAGTCCCCCTGTCCCTGAGGGCAGGCAGGACTGGAGGACTGCTGCTGGCTGATCTGTTGTTTTGCAATTTAAAACTGCCTATTGCCAGGAATAAAAGGCACTTTAATGGGAGCCTTTAGAATAAACAAGGTTTGTATACATAGCGCTGGTGGGATTTAGTGATCTTTTTTAAAGCCACTGTTCATCTCACACAAATGGGGCTTGCTGTCCCGAAGCCACTTATGGTTTTATTGCCACTTGATGTGACCAGGCTACACTATAAATCAATTCTGGGTGCTGTCACAGCAGCCATATCTCTCCTAAAGGCTTTCCAGGGTACCTGGAGCCTGCCCAGGGTTGCTTTTGCCTTTGCTTGTGTTGGAGAGCACAGTGGTGATTTTTAAAGCCCCTATCCTGTGCCATGACCTTCAGCTCCAGTGATTCAAGTCCAGAGCCTTTTTATTCTGGCCTGCTGGCTCTCTCCATGCTTCAGGTGACAGCGAGATGAGCCTTGCCAAAAAGCTCTTTGGCATATCAAACCCACCACATCGCTCCTGCCAGACCAGTTTTCTGTGCTGTGTGCTCAGCCCTGCAGTGTCAGCTCGTCCTGGCCATGCACCATCGGTGCAGTGAGGCCATCGCCTCGCTCTGCCCCCGCCACCAGCATGTGGGTGGGGAGCAGGCAGAAGCCGTGCCTCTCCTCAAGTGTTAAGGAAAATACTTCTGCTTTTGAGGATGGAGGAAGTCATGTGCAATAATGAAAGTAACAATCGCCTTAGTGGGATTTGGCAAAACTATTCCAGATTTCTGAAATGAGGTCTTGCGGGATCTGGGGCTGGATGTTAGCTGGGGATGGGGTCACCCTCTGGTGGGAAAGAAGCTCAAAGCCCAGGGCTGCTCTTGGTTAACTACCTTGGGAAAGCCAAAGAGGACAATGCTGGTGCCTCTGGCAAGGAAAGAAGTCAGTGGGGCAGTCCCTGGTCTCTCTTGTACCAGAGAACGTCTTACACATCATGTGGCATGGATGCTACCGTGAATTGGAAACCACTGCAATTGTCTAGACAGCCCTGTGACCTCCTAGGGAGGTAAACAATACTTTTCCTCTTACACCTCCGTCCCTCTTACTGGGCAGAAAGAGAACAGGCGATGAAACCACCACCATCTCCTGAGCTGCTGTGTTCCTTACTGGCCGTGTTCCCAGCTCTGCAGCTGGGCTGAGCCTGATTTACCATGGCAATAATTGTGGTATAGCCCAGGTGATAGAGGGGGATCCCAGCAACCCAGAACTTGGTCCACAGGCTGAGCTAGATGCCCAAACCACGTCTCACAGGCAGGACGGGACTAGCCAAGTCTTATGGCCTGCACTGCTGGACTATTTCTGAGTCTTGAAACCAAAATTATCCACCTGCAACCTGTGGCTCTCAGCCTGCCACCTCAGCAAGCCATGACTGACACCGAGCGACCAGCGCTCGCTGCTGTTGTGCAGGTAAGACCAATAAAATACTGGAAAAAAATAAAAAAATTGCAAGAGTTTTTTGTCAAGATGGATTCCGTGGGGGGGCACCTTCCGGCCCTTTGCAGCCCGGGCGTGCTGGGGATGGGCTCGTAGGGTGCTGAGGGGGGGCTCATAGGGTGCTGGGGGGGCTCGTAGGGTGCTGGGGGGGCGTCTGGGGGTGCCAGGCTGCCCCCGGGGGGAAATTTGGGGGGGTCGGGGCCCTGCTGAGCCGCTCTGAGGCCGCCGGGGGGAGCTGTGGTGCTGCGGAGGCCCCGGCCCGGAGGCTGTGCGGCCTGTGGAGGCCATGGCTGTGCTCGCCTGCCCTGCTGCCAGCAGGCTGCGGGCCCCCCCCCGCCTTGCTGTTAGCCCCAGGGATCGCCACAGCCAGCTCCTCTCCATGCCCACAGCCCCAAGAGGCTGCCCCATCCCACCTCCCCTGGCACCCCAGAGCTGGGGGGGCTCAGACTTTTGTGGGACCCCCCCCAGCAAGGAGCAGCCCCCACATTACCCCCACCTGTGCCCATAGGGCTGCCAGGTGCCCACCTGGTCCTGCTGGGTTCAAGCTCAGCAGGTGCAGGGTGTTAAGGCCTGGTCTGGGAACAAATTGTTGTTTTGGCCCAGGTGGTGTGATTGCTCCACTTCCACCCTTTACATCCAGATTTGCTCCTGCACAGGCTGTGGCTCTGGTCTCCTCGGTGCAGGACTCGCAGCAGGGATAAACTCCTCCAGCGATGAAGGGTGGTAAGTGATGGCAAGAGCCCCAGGGCTGCCTCTGTGCCCTCGGGTGCTTCCTCCTGCTTTTTGTCTGTCTGGGAGGGTAGCCAGGCTCCAGGTAACCTGCAAGGCTCATATTAAGCTTCCCTAAAGCTCCTATATGTGTGTGTATTGTGTGTTTCTCGTGGGGCAGAGTGGTGGTACCCCATGATCCAGCCCAGCTGCTGCCTCCCCAGCACCCTCCTGAGCCACCCAGGCACCAGCCTCACTGCTGGACTGGGGAGCTGGGTGCTTCCCTGGGCACCTGGCCTTGGAAAGTGCAATGGTTGTCTTTGGGGCACAGTTAGCAACCTGGGTGCTGCTCTCCTGTCTGTGTTTTTTATTGTTTTAAAGTATGTAGGTAATGCAGTTATAATTATGGGGTGGTGTTGCGATGCAGGAGTGTGCTATGGGGAAACCCACAGCCACTATATGGGTCTGAGCTTTATGTGTATGCAGCTGTCTGTGTGGGACTGAGGATCCCAAAGCCCAGGTAGGAGGTGCCAGGAGGGGATTAAGGGCTTTGTGGAACCTGGTTTGTTTTACACTGAGCCACAACGAACAGCTCTGTCCAGGTGGGAAGTATCTGGAGGGAAGACAAACTGCTCGTGGGGGTTTGGAGCAGAGCCTGTGTTGCTTCTCCATGGCTGGGCACTGCGGGGTTTGCCTGTGCTCCCATGCTGCTTGGTTTTAATCCTGTTTTGGACAGGGATCTCTGCTGTGTCACACTGTGGTGCAACACTCGGGTCCTGGCCATGCCTGTGTGGCTTAAACCTAGCATCCCTCCTGCACGCAGGGTAGCGATCCAGCCTGGACACCCCTCTCTCCAGACTATCTATGTGATCTGCCCTGGTTTGAGCCTTTTCTCAGTCTGAGGCTGAGCAGAAAGCGTTTTTCCACTCCGTGCCGCAGTGCTGGCACGAGCGGTGACCGGCAGCCCCGGCCCCCAGCTGCCCTCTGCGCCTTGCCAGCGCAGCGCTCTGCGCAGCCCTCTGCCGCCTTGGCTGCAGCCCAGCCTGCCTGGTGGTGCCCGTGCTGCAGAGAGCTCTGTCGTGTCCCTTCCCCTGCTGCAAACAGAGGGACAGAGCTGGGAGACCCCAGCATGAGCTGTGCCATGGGTACATCCTGCGTGCCGAGACCTGCTTCGAGGGTGTTACCGTCGCAGAAAGCAAATAAGGGCTGCTGGGCTCTGCCAAAGAAGTCTCTGCTCCCAAGTGTGTGTGTTGGATGTCAGTGCTAAACCTCCTGGTGTTCACTGCCTTGTTTAAGTAGCGTGACTGAACTTCTCTATTCCTCCTGATAGCAGGGACGCAGGAGCTTAACTTCACCGCCTCGCTAGGCACCAGAGTCAGGGTTGGGCCATTTCTAGGAAAAAACACTTCTGCATGAGCTCCTCCACCCTGCACTGTCAGGAATTCTCCTGCCCTTTAAAACGGGAAGGAAAAAACATGACATCCCCCCTGCTTTGAGAAGTTCCTTTTAGCAAGGTGTCACCGTGCCCTGGTGGTGAGATCCCCTGCCTGAACCCCGTCGTGCAGCGGGGTGCTCTGCTGGGGATGCTCCATCCCTGCTGCCGTGGGCAAGGGGCTCCCCGTGGTGCTGCTTTGCATGTGGAACCCCAGCCAGGGTGAGACGATGCAGGGACCCGTCCCGAGTCCCCATTTCCCCTTCCCATCTTGGTGTGGTGCCCGTCGGGGAGGTGCCCCCAGGGCTTGGAGCGGTGACGTGCGGCCGGCGCGTAGCCAGGGCTCCCTGCGCTCGGTGGTGGCTCCCTGGGAGCGCTCGTTTTCTGGAGCAAGAGAAACAATTCCTAAAAAGGAGCAGTGGGATGGAAAATTGATACCAAATGGTGATATCAGTCCCCTGAGAAATAAGGTTTGATCTCTCAGCCCGTGGTTCCTGGGGGTTAGGACACGAGCACACAATGCTATTTTGGAGGGATTTAAAAAAATATATAAAGTTTATTTTCTCCTTTTGTAAGTTCACAATTTTCCCAGACTTGAGCTGGCTTTGGATGTGATGCTGATGGCACAGGCTGCACATCGGGTGTGTGTGGTGTCTGCAGGATGAGGAGGGTCTGCAGGGCTGTGCCTGGCCCTGCTCCTGCTGCTTCCCTGGTCCTGCAGGGCCAGGGGATGTCCCGGGCTGGCAATTCTCCCCATCTCCCCTGTGACAGTGCCCCTGTGACTGCTGCTGAGCACCATTTCTGGGGGTGTCCGGCTGCGTGTGTTGAGCTGAATTAATGTAGTTATGTTTTGTCGTTATGTTGCTTGTGGCTGCACTGCTCTGTTTTATTTAAAAAAACAACACTGTGACCCGTCTGCTTTCTGCTTTTTCCATCTGAACCAGTTTCTGGACCAGTTCTTGTAGGAAAATGCCTGCAGAGCCACTGGTGCTGCAGCCAGGAGGCTTCCCCTTGTGCCCACAGCCCGTGGGTCGCGGTGTCCCGCTGCTCGCGGTGCTGGCAGGGGCTGGGGGGAGCTGAGCTTTGCAGCTGAGCTTCCAAGGAAGGAATTTCCAGCAACTGCAAATCCCTTCCCCAAAGACAGCATTTCAAGGAATTACCCTCTCCCCCCTCGCTGGAGACTTCCTCTGCTTTTCCAAGTAAGCCTTTGGCTCGGGGCCATGTGTGTGGAAACCAGAGCAGGAGCAGATCCATGGGAACGTTGGGGGCTGGAGCCCGGTGCTGGCCAGGTTCACAGTGCACGGCTCTTATCTGCATCGAGTGCCCCGAGTCAAGAAGCTGAGCTGCTCCCTCTTAGCTACATCCCTTGTGAGTGCTGTTTCCAGTGAGCTGAATACCACGCGGAGCAGCGAAGCCACCTCTGGATGCCAACAAAAATAAAGGGAGATCGGGATTTTTTTTGGAGCGCTGTTCTAGCAAATAGTTCCCAGTGTTTGCTAACTCCGTCCCCTGGCTTTGTCCTCCCAAAGCAGGGCTGCTGTGGGTCCAGCTGTGCTGAGCGTCCTGCAGCGGCGTGGGGAGACCACCTGTGGGACCCTGCCTGCATGGAGCTGCCAAACAGCCCCGTGTTTGCTCTTCCCTCTTCTCTAGAAGCTGCTGTGTGCACAGGACTCGTTCCCACAGGGTGAGTGGGGCAGGCTGGCCCGCACCTTCACAGCCAACAGCCCCCTGCAGCCAGGCTCGGGGACCTCTCGGAGCTGGCACACGCACGGCAGGAGCCAGGAGGTTCTGCTTTTGCCAGGGGTTGAGCCTTGGCCTCATCTGCTCCTGCTGTGCTGCTGCCAGCCCCGTGAGTGCTGCTCCAGCCCGGCCCCAGCCCTGTGGGAGGCAATCGAGGGGTGGAGGCTGGGATCTGTCCCCCCTCCCTGCCTAATCCCCGCTCGGTGCCCTGGCGGGCGCATCCCCACAGACATACCTTGTGGATTTTCTTTGCCTCGTAAATACTCCCTTGCCCTTCCCGGTGCCCCTGGCAAATAAATTATCTGAAGCTCCGTTTCCCCGTTTCAAAGCCTCGTGAAAGAAACCAGAGGGTTTAGCAGCCGCGGCTGGCTGGGGTTGTTCACATACCATGCACCCATTTGCATTTGATCTACTTCATCCTGCGTCAAGTAATCCCTGAAAGCCGCGGTCGGTCGGTTGGCTGCAGCCCCTCTGCGTGCCTGTAAATCACTGGGGCATGTCACTGGTGGCTACGCGAGCGTGTCTGACCCCTTAATCCCAGCTGAAGCATCCCCCTGCCCCGGGAAGAAACCGTCCTTCGTAAGTCAGAAACTGCAGCCACAGCACGGGCTCTCTCCGTGTAATAAACCAGAGATTGTTCCCTTCTTCCCCATTGCCTCCACCCAAAGGTGGCTGGTGCTCAGCAGTGGCCTGACTTTAATTGCTAGGTGCTGTTAATTGGCTTTCCAGGAAAGGTTTCAGTGTTTAAAGTGCCATGTGGCTCTGATCGATTCTCTCGGTGCCTCCTGTGCGTGAGCTCTGCTGGGCAGGAGCCCTTGGCCAGGTCTGGAGCTCGGCGTGCCAATGGTGTGCACCCCAGGGGCTCCCAGGCACTTCCCCTTGCCCAAATGGGGCCTCGTGAGCTGCTCTGCCTGCACAGGGATGGATTTTAGCTGCTGAGAACGAATTCCAAGGGGCGATGCTGAAATAAAGCAGATGGGCTGATTGCGGAGGTCAGAGCAAGCGAAAGGGTGCCCTGCCAGGCATCGCGTGCTGCAGGCATCCTGGCTGCTCCAGCAGCTGTCAGGAGCCTGAACGAACGAGGCAAGGTGCCCAAGGAGTGCGCGGGGATCTCGTTTACCTGGTAATTAATGGAAATCGTGAAACAAATCAACACAGGCTCCCTACGGAGATCTTTGTGCTCCAGTTTCAAAGGGAGAACCGGGGAGGGGCTGAGTGTGAGAGCAGCACGCGGTGCCGGCACCGTGGGGCAGGAGCTGGCCCCTCTGCCCCATCGCTTACCCAAGGGACCGCCTGGCTGAGGGGTGGCACAGGGCACCTCTCCCCAGCCGAGGTGTCCTTCTTGGAGGTGCAGAGGGGGAAGGAAGGTGTAGCAGTGAGCCTGTCGTCTCCATCTGTGCTCTCTTGACCCGACACATCACCGCGGGTTTTCCTGCTCCAGCCCTCCTGTGTGGGCACCAGCCCCGGGCATTTGTTTTCTGCTTTGGAGAAAGCGCGTCCCAGCACAAGGTGCCGTGCTGCTTCTTGCAAGTGAATTAAGTTGGCTCAATTTAAAGATTATAAAGTGCTAATTTTTGATATTTCCCACAGCAGTTGTGGTGCGCTGCCCGGCAGTGCTCCTCTGAAGGGAGCAGACGTGGTTCCTCTGGTTCAGGGCTTTAAGGACGAGTGCGCTGCGGTTCCCCGTCTTCTTGTTTATTCTCTGCGTGCAAAATGGTATTGCAAAACCAAACCTTGCAAACAATTAATGCCAATTGGAGCTGCTGACAGCCAAGCCCCAGCGGCTCGGAGCATGGGCTGAGCACACAGCAGTGCCTGGGCTCTGGGTGTTCCTGGGGGTGCC